GTATACCAAAATAAATTGTAGTGAAGTTAATCAGAGTTCAGAAGGAAACTGGAAAACCAGTGACTATTTAGTTTGCTAAAGGGGACATTATTTGACACAATATCAGTTCAGAGGCAGAGTCAGTTAGCATAATTGGCATTTTCCATATATTTCATAAAAGTTGATAGAGACTTCAACGCGAGTACATATTTTGTTGTTTTAGGTTGGCTGCACTCAGGGCAAGATATCGGGGCGAAGTTAACGTGTTTTCGGCGTGTTTAGGGCAATTTTCGCACCGCGACATCTTGGCCCGCTGGTGATAAGCATCATCTTCGAATCAATACCATGGCAAAACAAAAGGATCCGGTGAACTGTGCCAGCGTAATCTTTCCAGACAAAATTGACTGATGCAGGTACCATATTGACGGACAGACTTCTGCTAACAACTCTCGGTGCTTCATTGCTGTGTGCATGGCCAAGCGAAGGAGTTGCCATGGCTCGTTATGTTATCGTTCTCAGGCTCCGTCTCGAGCGCGCTGTGAATATCTAAGATATCCGCTCGGTTCCTGATATTTCTGGTAAAGAATACCCGTGCCGTGTCGCAGTCAGGAATCCCAAGCTGGTCTTAGATACACTATTTCGCAGCTACTTCTCCAATATCTGGTTGCTTTGTTTATACGTTTGTCAAGAGTTCAAAGCGCCTCAAGCATTCAAAATTGAGGCGCATATCATCATGCAGGCTCTCGTTCAGCGTGTGCAAAGGATGCCACTTCCCAGCAAACAGCCGTGGAATAAGCTTGCGCGCAAAAACATGCGTATCGAGGAAGGATCTCGGTGGCCCTTCGCCGTCAAAACCGCTTCTTCTGTTTTCATCCTCCTCCTCCTCCTCCTTCTTTTCTTTTTCTCCTTATTATTCTAGTTTTTTGATTTTATTTTCATCCAGAGATAGCCACTCCGCATAATTTATTCTCATGGACTGCGGAGCAACAAGAACAACATCCTCCAAAATGACAATGAACATCGCTCATAGTTTGTCACCGCAGCACTTTAATGGTTTGCTTTTTGCATTTTAATTCATCCCACTGAGCATAAAGATGTTTCTCCAAAGCATGCTAGTTGCACATCATCTTTACAGCATAGTCTACTCACTAGCTTTCATTGTTGCGAGAGTCGCCTTGGATTCCCACGATAACAGCGCCACTGCTGTTGGCCACCTCGGCCCCGAGACAAATATTGCGATTGCAATCAAAAGGTTCGCATCGTTGGGCGATTCGTATGCTTCTGGTGTAGGCGCAGGAAAGCTGCTCGACAGGGGCTGTTGGCGGTATAGCGATAGCTATCCTGCCCAGCTGAATAATTCCGCCATACTCAGAGACTCTGGTCATACAATGCAGTTTCTCGCTTGTTCAGGGACTGTCATGAAGAAAAACTGGGGTAAAGCTGCCCCCAGCGGCTCGAGCAAAAGGCGGGAGATTTGGGATCAAATCATCGCGATGGAGGACGCTGATTTCGTGACATTATCCGTCGGTGGCAACGATGTCGGATTTTTCGATCTTCTCAACGCCTGTTTATATCGATTTTACGGGCCGGCCTCTCCAGACTGTGCGAAAACCACGAAAGCCACGAGGACGAAAATCATGGGTGGAGAATTTAAGGAGACCTACAACATGGTTTTGGACGCGATCCTGGAGAAAAACCCTGCAGAGTCATTCAGAATCTTTGTGACCGGATATGGCAAATTCTTTGATGAAGAATTTACCGACGAATGTAATAATAGCAGCTTTGGCTATTGGTTTGGATACCGGCCAAAACTGACCGTCGAAGTACGACGATACTTGAACGACATATCCCAAACCCTTAACGACATAATAAGTCAAATCATAAGGGAGCGTAAGGACGGGAGAGTTATATGGGTCAACTGGGACCCAAAATTTCAAGGCCATCGTTTTTGTGAGCCGGGAAAGGGGCTAATGGACCAGGATACATGGTTCTACGATACATCCTTTCGGACGACGAACATTGGCGTCGTTGACTCGAGAACCTGTGTGGAGAATGAAATCGTCGAGAGTGGTGATTGGGGCATATTGGCTCTCTGTGCGATTGCCGTTACTCACGCCAATTATCCAAATTTGGAGCCCGCTGCTAGAAAGATCCGCACACGGGGAGGACGGGATCCCTTTGGCCCCAAAGATGCAAGGCTTTTCCACCCAAAACCAGAGGGCTACGCAGCTATCGCTGAGCAGATCGTAGAGATGTGGCCATATTCGCATGAGACCCAAATCGGAAGTGAACGAGGCAGATTCAAAACGCCGCAAACCTACGGAGAGAAGTGATGGTTTTGGACCAGGTGAGGAGCTTTGGCGGCAAGAAATGCCATACCAAGATGAATTTATGCATAGTTCTGTTATTCTTTTTTTCTTTTTTTTCCCACCCTCTCCTTAGAGCAAGGTCTTAACCAAGGGAATTCACTTCAACAAAAGTGGCAAGATTAATGTTGCTGGTACGTTGTGACATAGACAATGGGACTAGATATCTGAATGCGCTCAGTGAGCTACACGCTTTTTATTTGTGGCATCTGACTTGAAGATGGCGGCAATCTCACTACGAGCCTTGCACTGGTGGACAACTTTGGTTGGTGTCGGCCCGAGGTGCCATGTTGAAAGGGGAACTAGTGACAAGACGGCTGATGGCTAACCGCCATGTCCCCATTAATTATCGATCTTTGGGGGACTTAGGCAGTTGGCTGTGGTTGCAAGTTAGTCCATGTGTATATACTACATTGCTCAGCTCAAGCTTCATCCAACATCCATCAAGTACTTTTCACTTCGAAGGGGAGACCTTGTTTAAGGTCATTGACGGTCAGTCGATTGACTTCTCTCCCACAGGTTTGAATCGTTGCGGCTGGGAGGGGCCAAAGCGCGCTGAGAGGCAGTGAACTCTGCAATCTGATGTTCTCCACACAGCCAACCAGGGCTTGCTGCAGTTGTCTTGATTCTCAACATCCGTCACATGGAGGAAGCCCACTCTGCTGTTGGGTCAAGGCCCCATTTCTCCGATTTACGTGACCGACCTCCCTCTCCCCTCAAGGTATTCACGCGGATAACATAGGATTTGATTTGGGACTGCAGCAATAACTACTCAGCCTTCTTTATCACGCAGGACAACGATTTATTCGACGACAACAGCCACGGTGATGACCCTGCGAAACATCACACCTTGCATATTTTCATATGATAATTTCTCTGCAGATTAGGAGAATCACATGCTTATGAAGAGTTCAAAAACACCTTTGTAGTCAAACCCCGTGGGGTAGAATTTGTGGCTGTGTGTTTGCAGCAATTCTTCCGCTGCGTGCGAGTGTTAAAATACATCCCCGGACCAACTAACTAACTAGTTAATGTGTGTGTCCTCCGGTACACCGTACATGCATACACAGGCAACCTCTGAAGAAACTGCATCACGTCGAATGCTCGAAGGGACTGAAATCGATGTTGGTCAAACCTCCCAGCCGTGTGATTTTATATGTCAGGGATGCGTCACGCCTACTTCGCTGCCCAAAGTGGTGCTCTTCGGATGGTCCTTCAGGCGACCGAAAGAGCCGCAAGCCGGGAAACCCCCCCAGAGACGAATAAGGGAGCTGAACAACACTGCAGCCGGATAGTTCAGGCCCAGACCCGGAAGAAGTGGTCAAGGCCCCTCTCTCAAGGGAAACACGGTTGTATCGATCCGAAGACCGGCGCACTCTCCACAGACTCCGGTTCCTTGCAGCAGAAGTGGCTTTATTGGACCTGAGAATCCCACGGTGATATCTACTACATACCGCCACGCTCGCCCGGATCCGGGTCTCGCAGTTGCGCTTCTCTTCAGCCGAGAGCGGTGGTTAGCGACTTCTGCACAGTCACTGGCTGACGAGGTTTGGAACCTGCGTGCCAGGGTTGATTCGGCGACCGTCGTGGAGGGTGTCGCTGCGGACTGTCATTGGCGGGCCCGCCTGGCGACCACACTTGAACCACACGATCAACCCAGCTGGCTTGCCCTCTGCTTCTTCTCTGCATCTTGTGACGACGGCCTCCGCGGGCGAAATAACCTTGATCCTCTGTCCTCCAGTCATTGCGCATGGTGCCTGCCTGGCATGACATGGAAGAGAAAGAATTTTTATCCTTGGAGGCATCCACAGCGAAATTACCTTTTTTTTTTTTTTTTTTTTTTTTTTGCCTTTTTCTCTCACGGCGAAAGATGCCTGAGATCTTAAGCTTAGAATGGCTGGTGCTTTAACCTTGATTATTCGATGCTCCGTAATGGTGTACACTCCTGCACTCATGCCGAGTAGAGGGACGTTGAGCTGCCCTCTGTCGGATTGGTCAACCTTGATCGTCCTGCAGGTATTGCTTCTTTGATGTTCTTCTTCCATGTGAATCAAGATTTTCTTGTCTTGACAGCATTTCTGTATATGATCCTGCCCCTTTTATTGAGAAAAGAAAGAGTGAAGGTTATCATTATGCGAGAGTTATTCATTCCTCCTTTAATACTCCAGTGGCCCCATCGAGAGGCGCGAAAGATAGCAGTGGCTGGCTCCTGCTAGAGGCGCTTGTATTGGCATTTCACAGTTTTTATCGTCGATCGCATTTCACTTCATTCCCTTCGTTTTCCGGTTTAGACACCGTTTGTGGAAGTTAAAACACGATTCTTGCCATCGTCAGTTTATGACGGATAGAGTTGATTTTTCGAACCTTTCGTGGAATGGAGTGGACTGCCTTTTCATTCGTTGAACTCTATGCTACTTCTCCGGGCCTTAAGATCATCTGTTCTCGAGGATTCCTTGTTTCCCCAGATTTATATGGACACCTTCGCACGCCCGCTTATAACAAGACTTCAGGAAAAATAAGGAAATCGCTGCACCGAGACTTACTGGTTTCACAAAAAAATATCCTAGATTATAAAAGGCTTCAAGGGCCAGGAGGTGCGGTTTGGTAGGGGCTGGTGTATAGAACTGCTGCATTTTATTTTGATATTGGGACAAAATGTTGAGTGCGGAATCGGGGAGAAAGAGAATGGGGGTCTACCTGGAGGACTGGGACTCGTGCTTTGCAGTGCGAGCAGAGAGGTCTTTTCCTCCATCTGTTGCGTCGACCCCAAGTCTCTCTTCTCCAAGCGACAACCTCGTTCCTCCTCCCCTCCGCCCTCGTTTCACCTCACAAGCCGCAAAAATCCCTTCTCATTCTCCTCCACTCAGCCCTAATCCTCCAGTTTTTGTTTCCTTACAGCTCGTTGAGCCCGGAAAGATAGTGCCAGGGAACCTCTCCCTTCATCGATACCGTGAATCTCTCTCGCACTCTCGCCCGAATCTGACGGCGCAACCGCCAGCAAGAAGTTTGAAACGAAAGCCGAAAGCTCTTAATCTCAATACCAACTGCACATCCCAAGCTCCTCCTTCACCTCCTCCTACTCCACCCTCGCCCTCAGCATATTCTGGATCCTCCGACTCTCCGCCTTCGCCAGCGCAGCCAGCCGGCGAATACCACTACCCAAGGCTGGCCAACGTCTATTCCACTGATTATTTAGCAACCCCCGCCCCCACGAGCGTCACTGAGGAATTCGTTGTTCACGCAAAAGCATCTCCTGAATATCATGCTCAGAGACCTGTTTCTAACTTAGACGCAACGCGCCCAAGTTCTCAAATCAACAAACTGGTGAGTGAGTATTCCCCGTCCCTGGTTTTGCTTTCTCCCCTTTTCTATCGTCTTTGTTATGTTAACCAATCGCGTCAGAACGCGTTCTGTAAACATATTCGGCAGATTCCTGCCAGGATATTTCGTCATTCCACACCTGCTTCTGAAATTTCTCCATCATCACCTCATTTTCCCAGGACGCTCCATCATCGTGGAGTCTCCTTTGAGATCCTTAGTCCTCAGAAGTGGCAATCGTCTCAATCCCATTCTTCCACCATGAATATCGAACCTGAATTAACTGGGTTAGAAAAGATGATCTCTCCTTACCGGCCTAGAACTCAGTCCCGCTCTCGGTCGCAGTCTCTGGACGGACGAGGGCAGAGGACTCCATCTCGCACCTTGTTTGACGACCTCGAGACGGCCCACTCCTCCATAACATCACGACTTCACGATGGAGGGAACAGGGCTTCAACTACACCCCCAAGGGATGCCTCCCAAAATCAGTCCTCGCCGTCCCTTAGCAACGAGGAAAGGAGGGAACAGGCGGCCATCCAACTTAGGACCGATTTCGGATCACATAAATGCGTGCTTGCCCGGCATGTTTCAACCGACTCACCTCTAAGAACAGCGAAGCGCGCAGATCGTCAACGAAAGCCCATTAAACTCATCAAGCACCGGCCAGGCTCTCGCCTTGAGCAAATGCAAACAAGTACTTCTCCCCACACCCCACCACGCAAGTCTGCCAGTCCCGTGTTGGGTACGTCCTTCAATCAGTACCAGCCGAGCCTCAACGGTATCCGCGGTCGAATCGACAAATCAACCACTATTGACAATATCATCAAGAGTCGACTTACTATGTTTGATACGCGACTAAAAAACGCACGCTTCTCTAGACTCCAGCGCTCCCGCGAGCTTCAAGCCGATACCAAGAAGTATGCTGGACCGGCCGAAGGACTGACTTCCAATCCCGTCCGGAATGACTCCGATGACGGAAAAGACCGGCATGAGCATGCGTATCAATGCGAGGAAAGCGTTGACTGTCCGGGGGTGCAAGCTCCAACCCCGCCAAACCATCCTCAGGGCAGTACACATGAGCTAGTCCCTCCAAGCCAGTGCCGGCAAGGAACAGGGGCATCAAGCCCAAACTTCTCACGACCAATCCCGCCTGGAAAATGGTTATCCACCCGTCGCTTCTCTCCATTCAAACCAATCTCTCGCTCCAGCGTGAAGGCGACGAGTAAAGAAAATCCACAAGACCGGGTTCGTTCTCCTACTCACGTTCAGTCAAACCAGGAAGTCCAACGCGAGAATGAGGAGTCGATTATGAAACTTTTATCTCACCAGTCTGCTTCTGTTGCCCGTGAAATTGAGCGGGGACTCTTCCGGGGATCTGACAGTCACTGTGATGAATCGGACCCTATCGATCTAGGGCCAGGGAGTAGCCAAAGCTCCTCTAGTCAGCACTTGAGCCAGCACATGGGCTCATCGACCATTTTCCCATCGCCACTAAGAGTGTCCTCGGTTTCCTCATCTCGCTTTTCAGAGCAAGGCCCTGGTAATCCCTTTTTCCATGGTGGACTGGGAACGCGTTCATTGACAAAGAGAAATGAGAGTGGTTTGGGGAGGAACAGAAGATATACGCACACAGCTTTGGATAAACATGCCGAGACCCTAGCTAGTGAGGGAATTCAGGAGGAAGTCGATGATGCTGACCGTGACTGGGAGACCGTCGCTGGCAGCCAACAGTTCACCAGCAGCGTCGGCAACGGCTTTGGCCAGGCGGACACAGAAACCAGTCTGGCAGATTACTCAAGCTTTGGTAACCTTGCCAACTCAAATACACATAAAAAGTCACCCCTGCGTTCATCTAGGGTTGGCATTCCTACGACTTCTCACGGAACTAATGCTGTTACAGTTCCAGCTTATGCAAGGCGTCATTCCCATTTCTTTCACAAAGACCCTAGTACTGGCCAATATGTCTTGCTTCCTAACACTAACTACCGAAATTCTGAAGGCTCACGTCTTAACGCGTTTAGAAAACCAATCCCAGCTCTCATCGCTTCGACGTCGAAGTCCCCAACTCCTTTTCCCAACAAGTATCACCATCCGTCACCACTTAGCGAAGCCCATACAAATCCCTTCCGTTCTACTCCGCCGTTGCTACATTGTCAGCCCGGTCAGAGCGATGAGCCAGAAAATGACGGACGTCGTCTCACCACCGTTGGCAATAGTAAGTCCAATTTCCATGACAACGTAGAGAATACATACATTTCCCACCGTGGCTATGGACATTTTCAACGCAACCCGAACATCTCAGAGAGTGCAAGAGCTTCTTTCCAGCATTGGTTTTCTGAAGTCATTGGAAAGGACCCAGCACAACGTCCTTCTCAGTCTTCGTCTGCCTTCCACTGGGATTCTCGAAGCATAGGACCCCATAACTCTGCAGATGCTAGCTCCCTGAACATTTCCAAAGTTTCAACAATAGGCACTGACGATAATATCAGCACGCACCCGTTGTCCGTGAACCTGGACTGCCACCCATGTTTCCGTCCTTACCACACCACTATCCAGCTTCCGAGTCACGGTGACCTCACGAGAGAAAACCCCAACTTACCTTCCCGCTCTCTTTCGACCGATCGTCTTCTCCCTGCGGCACCTGAGAGCAGCAAATATTCACCAGGTTCATTGTATCATTCCATTCGGTCAGCTCGCGATCGCGTTCTCGGAGGGGGGCAAAAGCGAAAGTCATTGAACAATACGCTCCCGAGCCCAATCCAAGAATCTACCTCGCAAGATGCATCTCCTCGCCCTGCTTCTACGGGTCTCCTCGAGAGACATATTCCACGGCAGGGCACAGTCAGTTCCCGCATTTTTTCTTCACGCTCAATCCTTCTCCGGACACCCACCATGACTCGTCGAAGCAGCACTCGACAAACAGCAAGGCAACCAACCGCAGACGAACTACTTAGGGAGCGTTTGGAACAAATGGACCCGGCTCTCCTCGCGGATTTCTGCCAGCCAAGTCCCAATTCGAGGCTTTCAAGGGCCACATGGGAGCCACAAGTGTACGCCAGTGGTCAAGAAACTACGCGACCTGAACCTCTCACTGGCCCGCCGCGCAATGCATTTGACGAGGAATCAGCATTACCCCCGGAAGGCCATTTCGATCATCACGCTTTCCCGGATTCACCACGCCTTAATCCCATACGTAAGCGAGCGGTTGGTGGCAGTTTAGTTGAACAACGCCGCCTAGGCCGAAAGATCATTTTGTGGTGCACTCTTGCATTCCCACTCGGGTGGACCATTCTACTGCTGATTGGGTATGGATCAGGACAGGCAGATTTCCTCATCCAACGCTGGTCAGATGGCAATATCGACGGATTCCATGAGAAGGAGGAGCGTTTGGCTCGACAGGCGGCAATAGCATATGTTATGTTTTTATTGATTGGATCCATAGCTGCTGTTTCTGTGGCTCTCTTAGTTTAACTGCTGAATGGGTGAAGGTGTCCTTTTTGGTAAAGTGGTCTCCAGGATTCCGGGAAGCATGGAGGATTGTTATGCTAATATTTGTGTGCAGGTGAAACGATCTTTCAGCCATGCCTGCAGCAAAAGTTCAGGTTCATGTGCGCACAGGACAATTCGAATATTATTTAATGAGTTAATGTAGAGCTGCTGTTCTTTTTTTTGTTTCCTTTCCTGAGTTCGTCTTCCTTGTGAATCTCCCTAACTTCTCAGTGCCTTGTCCCCCTTCCAATGTACCCTTTTTCACCTAACTAGTGAGCATTTGGCTTATGTGTTTGAGTACTCTGTATGCCTTTAAATATTCCCCTTGCTTTAATGTTCATTCAAGGGATTCGGTTCTTCACACATTCGCAAAGACCCCGAAAAATCTTGAACAGCAATAAGGCCATGCATCGCTGTTCTTTACGTCGCACAATTTAATATTTCTAAAACACCCTGTACTTGTTATCATAAGTAATGCAACCTGTCAGAGTTTTCCCCCAGTTACTACAATGACTGTCTTCATTTTCACACTTTTGTTTGCTGAATCTGATGGATATGCTTTGAGGAATGAAATAATGCCCATTGCTCGGTTAACGAAAAAAAGGAAAAAAGAAAAAGAAAAGGAAAAAAAGAGAGAGGGAAGCAGTGAGAAGAATTCAACTATGAATTTTACTAAGTAACCAGGTGTAACCCCAGATTACAACCATAAATAATCCCATAATTTGTGACTCTGTATCTATCAAGTTCCCAAAGCCGAGTCAATATGAACACCCCAAAAAATGCAAGTAGGAAATGACAATGAGTATAATGAGTATGTATTGCTCTCAGAGCTTGAAGGGCGGAGAAAAAGGAGAAAAAGAAAAAAAAAAAAAAAATTCTATGTGAGAGACAACAAGAAAAGAGGGCAAAAATTGCTAGACTAGAGAAATCTGATAAAAGTCCGCCCAAGTCCCTGTGAAGGAAGAGGGTATAGTGGTGTAAAATGAGACAATATATGTATAGACAAACGGATGGCATGATGATAGAAAAATAAAGAAAAGAAAAGAAAGGAAAAAGAAAAGATATAAGAGAGAAAATCAACCGTCCGGCTCAATCAAACTTATGTGAACACAGATTGGGAATAGGATCGTCGAGTCTCAGTCTCCAATGGTTGCGGTAGATCTACGACTGTAGAGTCAACTGTAGAATTTTGATGCTTTGCGGCCGATTCAGCTTCAAGCACGGCTGTGACGGCTGCTAGGACCAGGCTTCTTCTTCGAAGTCCACTTGGTGCGGCCCTTCCACTTCTTCGGTCACTATAGGCGTAAGACTTGTCAACTTTCGACTTCCCGGCAGGGGCGCCAGAGAGCTTTGAGCAGCTGGATGATTTTGGCGCATCGGCGTTTTTCTGGGGCTGTTTTCGTGAGGGTGTTCGTGAGGGCGGGAGGGAGCTGGGGTGTTGGCCGTCGTTGAGGTAGCCGTCCGCGTAACAGCGGAAGCATTCGTCCTCATCTAGTATTTGGGCGAGACGGATGGTGTCTGCAACGGACGTGGATGCACACTGGAGGATGGATAGCTTCTCGCGCTGTGATCGGAGCGCGCTTATCGACTGTCGGTGCGTGCCTGCCTCCATACTGCCGTGCCGGGGAGTGGATGTGTTCGGGGCGGAGGTGTAAGCGGCAGGGTGAGAGGGTCGACGGTCCAAGCAGGAACGAGGAGTGGACATGGGCGAGGTGTCAAGACAGGAGGGAGCGCACCCGTCGGGCCTGTCGCCATACTGAGGAGATATGAACGCGATGCTCGGCCTGCGGCTTGCCCTGCCGCTGGGCTCCAGGTACACACTTCGAGGAGTTACCGGATAGCCACGACTATCGTCGCTATCGCTGCTCGGGTCGTTGTGCTCCAGCGTTTGAGAATTTAGTTTTCGGGTCAAAGTTCCAATCGAGAGGCGATGTTGGTCCATGTAAGAGGGAGGGATAGAGGTTGGCGCTGGGCCAAGGCGGAAAGGGGATCGAGAGCGTTTGGAAATCCGTGCGGAGTAATCTCTAGAGCCGAGTCGCGGAGACGGGCATCGAGAGGAGAGGGGAGAGACTAGGTTGCTCTCACAATGGAGAAAAGGGTCATCGTCGCCGTTTGGCACTCGGAGGCTCTCGCTGGAGGACGGGGAGGGAAAGGAGAAGCCTTCGAACATGGTGGATGAAGAGGAAGAAGCCCGGAGGATCAGGGCCACCCGCGAAGCAGAGTCAGTCAGATATATTATTTCTTATTTCCGCGGCAAGAGAGTGCGCGAGGGCGCAAGATGCGTGGCCGGTCGAGATGCGAAGCGGTGCAAATCATGCGATGAATTCTAGACCCGGAAGGGGACAAAAAGGGCCGGTGAAAGCCGCTGTGGGGCGCAGGCTTGTGGCTTTTCAACAGAGTCGCCCGCTCAGCCCTACGGCGCCGGCTGAGTCATCGCCTTCAAGATTTTTCAGCGGGCCCCGCCCAATCACAGCGGCAGACGCGTCCCGTGCCACCCACTAGCCGATCACCTAAGCCGTCCGTGTCTCCGGTATCGGGCGCCGCTTTTGCTCGATCTTTCAACGCGTGCAACTTCGACTGACAACGACGATACAACTTGCCGTCGCGAAGGAGGCATCTCAACAACCGCAGGGACGCGAAATAATCTAAGGAGTACGGAGTAACTATATCAGACCGCCATTTCAACAGTCAAATGATTATGAAACGTTGTTTCCTTGGTTTACGGTTAATTTCCTTCAATCTGTCCGCTCTCAACCCATGGCGAAGTGGTATCCACATTCAAGACTCATTCTTGGGCTGAGACAGTGTTCTTTCTTTCTCTTTGATAAGAAAAGTGGCCGGCAGCAAGGTCGAAGGGGTGGCCAACTAGTTAGTTAGTTACTCCGTACCCGCTGTGGTTATGTAAGTTAGAAACCGACGCACTCGTCCCAGACAATCCCCCCAGCCGGCCAGCCAACGCCTATCGAACATGGCAGTCCGGCTGGAGAAGTGCTGCTCCGTCGACAGGCCAGTTACACACTAAATTTGTATGCGTGTCCATGCAAAGTCTGATTTTTTTGCCCGCATTGATCCACTTCTCAAGCATTCTGTCTTGTACAGAGTACACTGAAACTTAATTTTATAAAATCTTTCACACATACATACACATTTAGCCACGTGTTTGTTGGCTTGCTGTGATGTCGGAACCCAGATGATCATCCACGCCAAAACAGCCAAACCGCCACCTCTAAATTTTGCTTGACCACGGGCATCTTAACAGGCCAGCCCTGTCACAGTGAGTGGCGCCATAACGTTCCGATTGCATAATCATGGGTGAGAATTAACTACCTTCACGATACAAACTGCCCTCATTCAGCAATATAGCCGAATGTCTGCTTTACAAAGGAGTATAAGCTGCAGATCAATTTCTGATCTCTTTGGCCTCCAGAAATAGAACCATTTGTTGTTCATTTTTGGCCCGGCTCTTGCCGAACTCGCTAAAGACTATAGCCCTTCGCCGCCTGTGATCAACAAGGTCAGGGATGTTGAGCACAAGTGATCCACCTGCATCATGTCACACACCTTGCGAGGACTCCTTTCCTCTAAGACGGCAGTCCATTCAGCAAAAATCGCCCGTCCGTCAACTGACTACATTCTCGCCCAACAGTGTGTGACATACGTATATCAGTCGTGTCTCCCTATCGCATTGAGACGATATATCCTAGAATTTATGCAGCACAAAGTATACTCTCGCTATAAAGCTCCCTCCTCCCTCAATCGTGGTGCGCCACCTCCTACTCCTAACTGGCTAGATCATCGGGCCCCCGTTTGCTTGGGAGAACGTGGACAGTAAGTTACTCCGTACCAAAGCTTTCTAGAAATCCTTGGCACAAACGCCGAGAAAAAGAAAAAAAAAAAGCCCATGCAAAGGCGGTAGGCAAGGCCGCCTGGGCAGCATGAAGAGCCGGTCCAAACGCGTGAAAGGAGCATGTGCAGGTGTAAATCACAGAAGGCTCATTCTCGCGGCTCATAACCCTGAAACTGCCAAAGAGGCCAAGAGGTCCATTGAAAAGAGCACAAGGCGTATTGGTGTAGTTGAGATTTGGGAGCTGGATCTTTGCTCCTACAGATCAGTCCAAGAATTTGCTAAATAGGCAAAGAAGCTCAACCGGTTGGATGCAGTGGTTGAAAATGCTGCCGTCGCTACACCAAGATTCCAGATTGCGGAGGCAGATGAACTGACGGTAACAATTAACGTCATCTCCACCTTCTTACTGGCAGCGTTATTACTTCCCAAGATGAAACAGACAGCCCAAAAGTTCCATACTCGTCCGCACCTTAATATCGTATGTACGGGAGCTATATTTCACACATCTTTCCCCGAGGCTCAATCCCGCAGGATGTTTGAGCAGCTCAATGATAAAAGGTCCGCTCGCATGCAAGCTCGCTATCATATTAGCAAGCTCATGGTGGCCATGATATGCCGAGAGATCTACGCAATGCATCACGAAGGATCGCCGGTGATAATCAACTATTCGAATCCGGGATTTTGCCATTCAACTCTGCTTCGGAAAATGTTTCTTGGTGATATTATCATGGCTTGTCTCGCTCGTTCTGCCGAATGCGGGAGTCGAACGGTTATCCATGCGTTAACGGCGGGCGCGGATTCCCACGGGCAGTACTTGAACGATGGAAAGGTCAAAAGCCCACCGCATCTATTGTTGACGAGAGAGGGTGCTGATATACAGCGGCAGGTTTATAAGGAGTTGGCACGGAAACTGGAAGCGATTCAGCCTGGAATCACAGCCAATCTTGATGGAAGAACTCCAGACAAGTGGATGAAGGATCATTGGCACTGACACACTGCGTCTTTGTCGAGAGCATGGTCGTCCGGGTCACTCAACTTCCATACCCTAGAGACAACCTGACCAGCTGATATGAGTGCAATGGGCGAAACGGCGCTCCTTGCCATTTCTCAGATGGTGGGTATCATGAATGAAGTCGCCACTCAGGGCCTAACCTCTAGAGAATTTTGTGTTGATCCGGTTATTGGAAAATTGGTGCTGTGTGTTTCTGTTCCCCTTGAAAATTTGCAAGCCATTCCGTAACGGAATGGTCTTTTCAGCGTACGCTGTAGCTAGCTGCGCATGCTTAATCTGTTGCTCCACAGTTGTATTGATACACTCTAATAAAGGACCTGCATCATTTTTAGAATTTGGCTGTTGACATTGCATATTGATGGTTCACAGCTGGAGTAGAGTGTTGGACCAATGTGACCATAGCCAGATTCAACCTATCAGGCTAGGTATGATTCTCGGAGAGAAGTTGATTTTGGGGGGTGGCATTATGGTGACAACAATTTACTTTTCGCAATCACAATTCAAGATGTGTCTCCAGCATGGTTGTGGGATCTATAGTGGGACTATTCAAACAGCTGTCGAAGAATACAAAGCATCTTCAATGTCCAGCCTTTGCGATCCAAAAGCATCGGTCACGTAGTTAAAGAGTAAATAACAATAACATTCCGTGGCTTCTCCGCAACCTAGCGCGAGGGGCCCGAATTCCCCGCTAACTTCCAACAATCTTGTCAACGACTCGACCACTTAGTGGTTTTAACATTCGATAACTGAACCCCCTGAGGTAACAGTCATAGTAACCCATTGTATGAACTGTACGGAGTACCTGCAGCGATGATGGCGGCGATCCTCAAGAAACCACTGAAGCTTGCTCTGGTGCAATTGGCCACCGGTATGCCTCTTCTTTGCTCTCAGCGGTCGCGCTGCCCTCAAGTTATTAACAAAATTGCTCTGCCTAGGCTCCGACAAAGCCGTCAATCTGGCCCGTGCACGGTCAAAGGTTCTCGAGGCCGCACGATCGGGCGCATCGTTGATCGTTTTGCCGGAGTGCTTCAACTCGCCCTACGGCACCCAGTTCTTCCCACACTACGCCGAGACACTTCTTCCTTCCCCGCCTACAACTGAGCAGTCTCCGTCTTTTCATACATTATCCTCTATCGCCGCGGAGGCAAAGGCCTACCTCGTAGGCGGGAGTATCCCGGAATATGTCCCCGAAACCAAACAGTACTTCAACACCTCTCTGGTGTTTTCCCCAACAGGCTCTCTGATCGCCACCCACCGCAAAACACATCTCTTCGACATTGATATCCCTGGCAAAATAAAGTTTAAAGAGAGTGAGGTGCTCTCCGCTGGAAATAAAATTACCATTGTCGATTTACCAGAGTACGGGAAAGTTGGCTTGGCTATATGCTATGATATCCGATTCCCCGAGTCAGCGATGATTGCAGCGCGCAAGGGATGCTTCCTGCTTGTGTACCCCGGCGCTTTCAACACGACTACCGGCCCGTTGCACTGGTCTCTCTTGGGCCGTGCAAGGGCGCTGGATAATGAGGTCTACTCTGCGCTCTGCAGTCCAGCGCGGGACATGAACGCGACATACCATGCCTGGGGCCATAGTTTGGTCGTAAACCCGAGAGGAGAAATTCTAGTTGAAGGTGCTGAGTCAGAAGATATCTTGTACGCAGATTTGGACCAGGGAGTCATCGATGAAACGAGGAAATCCATTCCGATTTACGACCAGAGGAGATTTGACGTCTATCCTGACATTAGTAAAGGAGACGTTAAGCTTGAGGAGTAGGCTTTTGGGCGTTTTGAACAGATATATGTACAGCTACAATTACGAACTACAAGGCTACGCTTCCATCAATAACTTGATTCAAGGTTCCCTTGTCCTGATAAGCGAGCACTCCGTCCCTCGTTTCGAATACCATCAGTAAACACCGCTACGGAATTAAACCGATATTATCTCCGACGAAACCCCCCCCCAAGATCACGTGACAGGATGTGCTGAGTCATCAATAAGCGAGTCCCACCAAAATCCCATCAAACATCAAAACCACTTTTGACGAGCGGGAAATTTGACGACGACAACCGAGCACGACCAGAGAACTCAACGGACATCTCTTAAACAGCCAGTCAGTGCAGCCTGCTTTCTCTCCATTGCGGTTTGAATAATGTATTGACAAGTACCTCTTTCCACAGACAATGTCGAGCGCAAAAGCTGGAAAGAAGGGCGGCCGCTCCGCTATCGCCGATGTTGTTACTCGCGAGTACACCATCCACCTTCACAAGAGAGTACGTTGAACCCGGGATGTTATCTGAAGGGCAGATCAAGAAAGAGAAATCCAAATTGGGAAAAGTGTTCAGCATGCATGTGCAAACTGCGAGGGTCGAGCATGGACGGAAAACCGAATAGAAGGAAGCTTCACAAAATCATTGAAAACCGTTTGCATCCGCCCATCTGGTCTCCGTCCTTGACTCGTTCCATTACACACTGCGGTGGATAATGGAGATGATTCTGCGGGGGACCAGCAAGTGGAAGGAAAACGAACAAAAGAAGCGAAGGAAAAAAAAATAATTAGTTTTATGAAGTCCATCTTAAGGCCCTGCAGAATATGCACGTCATGAAAGCACAAAATCCTTTCTCTGCATTAAAATTGGGCATTCGGACGGAAGACTAATTTGTTTCTCTCTTCTTTTCTGTTGTGGGTTAATAGGTCCATGGCGTCTCCTTCAAGAAGCGAGCCCCAAGAGCTATCAAGGAGATCCGTGCCTTCGCTGAGAATGCTATGGTAAGTGGAATTTATGTTTATCTCTTTTTCTTCTCTATTCGTTCGGTGGCCAATGGCTTGCTAACCACCGTCGCCTTTTTTTTTTTGCAACTGCATAAACAGGGCACAAGAGACGTTCGCCTAGATCCCCAGCTCAACAAGAAGGTTTGGGAAGCGGGTATCAAGGGTGTCCCATTCAGACTGCGCGTCCGTATCAGCCGCAAGCGTAACGACGAGGAGGGCGCCAAGGAGAAGCTGTATTCCTACGTCCAGGCCGTTAATGTCAAGGATCCCAAGGGTCTCCAGACCTCCGTTATCGAGGATGCTTAAGCGTGTCGTCTACAAATGATCGATGTGTACTCTGGTGTTGCGGGGTTGGGAAAGGAAAAAAACCATGTCTTTCATAGCAGGATTATGTGGAATGCATCTATAGTCGTTCCTCCCTTTCAATGAGCATTTTCACGGGCTTTGACCGTTCAATGAAAATGCATGGTTTTACCTTCATCAAAACTTTCACTATGGAGATTACACCAGCATTGCTAGAGATAAATAACTTAACTGCTGTTATGCGTGACTGATACCAAAACATTGTTTAGCCCCTTTTGCGCCCAGAGCTGCTGGAATCATTTAGATTGATTGTAGAACGGGACGAGAATTGTTGATCCGTGCTGCCACTTGTTACAATGACGACCTCCCGCAGCTGAAAAATAAAATAAGAGCAGAGATGTATGAGGTCGACCGACTTGGGTCTGTTGCCTTGCATTGGGGGACCGATCACGCAATTACTCCTTATCTTCCATGCCCATGCGAACCAAGAGGTTTACTGCCCTAAGATCGAGATGAATGTACTTTGTGGGACGAAGTGGTCTAAACGCCTTTAGTATGCATGTTCAGAATATGAAGCTGATCCTCTTAGTCCGAGGACACGTCGGTCCGTAACTACACCTTGAAAACATCGATATAATTATGGATGTATCCACTAACCATACTAGGGAGCGGTCGATTTCAAGGTCAAATAATCAAAGAGGACATACCCTCACCTCTGTTTTATGCTCAGGATGTGCGCACAGTACACACAGGCACGCATTTGTTATCCGGACTGGGTTCGTGCATGAGCCAAGGTGTCACTTTTGGTACCTTCAAACAGATGATAGGATAATTCGGTATTAGCAGGTGGCTTTTTGTGACACAGGCACTGTAGGTTAATCTTGAGCCTTGTAGAGAGATGTAGCTGGGGGGAAGGCAAAGTGCAAAGACAGCTGCTATAATCCACGTACGATATAATCGCTGCACCTCAATAAGGCCTGTCGTCATGGAAGCAAGGATGATGAAAGTCGCCACCAGTGATTCTATACTGAAGGTTTTCTAATTTTGGGCACCGTTCAAGAAGAAACTTGTTAAAATTCCGGTTAAGCCAATGGGCCATACCATCGCAAAAGAACTGTCGCATAAGTCGTAACTAGTTAGTTGTCGATCGGTGCGCTTATACTTATAAAAACCGGCGCATGGGCCTCTGATGCTGGTAAGAGCAGGACGAGAAAACTGCCTCCTGGTATAGAACGCGCTCAGCTTCCAGGTATATTGCCTTGCACGATAAGAAAATTGGAAACAAGCTCATGATCGTTCCATCGACCCTTGGTGGGAGGCAGGGATGCACAATTCCAGACGGAGCGATGAGCAAATGCCGCAGGATTCGCCTCCTGACTGCCTCTGGGAAGGATAGGAAAAGGAACTGTGGATTTGCTGATAGCGGGATTGGAACCCCAGCACTTTCTTGTGAGGCAAGCTTTATTTGGGACATAAACGTTGTAATTAATGGACAGTCTTCCGGAAGGACTTCCCCTTCAAAAATATAGATTATTCCCTGCCGGGGATGTACCAAGGAAAGCAACTTCACCCAACCGCGAGGAGCTGTACAAGTACTGCCTAGAGCAGTTTGGAACGTCGTTGGCTCGTCCAAAAATCCAAACTGGAGTACCTAAAGGTTTCTACACTCTAGTGCAATAAGTTCCATGACATTCCTCCATTCGCAGGCAGGACGGCAGCCCTCATAACAAATAGAGGCCCCGATAGTCATAGCGGGAATACGCTAGGTATTCCGCGCTTGCTTGGAGCTGCAACCCTACTTCAGCAGATATATGGCTACCATATTAGAGTGTACCACACCGGTACCCCCTTCGCTAGGTAGTGGTACAGCCTTGGATATCTGGTTGCAACAAAGAGAGCGTCAGGAGGGGCGGGGAGAGTACACCTAATTGGCGGGCCGGGCGACTTTTTGGCTAGATTGTTTCCTAAAAAAAAAAAAAAAAAAAAAAAAAAAAAAAATTCTTTTTACGCCCATTTGGTCTCCAATTTGCCCTGGATCGATTGCAAGACGTGTGCTGAGCTCTGATGTCAAGTCATAGGCAGCGTGTACAGCACATACCTTTGAGGTATCTTTGAGGACAGCATAATCACGACACGCAAGTACGCTAGAAGTCGTGACATATGTATCGGGGGTTCGAACCCTGGAGCGAGAAAAAAATTGTTTTCTTTTGTAGTCGCCATCACGGCGGTCTGCAATCGGGTACATACATACATAGGCTTCCTTCTCCCAATCCAAATCAACATAAGAACGAGACCGGAAAGCAGCCTCTGCCCACTTCATATCAAACAAGAGACCTGATCACAGGCATGCCCTCAAAACAATTTGAAGGGTCGAAAGGTATCTGCAAGTATTCTATCCGGGACAAGATGCAGTGGCTGAAAACTCTGTCACAACAAAGGCTATGCTACTGTGTAAAAGAAAGCCAAAGCACTCCGTACTCCAATCTAAAAGGACAAACATCTTCAAAAGGTCGGACTTGAATCGAAACATAAACAGAAAATGGAAGGTAGAGTAATCAAATGCAGGACAATTTTTTCGCAGTCGAAGAACAAGGGCAATTTTCATATCAGAAATTGCGGAGTAACATGGAGCTATTGCACCGCAACAATGTATCCTATTCCATTCCGCGTGGATTAAAACATGATCTGTAACCGAGAGCCAGTAAAAGCAGCACATACAAGGTTCATCAGAGCCGTTACCCATAAGCAAAAAAAAAGAGATAAGAAAGGGACAGTTTGAACGTGTCATCTAATCCTTCTTCTTGCATTCCTCCATAACTGCGGCCAGCTCTGAAGCTTTAGTAGCCTCTTTAACTTTCAGAGCCCATTGTTCAGCTTCTTTGCCAGTGGGCACCAAGAACTGAACACTGGTTGCACGTTGAAGGTAGTCAACCTGCGGAATCAACGATGAATTGAGAATGACGTTGCCACTTGGGTCCGCCCGAAGCAGAATTCGTGCACGACCAGTTTCTCGGTTCTTCAAAACACGAAGCAAGCCGACGCCCTTACGCTGCCATGTGGAGCCTGGTACTAGCTTTAAAGCACGGGCGCGTACTTCAAATTTGACATCTTCATCTGTCTCACCCGCACCACCTTTTGTGAAATCAACCTGGGGTAGATTTGCCGTGTCATCTGTCGGCTCACCCGTTCCCTCATCCGAGACTGCTGGAGTGGTCGAACGGCTAGGCTCAACGGATGTGTTGGCAGAAAACGGAGCGGGAGACAGCATTGCACTACTGCTTTGTTTTTCGGGTTCGGCAGACATAGGGGGAAAAAGAGGCTTCGAGGTAGAACTGCCGAAAAGAGTAGAGAGATTCGGTGTAGAAACACCATTGCTGGGAGGTGCAGCCTTGGGCGTGGCGCTTTCTGATACTGCTCCAAAGGAGAATTTTGGGATTGATGTGCTTGACGCGAGGATTGAGCTGGGTGGAGAGGCCTTGGGCGTCTCTCCGTCAATTTTTGGATTTGATGGGGAGGGTGTGCGAGTGTTAGTAGCTGAAGCAAACGAAAACTGAGGAGTAACGGATCCTGGCGAATCGAAGGAAGATGCAAACTTCGACCCACTGAACAGAGATGCAATAGGGTCAGCAGGCTTTTCGGCTGTGACTGAATCATTATTGCCTTCTGCTTTATCATCAACCTGACGTCGCGGTTGACCGTTAGGTCCCAATTCAACTCTGTCAAATAAGCTACGGCCGTTGGTGGCACCCGGAGACGCTGCAGAGACTCCAGATGAAACTGTATCCTTGGATAAATCTCCAACTAATCCATCGGAGGTGAATTTGGAAAGTTTCTCCTTTCCACCGGTCTCTTCAATATCAATAGGTTGGGGAGATCGCTGTCGTCCTTGAGCAGCGACGTAGGAGCTGATGAACATGCGTAGGGTTTCAGATGCTTCGCCTTGGTCTTCGTCGACTTCTATCGATTTCTCACCGTTCACTTCCGGAATGTTTGAATCTTCGTCCATCTTGGTATACTTTTCAACTTGACCTGAACAAACATCTGCCCCATTCTCATCCCTCACCTTCCGTTTTGTTGGCGACGTGGACGGAGATAGCTCGGTGGCTTCAGGTTTACCACGCTTTGCGTTCGAAACTTCCCCATCTACAGCCTTTCTCTTTTTACTTTGCTGTTCCTCCTGAGGTGGAATGGGCTCGCCGGCAGGGAATGTTCGTCTGCTACCATATGGTACAGCACGATAGTGGCTGACCAGAGAGCAGGGATATCCAATCTGCCGACGAAGCATGACATAATAGGCGATAAGAGGTTCAAAATCGTTGCAACTAGCATCAATGCTAGCGATTTGTTCCTTGAAACTCTGGTTAATATACTGGAATCTCCATTTATTAATCCAGTCCTTCTTTTCGCCTTCACTAAGCTCAGATGGTATCGCGTCCTCGGGGGGCATCAGCTGTGCAACTTCTGACTCCACATCGTACTGCGTTTGCATCCCGGAGTCCGCATATGCGGGCTTTGCTACCATGGTACCAGCATCTGTGGCAACCGTCTTCATAGCCTGAGGCTGAGCTGGCCCAGTAGGAGTAGAAGGTTGGAAGAGCGCCTTGGAAACGCTCGCTGGAGGTTGTGCAGCATCGACGGGTTTGAAGATCGAGTCAGTGGGCCCAAACGCCTTTTCTGCAGGCTTTTCAATGCTAAACAAGGATGGTTTCTCGGCGGCAGGCTTTTCAAATGCCTTAGCGACGGTTGTGGGAGGAGGCTGTGAATCGGGTTTGGATTGGTCAGAAGTAAACAGGGGTTTGCTAGGTTCAGTTGTTGATGGCCGGGGACCGCCCCACGAAAAACCTGCTCCAAAGGTGGTTTTAGAAGAGGGGGTTGTAGTGCTTGCTCCAAAGATGGATGCACTGGGCGTAGGTGGTGCAGGTTCGGAGTCTTTGCTTGAGATTCCGAAAAGGTTGCTAGATGTGGTAGATTGTGGAAATAAGGCGCTACCGGGAGCGGGAGCCGAAGCGGCAAATAATGAAGAAGTAGGGGCAACGTCTTTATCTGATGTGGTTGTTGAAACACTCTGTTCCGGCTGGGAGACGCCAGAAAACAAAGAGCTGCCATTGGTGGAAGCGGAAAACAGTGTTGGTGCGGCAGTAGAAGGAGTAAAGCTTGCCAGAGTCGATGCCGTTGCTGGGCTGGATGAGGATTCGGGCGCAGAAGTTTCAGTCTTTGACTCCCCAAAGAGAGGCTTTCCAGGTGTAGAAGAAAACACCGACGATGCAGGTGCAGATGATGGCGTTAAAGGTCCCGTCTCGGTCGGCTTAGTGGTAGTTCCAAAGAGCGAATTGCCGAATTGGAACTTCGGGGGTTCCGTAGGAGCAGCATCTTTCTTAGATTCCTCAGTTTGGTCTTTGGATTCCTTGAGATTCCCAAAAATGTTGCTAGTTGTCGAGGTTGATCCCAAAGATGGAGTAGAGAAGATTGACTGGGTTGTGCTCGACACAGCCGAAGTACTACTCGCGGCGGGTGTCCCGGCTTCAAGAGCAGATTCGTCCGGTTTGGTGGCACTTCCGAAGAGTGAACCACCCTTAAAGGCCGCTGGGGCGCTTATACCGTTAGACTCTGTCGAAGATATAGTCTTGGAACTATCATCTGGTTTAGTAGAGCTCCCGAAAAGGGAGGTCCTGGCAGAGGTTGGTGCTGAAAAGTTCCAAGTAGATGTTGGAGCATCGGTAGTTTTGGATGCTGAGGTGGTAGGTGTGCTAGTCTGGGTAAACGGGCTACCGAACGCAAACGAGGGAGTAGTGGTGGTAGCCGAAGTAAACGCAGGTTGCGCCGGTGCGGAGAAATTAAAAATGTTTGACTTGCTGGCTCCTAAGGCAGGTTTTCCATCTGGTGACATCTGCATCTGGTCTGCGGGTTTGTTTCCTTGGGTAGCCGGAGTGGCTCCAAACGGCTGAGAAGTTGGAAAGATGCTAGTACCGGACGGCTGTCCGAAGATATTGCTAGTGGCCGCGGTTGACGCTGCAAAGGGTGGATTGGGGGTTTGACCATTGCCGCCAAACGAGAATGACGGTGGCTGGCCCTGCTGGGTACCAAATCCGCTAACTCCAAAACCGCTGGTAGTACTAGTCCCCGACTGACCGTCCTCACCGGTGGTAGCGGGAATATTGAACATATTTCCCTTGAATCCCTGGAAATTAGAATTTTGATTGGAAGAGGTGTTGTTGAACGGATTCGTGATCTGCTGGTTGGGAGTTGAGGCTGAAAAGCTAAACGACGACGGCGCAGAGTTGCTTTGAGAGCCGAAAAATGAGAAAGAACTATTCTGATCTCCGAACGGTTGGGGTTGGGTGTTCTGGGAGTTGCCCTGTGAAAAGCTTTGGGATTGAAATGAAAAGCCGTTTGTTGTGGCTGAAGGTGTCGAGTTTGGGACGATGTTCGGATCGATAGTGCTAAAAGGAGACGGCTGGGTCGAGGCAGCTATATTCGGCGATCCGACGCGACCTCGTCGTTGACCTAATGGCTTGATTCTGTGACTTGATTAGAGGCTGAGCAATCACATATAAAGCCAGGAGAAAAGGGATAGATGTCATGCGAGTAAAGCAAACTTCTCACAGAGGCAAAATGTGGAGTGAAGTATCGCCTACTGAGACCGCAAGGAACGTCTAGATAGGCGGTAGGGCAGAGCGCAGACGCTGCAAAGTGAAAAGAATGGGGCTGATGTGACTGGGACGGAGCCTATCCGCGTCTGGCGTTGTCAGGTAAGCAGCAAAGGCGGTTTGACAGACTATAATGCCGACGGGGAAACGGTCTCGATAAGTCGTCCCTATGAGACAGAGCTCAGGAAGCAATAGATTGGAAATTGAAATTGTGGGGCAAAAAGAATGTCAAAAGGGATCGAGTGATAGAGTAAGACATGGTAACAAAGAGTGAGAAACAGGTAGTAGGAGGAAAATAAAAATAACTGAGAACTGAGACGTGAAAGGCAAAAGCGGCCGTGGACCAAACGAAAGGGTAAGGGTCATCGAAAATCCTTTGACAATAGGTCGGAATGTTGCCTCCCCCCGTTGTCTAGACTCATATAATGGAGGTGGATTGATGAGAGCGGAGCAGGACACGGGAGTCTCCGTTTTCAGCGGACAAACAACATGAGATCAAAATATAAACATGGCGGGCAAACCATCAAATCTGCTCCACGATCAGTCAGAAGACACACTTACTTTCTTTTCGCCAACTGCGCGGCCGTAGCCCGCTGCGGCGCTTCTGCATTCATAGACATAGTGTCTAATCCTGTTTCCTTGGAGCCTTGAATCTCCGCTCCTCGTTTGGACATTGGATGAGGCAGATCACCTCGTGATTCGAGGATTCCTGCCGCCTGTCGCCTTGAATATCAAACTTGAGAAAGGGAGAGGTATTATTTGGAGACCTCTCGGTCGAATTATTGGTTCGGGTATCAGGCTCGCCGTCCCATTTGACTTCCGGCGAGACCTGGATCGCAAACCGGTCGCGAAGCTCGACGAGACAGCTGTCCTGGACAACCCGATGGTGCCGACTGTCTGTTATGCCTGCCTGAATGTTTACGGGACAAGTTTGACAAGCGGCTCGGGGGGAGGGCGCTGGAAGGTAGGCGAATTTGTGAGACTCGAAGATGGCAACGAGATGATTTAGAAGGAATTCCTACTTGTCGCCCAAAGTCAGCAATGTCTCTTCGCAAAGAGACTTTCAGGCAACCGCCTTGAAGCGATAAAGATAATCGACTCGCCCTTAGGACTCTTTGAGGTCGCCGAACATCCAAACAACGGTCGATCGCACGCGACAACGAAACCCCGGGTGGCACGCCAAAGGGAAGAAATTAAAAAAAAATAATAGAAAAAAAGACCGACGAAAGGCAAAGCACGCCAAACTGAAGAGAAATTACAAATTTATGCACGGGTTTGGACAAGGTAGGAGGGCAACGGGGCCAGCTTGGATACGCGCCGCCGACTTGTGAGATAAAAAAAAATGTTGATGGGAAGCGGTCGTGGTGGTTGCCGGGTCCGTGGTGGTCTTGTTATCCTTTTTTCCTTGCCCTGATCCGCTGACGGCCAAGAAGAACCTCCAAGCACCCACCTGCACCAAAACTGGAAGTCACGTGGTTAACGGGCCGATGTTTTTGCGGAGGCAGCAAGTCCAGGTGCCCAATGAAGGACTCGTATGCTGGTCATTTTTAACTCGGTAATAAGCTTACCTAAAGGGGGATTTCGTATTCTATGTGGGTCACGTGAGCGAGGGGCTACATGTAGTTGGATTACCTAACAACATCCGCGCCTTGGTGGCGGCGAAGGGTGAAAGGGAGGAGAGGAGTGAACAAAGAACAGCAAACAGTAAACAGTGAGACGAAACAGCTGCAGGGAGGATGGGCATAGTCAGTTCATCCTCAAGATCTGTGGGCACCCTAATTAGGAAAAAAAAAAAAGGTAGTGTTTATGCAGAATATCAGGCTCACCGCTGTGCCGATGTGTTACAGTTATGCGGTTAAGAGCAGTCTCGGTGAGACAGCGACATGCAGAGCAGTCTGGGCTCTGTGACTGGAAGGTATCTTGGGTGACGGAGACTACAGAGTATATATTGTTGGGATGAAGTGGCTGGATAGTGATTGATCAATCACTCAGTAGCAGCGCGCCTCACATAGAAATGGATAGAATGCAGTAGGGAGTGAGAAAAACAACAAGAAATGCGTTACCATATTGTTAAAACTTGTTTAAAATATATATAGACTCCTGAGAACAGTAAACCTGGGTACCTGCATCCAAAATGAGATATTTCCAAGTGCTGAATAAATCGTATGGGAGAGGGTGATAGTGCTCATAAATCACCACTTGTCTCCAAAGGGAAAAACAAAAGTTATATAATGCAATCTATGTAGAAGTTCCATCTCCAATTGTCCTGAGCTTTTCTCCTCGTTCGTTGCATTATGATCGGAGTACGGAGTACGGGTTGGAGGTTGGGAGGAAGAGGTAGAGGAGCGGGCCGCCGGGACCGATTTACAACTTGGCCTTGGTCTGGGCTTTCTTGAGGATGGGCTCCATCTTCATGGCCTTCATGGCGTTTCCTCTAACCTTCAGCTTACCGCCCATGAAGAGCCGTTGGGCGTTGGCACGACCGGCGACGAGGGAACCAAAATCAGCATCGGAGAGGACGAGGGTGACTTGTTACGGTGTCAGTGCATAATCACGAAAACATGGTCGAAGGGGAGGGAGAAAAAAAAAAAAAAGGACTGACCATCAGCCTTTCCACCCTCAGGGGCAGCGCCCTTGCCGACAACACCCTTGTCCTTGAAGTCGAGATACCAGCTCTCGGTCTCACCCTTCTCGTTGGTCAAGGTGAATGCAAAAACGGCCTTGGCGGACTTGATAGCGTTCTGGCGCTCGGCGTTGTCGGCCTGGAGGACGCTGTTGATGATGTCGAAGGCAGCGGAAGATTTGAAGCTGGCTGCACGTCAGTGTGTTAGCAGTGACTTGAAATTCCGACGACTCCGAGACAGCGCAAAATCAGTGAACTCACGGTTTGCGAGAGACATTGTGAAGGAATTAAGTAGACTCGACGAGGTAGGCCCGAAAAATCAAGTAGAAGGAAATGGGTATCTTACGAGCTGAAAATATGAAGGAAAAGAATATAATGTTACAGAAAGCGAACTTCAAGAGATGATGGCACGAAGATTCGCTGGATTAGCAGCTATTTTATGTACAGACATGGCCCAACGGTACTCCGGACGCATGTGAATTTCCCTGTGAAAAAAGCCAAAAGCTGGTGCCGAGGCGCTGCGCTTCAGTCTGTGTCACCGGCGCTATGACAAAGCATAATTCCACGCTTTCTCCCCGTCCCACGCTTTCGCCCTGGGAGTTGAGATCCGTGGGGTTTGTGCGCCTAAGGTCGGCAGGATTACCGTTTTGCGACCTACATCATGTAGAACGGGTTGGAGGAATGTATTGGTAATGACACCACTCAATTGTCTGTCTGGTTATTTAACTATTTATGATACTTCCCACGTTCAAAGGCGTAGGGCAGGTCATTTTCACGGGGATAAATTCTCTGGGACGAAACGATTTACGCCAACGGCTCATCCAGCCAATAAACGGTGAAGCGAATACGGGGCCAAAGCTGGAGATTAGCTGCTTCACCCAGAGAACGCATACGAAAGTGTGGATCAGTTAGCATGGTTAATCAAAGATATCAACAGACGATCCATTCATCATGAGAGATCCCCCAGTATCTCAAGAACACCGTCTTCGTAGACGGTGAGGTTGCAACTACCGAGGCACACGATCATGCTCAGGTGCAACGCTAGGGGAAATAACTAAAAAAAAGAAAAAGATAACTAGTTACAGATCAAACGGGACATTTTTTTGGTGTTTTACATTCATAAGTCGTCAATCGTCGAGGAATAAGGGGGAAAAAAAAGCGCCATCATCATTTCCGTGGCATCTTCCAATTCTGCACCGGTGCTGTTGACCCCATTTCAATGCTCCCCGCCTATTTTTTCTTCTTTTCTATGATTTGCCATGACCGTAGATTTGCCAATTTCCCGTGGATAAACGCCTTCATAGGCCCAAAATAAAAATAAAAATAAAAAAGCCAATAAGAGTGGCAAAAGAAGGATAAGGCTCATCGCCAACTAAACATCGAAGATCGAAGAAACCGCCTCATATGATCGGGCCCGCATGACAGCAGCCCACGAGTCTTTGAGGTCGCCCGCTGAAAGTTGGTATACGCCCGAAACTGCCTCGAGCGATCTTTCCTCTTCGTTTCTTCCATCAGCACTTTCTGGAACTGGCGCGCATCCATACCAATCGGACTAAGCATGATGGGCACGTCCATGACTTCCACCGGCGAGGGTTTCTTGCGCCGTCGTCTGCTGACGGCCTTGCGCGTGAGTGGTCCTAGGGCTTCGTCCCACGTCCCGCTGCGAAGGACGGTTTCTTCGAAATTAAACTCGCGGACGGTGTGTCTGTGGTCAACGATGAAGGATGAAACCTGAGATGCGTCCAGAACCACGTTTTCCACTTCCATATGCCGCAGTGATGGGAACTTAAGTGGCCGTAATTTTGATCTTGCAGAGCTCCCGCGTCCGCAAGGCAGAGGTAGGGAATTTGAGGAGGCGTCGAGGCATGGCTCCGTTGATAGAGTGAGCGGGCAAGGGCCTTTGCTCCCTTTCCAGCGAAAAGTGAACTCTCTTAAGGAAGAAAACCCCCCGAGGTATGAATGTAGAAGTTTCAGGTGGTCCGTGCTTTCGCCACATTCGAAGGGGAAACTGTCCATATGGATATGTAGCTTTTGCACCTGCATCCATCGTTTCCGTGCTGATGGGGATGCACCAAACCCAAGTGTGTGTCGGAGATAAAGGAGAGCGGCGGGATGTATAGGAAGTAGTGACAGCGTCTCAAGGCACTCTAGCGGCGCCTGCTCAACCGCTATACGAAGAGAAATAAGAGCGTAGTCAACAACGCTGCGCCGGTATCGATGACCAGGGACCTGGCGATCACAAGAGATTATCAGGTGGGAGATTGAAGGCATGGCCGTAAATGCTCGAATAAAAGATGGTATGTTGGTGGCAGCATGGAACAGTGGGGGATATTGCTTCGTCAACAAGTCTGTCATTTCCCACGATCCATACTTGGGAATGCTAAGCCTCGAACCTGCGCATTGAGACGTATGGACCTGGGGCATATATACAAAAGTTTGCTCCTCTCCAGTAAAGGGATCAAGCAATGGTGGTAGAAAGGTTTGAGGCGAATGTGCAATCCGAAAAGTAAGTGTTTCGATGAACCCGCCGATGCGCTCCAGCGCCGCCATCCGTGCAGGCCGAGTAAATGTGCTGCTCCGGAATTCAATTTCAATGTTGGAAAATAGGCAAGATGCCGTTTGGATGCTCAATTCATTGCAAACCAGTCGCAATGACAAGATATCCTCCTTTGCAGTATGCGCCAATATAGTATCCCGAATGCCTCTATCCAGGAAGAGGTCGACGAAAGAAAGGTGACTTGCCATCGTGATTGAGTACTGGTCCAGGTTTCAGAGTCAATGCGCTTCAATGGCATCGTTTGCGCCAGGAGTATTCCACAAATGAGGGCAAGTGTCTCAAGTTCGGGGGAAAATTTTTTCTCGGGGAGCGATTCACCAGAAATGCGGTCAATGTGCTTAATGTCCAAAATTGGCCGAAATGCTCCATATAATACGAACCGGCGATTAGAAGTGAAAGAAAGGCAAACGGCGGCGACCGCCTCCAGAAATGAGAGAACTATTCAAATTATGCATCGCCTCAACCCGGTTGAGGCATGCATGAGAGATTAGAAAAATTCAACGAAAAAGGAAAATCGACGGCTTTTTTTGTCGAAAAAAAGGCCGTTTCCCCTCGTGCTTGAGGCGGCATTCTAGCGAAAATGGAGGAATCTAGAAAAGTACGGGGGTAGGGGGGAAGGGGGGAAGGGTAAGCATCACCCTTAGGGCGCTCAAAACACAGGAATTCGGCTTGAAAGGCGGGATCCAGGCGAGGACTAAAGAACTTAGGGGGCCCTTCTACAGAACAACGGCCGTAGTCGCGAGGGCGACGCGGTAGTGAAGAGCAGATTCCGACGTGATAAATGGTGGGCCGGAACGCAGAGCAACAAACATGTTTCCCGTTTCATCACGGCCAAATGGCGGTCATTGGCACGAGGCCGGCATTAGCCCCGCAGTGTGTTTCCTGTGGTACCCCTGGTGTCCAGCCATGGTGTCTGTTCACCGCTCGCTGACCGCAACTGGTTCACAAATCCCGGATCAGACGTCTCTGCATCGTCGAATGAGGGTTGCATATTCGCCTTTGCTGGGGCCAAGCATCAACCATCGTGCTTGGCTCGACTTCCGCGATGGCGATGTCGCGTCAATCAATGCGGGGCCACACCCTCGACGCGCATAAACGCGACCAGAACGTGCCTGTCTGTGGCTTTGCGCGGGCACGACGGGGGTTCTACATACGTACATGGAGCGTCCTGCATCTGACAGCCACATGGGGTGGGTTGCGTGAAGAAGTCCGTGCTTCACAGAATGTCAAGTCCTTGCCAATCGGCGGGAGCTCGTTCGATATCAGTTCGCTGTGGATCTATACTGAACAGCCACGGAGAATACGTCACACAAAGCAAAAGGTAAAATAAAGGTGAAAACCATATCTTCTACTCCGTACCGCATCCGGATGCATCAAGTCAATAATCAGTGAACTCCGCACCTGGACTATACAAATCGCGTCATAGCACAGGGGAATAATCTAACATAAATCACTAGTACGGGATATAAAGGCGCAGCCAGCCCCACCGAATGATATGGATGCCGTGTTATAGTACATACAAAGAGCTGGTGGTAATAGTACTGTCGAAGAGTGACCGGGAGTTTAATTGTAGCCTCTCCGGCGTTTGCCCTGGTTGCGCTCTCTAGGCGTGACAACCGCCTTATTAACCTTGCGCTTCGGTCGTGTTCTGTAACCAGATTTGGCCTAGGAACGTTGTCAGTTTCAATCAGACTAACAGACAAGTCAGGATAAATAAAAGGCGCATACCGGAAGACCCCAAGGACTTTTGGGATCAACGTTACCCTTGGACTTGCCACGACCGCCACCGTGGGGATGATCCATTGCGTTCATCGCGAGACCACGCACAGTAGGTCGAATACCCAGCCATCGCTTGCGACCAGCCTTACCCAGTCGTCTATACTGATGGTTTGCATTGCTTGCAATGCCAATGGTCGCACAACAATCTTTGTGAATCAACCGAATTTCACCACTTTTGAGGCGAAGGGTGACGTGCTCCGACAACTTCTTCAGTCTGTGTTTGTCCTGAAGGGTCAAATGCTTGACCTCCCCTTTCTCGTCTGTAATAGTGTCTGCTTCAGGATCATATCCTTCTACAGACTTCGCGATAACAGTTGCGAAAGTACCCGCACTTCGACACAGCTGGGCCCCTTTATCTTTATGTAATCCTACATTGTAGATCAGCGTGCCAATTGGGATCATGTGCAGCGGTAGGCAATTCCCCCGCCACGCAGTCTTTGCAGCTAAAACACCAGGGTCAATAACACCGCCCATACTCTCCCACAAATCCTTGGGGATGCCGGCGCGATAGCTTTGCACGACATCACCCTCTCGCATTCCCTCGGCGGCAATTATATAACTTAGCTTATTTGTAAGCTTGGATCGCAGGAGAGCAATATGCGCATTGCGGTTGGGGTCGTGTTCAATTCTCTCCACCACATGTGGCCCAGGCTGTTTTCTATCAAAATCGACGATCCGTATTCTTCGCTTGTGACCACCTCCGCGATGTCTAACGGTGACATGTCCGGTGTTATTTCGTCCGCCCTTGCCATGGCCTGTTTTGGCAATCGTCAATTCCTTGACCGGTCGTCCTTTCCATAAATGATCGTTTATTGGCCTTCGAAGATGTCTTGTGCCGGGAGTGCGAGGCTTATAGGTTCTCAAAGCAAGCCCGCCTTTATCATGGGACGGCGGAGGCGCAAACGAAACGCTTTCATTAGCTGAGGGATCAGGAACCGCAGGTTGTGACTGAACAACCGTAGCATATGTGCGCGACAAAGCCGAAGAGAGGCATTTGCAGGAGTATTGGAAACCCCGCAACGAGATGCGAGGCTGTAACATGGTGATTCGGCAACAAGTGGTAGGTCAAGTGGTGAGTCGAGATAGAGGCTAAAATGAGGAATCAATTTGACATTGCGTAAAATTTCCAAGCACACCAAACCACAGTGAAAGTGCTCCGTAGAAACAAAGAACAAATCCAGATATTTCAGGCCAGCGGACCGCCAATTGACATTGTTGAGCTCCAAGGGCAAGAAACATCCAGATGAAAATCTTTGGCCGAACATCGCTACACGTGACCCTAGACGTGGCTTATATAATATCACCCGCAGTCTAACGTAACCTACAAGCGAGCGAAAGATTAAATTAGTTATCTCAACTAAACTAGAATTTAACCCGACATATCTACGCCCAACAACCCCTAAATAGATTAAATTACACTACAATAGGACTAGGGCAGCTTCTTCTTGTATGGCCTAAAATATGGCAGTTCGTACACCTTGGTGGTGCCCGGGAACATGATGCAGGCTCTGAGGCTGCAGGCTCAGAGAGTTTTGAGTGACTGACTGTTCAACAGATTGAGCAGATGAAATAGAGGCCTCAGCAATCTCTTCCCTATTTAGACCTCCTTCACATTGAATTCTTATTCAAGGATTATAATGTAAATCATTAGAGCCATAAACCATGGCCGAAGGCTGATGTCCAGGCTATGCAGTATGGCAAGGGACCTTGGAACAGATAACTTTCTCCAGTGACCTTCGTCACAGTGCTGCGGAAGGAGGCCCAAGTGTAAGGATATTTCAGGTTCAGCAAGGGGAAAGTGAGAGCAACAGGGATAGCCAGGATTTTCAGAATGATTTTAAGCAGGTATAGCTTCCATCCATATTGCTGAAACATTTGTGGCTGCCTCTGTTCTGCTGATTGTCCCTGCTCATAGATGCATTTTGCTGCTTGATGTGTTGAATTTCTTTCTGTCCCTACTCCATTTGCCATTCCCTACTCATTTCATGAGTTTACACTCTGTGCCGCTACTTGAAAAGATCCCTAGTCAGGCCCAAAATCAAGGTCTGTCCGCTGTAAAACATAACAGTCCTCAATGACAAATGCACCTGGCCTACCCCATTATTCCAAAATATGGCCTCCCTGAAGGAACCCGATCGGATACCACCTATTTTCCAACATATGGCCTCCCCTGCAGGAATCCGATCCCCGAGGGACACCACTATTTTCCAGTCAAGACGCTACTTGTACATACCGTTGAATTCCTCCTTTGTTGGGGGGGGGGGGGGGAAATCCATTAGGAAAATAGTGGTGTCCCCTGGAGATAGAATATCTCTGGGGGAGGCCATCCGTTAGGAAAATAGGGGCATCCTTCCTTCCCTCCTTCTTCTCAATTTAACGTCCAACCAGCCGCTCTTGGAATGCTATAGTCCGTAAGGCGTCTCTTTCTCCGTAACTCTCGCGGCGGGGATCGAGGTGCGTCCGTCTCTGCATCCGTATCGTCGTCGATGACAATGGGTTTCTTGCGGCGGTGGATGGAAGGTGGAAAGGGAATTGAAAGAAAGATGGATTCAGAGGGGGAGGGAGGCCATATATATATCCAACGGCCGAAGAAGAAGTCACGAGATTGCGTATCACGATGACAAAGGGTCGTTGATGCGGGATACTGCCCCGGCTGCTAACCAGGACCGGGGTTCCTCGCGTTATGTTTAGGAGTGAAAAGGAAGACGGACCTGGAGGGGGAGGGAGCCCTCTATTTATACCAAGGGATTGGGGGCAGTCACGGGATGCTCGTATCGGGCTGCTCTCTCCAGGCATTGAAGCACGGCACAGCAGCTAACAAAGTCCGGAGAACAGTAGAAGAGGAGAAGGCATGGCAGTGCCATGGGCTGGTGGCTCGGTTTCTCCGGTTATATACAGCTGCCCCTGAGGAGAAAGATGAGGACACTGTCAAGCGAGGCTCCTCTCACCTGCCTCTCAAGGGCCGTTAATGACCGCTAGGAGAAGCCACCTTATAGTTGATCATGATATCCCTTTCGTATACATAGATTATTCCTTGCGTACGGGACCCATCTTCATCAGAGAGCCCAAAAGACGCAGAATAATGTGATCATAGTGGAGACACATTCACTACCCTCTTTGTCAAAATCAGTGATGCTTTAGATAATTGTCCGGTGTTATTCGCACAGGAGGTGGGTAAAAAGTTTCCTATTTAATAGTGAGTATGGTTATTGTAGGAATTATCAGAGATCATACCAGGTCAGTCTTAGAAGAGGGGAAGTTATCATCCAAGACAGGCTGTTTGCAATTGAGCTTGAATTTGCGGCTCTCTTCCTGCCAAACTTTCTGGGAGTCAGTCACTGTCTCCAGCCCGAACTCTGACACATAGCCATCGGTATTACAATCTGTTAGATAATCCTGCAGCATGCGTCCAAGTGTGGCCTTTCGCTTGCCCCTGACGTTAAAGGGATTAAGTCTTGGCTTTTGGTGCATTGTGAATTCGATGATATAGTACATAGCTACCCGTGGTGGTTCGGATTGCGGTGTTAGCTCATAGCCAGCGATCACTAGAGAAATGTCACTGTAACAATCAATGCAGAATCGGCAGAGCTTGTTTATCAAGGTTTTCAATCGCTGACGTCGCATCTGTTGAATATTGTGAAGATTAAATCTCGAGTCTTCATCCAGCACCTGCAAAGACATAATGGTCGGCTAAGGAGAGGTAGGGGCAGGCATGGTGGATTGAACGCATTCTATTTACAAGCCAGAGGTAGCCACCATTTTTCAAAATCTGTGACGTAGCCATGATCGAAGCACTGATATCATTTCATGACGGGCCATGAGCGAGACTTGTCCAAAATGGATGAGTTGGTTTTAGGGCTTAGTGTGTTTCGATATTGAATTTCTGGATTTCTGGATTTTTGCATTTTTGCATTTCTGCAATTTGGCTTCAATTGGTCGATCTATTTATTAATCTACTTGATGGATGGTCCATTTCAGAACGGTACACATGGCGAGAGATAGGGCGCCTCTTGATTAGATTAGTGTCAACATACCCTAGCCTGTAATGCTCATTACAAAATGTTCATGATCTAGAATTTCCAAATACTCTCATTAAAGATCAACGAATTCATCATATGTCAAGTGTTCATCCAAACCCTTTTCTGCAGCTTGCTGCATTTTCCTCTTGACAAATCCATCCAGTTCACTGCACTCCTGCTGAGACAGAAGAGAGATTCTATCACCCAAGCAGCACAGAGGGCCAAAATGCTTCTTGTCAAGAAATGTCCAGTAAATGTCATCAAACATGAAGCTTTTCCTCACCGCAAGGCAGAACCAAAAAAGTCCATTTTCAATTGATTGCGCCATTCAATCTGATAGGCGTTGAGACTCCATGATGGAGCCTTTCTGTATTTGCCAGTCCTCACAATCTCAGAGCACCTTGAGGAAGAGTTTGAGATGCAGTTTGTAACGGGCTAGGAAGGCATTCAAGTCTGATTCCCAAGCCTCAGGACTTTCAAGAAGCAGCCACCATGGAGCGGTGTAGGTGAATTCAGCTGGGGCAACATAAGTGAACTCCCAGTCAATGACACCAGTAATCATGAAATCTGGGTCGCAAGTAAGTACATTTGAAGGGCAAAGATCATCACAATAAAAATGGAAGGGGCCAGGCTCTGTCTGAATCTCCCGTGCAATCCTGCGGAAGAGACACCAGGCTATATATTTTTTGCAGCAGTCATGTCCATCTTCTACTGCATCATTACGCTGATGGTGGAGGTGAAGAAACTGCTGTGTGGCAAGTTCCTGAAAATATTCAGATGCAGTTTGAAATGTATTTTTAGCAAATATATTCGGAGGAAGATTTCCAACACATACAAGTTCATTCATGTTGAGTGTTAGCGGTCTTTTGCTGACTTTCCAAATTCCTGAATCTAGTTCCAAGCCCCCAATGGCTGGAAACATCAGCTTTGCAAGCTCCAGCAGGATACAAGCCATTCCATGATAAACCTTTTGCAGGTCAGAGTCTGATAGGTTCAAATCCAAACTGAGTGATTCTTTTGTAGGATCTCGGAGCCGTTTGGACAGCAGGGTTCCCTTGAGGAAAGTTGTAACAATGTAAGGGACCAACCCCCAGCACCCACCACCAAGGACAACCAGGACAGGCAATCATGTCCATTGTTCGAGGAACTGCAATACAGCAATTTCATCTCTAGATTTTTCGGTGCGAAACCGGCTTCTGCCTAGGATAGGGAAGCGAACGACCACGCGGAATCCATCTTCAAATGTGACGGTGGAACATATGTTGTAAGCTCCGGTAATGAAACCGGAGGCTTCAACCGGGCGAGAGTCAGAGCAATGCCGACCAGCGAGCTTTAATGGCAAGGCAGGCGATTCTCGCGACAGAATCTGTAGCCAGCCGATGAAGAATTCCTGAGATTTCACTTCAGCGAGGCGATCCCAATCCATCTCAACAATTGTGCTGCTAGATGCGATTGCCCGGAGACAATGTATGGGTCAGCTGCACTAGCTTGGACAAGAGAGAGTCTAAGTGACCTGTGCAGCTCACCATAAAGTTATCGGTTGTCTGATTGGTGGTCTTGGCCAAGTGGGCATTATCTCCAGTCGAGAGTTTAGAGGAGCCAAAACCTAATAATAGGCTTCAAGGTACGGAGTACATAATCTGCTTTAAAACTTTAAAAAACAGCGCTATGGACGACTATTGCGTACTATCCAGTCTTATGCCATTGAGAATGGGTACATTTGAAGCTCAAGCACATTGTCTATGTTCAGCAGCACAATGTTTTGTTGCCAACACGGTTGGAGGGACTTGAAGTTGCTGCCTAAATGCATGGGTCAGACGCATATGCTACCTCACAGCTTGGACGCAAATAAGTAGTCTGCCTCATCTACTCTCAGTTGAACCAAGCCTCCAGCCCTTCTCATCAACTCCAGTGGCGATATCCCGATTGGCGTGCAAATCCCCTCAGAAGACCAAACAGAAGAGCTGAAGAAACAACTGAAGGAGCTCCTGAAAATTAGGGAGACTATCGATGGCATATCGGAAAGAGACAGGCAGATGGTGTTGGCAAACTCCCAGCCGCGACAGCCGCGCTGCCAGAGAAGAACATAAAAGAATGATTCAAGATCATGCCGGAACACGGAACTCAAGAACGAATGGACTTGGCAGCCAATACGCTGTCCAACAGCTGACGACAACATCATCCGGAAGACGCTGGCAAGCCAAGCACTGATGTAGCCCCGTCCAAGCGTCTGCCTTTGGCACGTAATACTCGTGATGAGGTTCTATCATCTCCACATGGTGAGGTGATTCCGGACCGTCCCATTAGCTTATCCTCGCATACCACTCATCCCAAGTACCAAACCCCAGGGCCCCCTTGCCTAGGCCCTCAAAGATTCAAACAACACGATTCTATGACTTCAAAATCCATATATGTTCAGCCCTTTGCATCCATTCATAACTCACTTGCCTCACAACAGTTCATGAAAGCTTTAAAACCTTGCCCTGCCCTGCTCTTCCTCACTTCAACAGCTGTGATTGCACTCTTCAAAGGGTATGAACTAGAAGCGGTTAGAGTCACGTCTTAGACTGATACTCACTCTGACTGTAGGACTCAACATGGCCTTGAAGGATCCAACTACTCTCCTACCAGGGCTCCTCGAAGATGCGAAAACCGGCAATACACAGGACATCAAGACATTTCTGAACGAGTATATTGGAACGGTCTTGAATCGGCTTAACAACCAGTAGTCTGATTATGACGCTAAGTTGTCCTAGATAGAGCCAATGAAAGATGAACCCGTTCAGAGACGCCGATGCTTCAAGACATCAAGCCGTGGCAGGGACATCATGTATGGGGCAGTGTCTATAAGGATTCGCCCGCGAACCCCTTACACAGACGAACAACACTCCCGAGGGCTGGGAAGCCCATCAAGCCAACCACCCAGTTTCAAGGAGACAATGAGGCCCAATTCTGCAGATCCATCACTCCTGACCCACACTTCTTCTATATGACGAATTATCTGATCAATATGCTCTCCTGCAGCACTGAGATGAAGGATAACTGCAATTGCCCGATGGATGGCAAGCAATTTTGGGGACGGTGGATCAATGGTGTGATTTGTTGAGAGGAGCAGGGTTCTTGTTGCTGGGAGGTTGAAGAATAATGAGGCGCCATCATCTGATGAATGTATCTTGTAAGTGTGTTTGGGATGAATTGAGGTGTCCATAGCTTCAAAGGAAATTTGGAAGTTGCCAAAGGACCTATGAGCCTCAGCTGTCAAGGTAAGAGCATTGCTTGGATGATCAATATTTGGTCCCTCAATCAGATGGATGACGCCTGGGTCAAACATGTTAAGTATTGCAAGAGCGGTTTTCTTAGATTCGCTCTAAAAGTAGAATTAGAATTAGAAAACAGTTGCCGAACACACCTTTATAAAATGCTGTACATACCAACTGCAACTCACCACTGACAGTAGCTGTTGTTGACATAATTGAATGGGGTATAATATGTGCAACTTCAAGGAGTGCAAGTTTACCAGGTGCGAAAATCAACTGCTGGCCATCATCATCTTTTGGATTTGAGGGATCTTGCTTTAATCTCTCTAAAGCTTGAGTCCAGTTAAATACCCGCGTAACCACACACCGGTTATGATCACGAATCAGACAATCACGCCGAAGGACTGATAATCTTGCAGGTGTTCCAACTGCATTTTCAATTGAAGAGGCTGATAAACCAGCTGGTGTTGGCTGTGGTGTCTTTGTCCCTGATGCCTTCACTATAAACCATGTAAGCAAGAAAGCAAGAAGTATGTGGATGCGCACCAGGACATGTACATACATGGTAGAAAAAAATTATTAAAGAGGTATTCTGCAAAGGAATCTATAGCCCCTTCTGCCTCCCTCTTCTGATGTGCTGGGGCAGCAGAGCCAAAGGTGGAAAATCGAGACAGGCCTCGCGCGAAATCTGGTGACCCTTGATCGCTTTGGGTATCAAGGAAGATAAAAAAATGTCGTAAAAAGGTGTCTTTTGAACGGGAATGCTCATATGTCAGGCGGACCAGAGTGACTTTCTTGTATGGTCTTCTGCTCTGGAACGGTTCACAGTGACTGATGAGCTTATTGAAGATGTCATCAGCCTGGGCCAGCTCGGCTGCAGTCAAAGATGGCTGTACAGAAAAGTCGAGGACTTGTTCAAGTGATGCCTGATGCCGAAGGTGAGCAGTCATCTTTTCATTGGCAGTAAGTAGTATGAACTGTTTAGAAGATGTGATGAAGGCACCGTGTTGGGAGTTACACGCCGCGCCAACAGGAAAGAGGCTGCATGCACGTGACCATGCATCTGGAGGTTATTTGTCCGCTGGCGAATGTGGCGAACATGGCCCGATCTATCGACAGTGTACGGAGTAAGTCTTAAGCTGTTTCCCTGGACGGCGGCTAGAACCAACAACCGCGACCATGGTCCGGTTTCTGCCTGTGCACGCTCAAACATTCTTCCGTGCCGGGATGCTAGGTCATTGGAAACCATCGATCGCTCGATTGCTGGATCGGCGATGGGGAGACGATCGCCTGGGTGAATGACTTCCCGCTGCTAGCTGCTCTTGGCGATCACTACACCAAGCCCCTATTTCAGAGAGGCAGCCAATAAGCACTCACTTCCAACGCCGCCAACATTCCAACGCTTCTTTCGCTTCGAGCGCCTCCCACGCCTCCTACACCTATTTCCTACCTCTTTCACTTCTTCGCCTCCTACACCTGTGACACGGTAGTGCCTATTTTTCGTTATAAACTGACAGTTACCTTGAGGCTGTGTACCCAAGATTTCTTGGAAGATTGTTCCGTGCCAGAATATGACTCTTCCATGCCAGCCTGAATCGCACTGGCTATGATAGGAGGATGCATCCACAATGATCGGCTTCTATTTATCGCCCATGTCCGCCGTGTCAGCACGATGTCGACGAATCCCAGCAGGATTGTTGCCTTGTATTACCTTTAGATCCAGCTCAAGCTGCAGTCACAGTGGGAGCAAAACCTCACTGGGATCCTAAAAGCGAACTCGTCTTGATAAGGATTTGACGTTGAGCCGATATCAAGCATACCCTTCAATTGAGTATTGCAAGAGGTCTTCCCTTTTGCATCGGACATGTCGCTTCGAAACATCCAGGAACATGGCCGACCTCTTTGTCGCCATCTACCAATCCCGGAACCAGCTAAGAAGCCGGAAAGCCAGAAAGCCAGAAATCTGAGATCCAGGAGTACTTGGTTGCTCATTGGGTTCCATAGCCACCAAAACACACTCAAAGAAAGTTCGAAAACGCCACTATTTTCTAGTAAAAGGCCACGAATTTTGTTTCCTTGAAGAAAGCCATGGCTTTAAGTGGCCGTGGCCGCGCACCGTTTTGGAAGGGAATCCATTTTCGGCTCTCAGCCACTCAACAGGTAAGCGATGGTGCGTTCTTCAATGATGAAACGCGGCGATAGGGATCGGGATCACCTACGGGCAGGGGTGGAGCAGGCCGATCCATGGCCCAGAAGAAAACTCCACGATGACCACCACCTCCAAACGCTTCGTGAAGAAGTGAAGACTTCGCCGCATCAAGTCACTTCCACAAGTTCCTGGGACCGCAGAGCCTGCTTAGTCACCCTGTGCAACTTGACCCAGTGCGAACAGCAAGTCGATTCTTTCAATTTCCCTTCTTTCTTTCGCAATGGCAACATACAACCAAAGCAAAGCAAAGCAATGGCCCGGCATCGCCATCAGGCCTCACTCGAGGGCATCATCAACTTTTCCGGACCTGAATCCTTACCAGCGGATCAGCGCGCCCGGGCAAAACAGAGATTTTACAGCATCATCAAACATTTCAGACCAGCAGAGGCATCTGATGTTGCCTACAGCCGCCCGTTCCTCGTCCGCTATACTTATGAGTACTCACGTTCTGAATTATCGCAGGACACCTTACGCGCCTTTTTCGATTTTATGGGCCTAGACGTCGGTGGAGACAGATATTGACTTTGACGGCGATGGGAACCAGCTGAATGAGAAGCTGGCCAGTTTTGTGGACTTCCTGCTGGATAACTTCCTATCACTCGCACCCTATATCTCACCAATGATCGATCCATAGAGCCCCCGTTATCCTGACTCCTTGCTTTACATCGGGCAATTGTATATATCGTTCATCTGTCAGGCGCGGGAGAATATATTGACAGGATTCTCCAGGACATTTTGTGATTAACCATAATGATCTCACTGTGCAGGATATCTTCAATCACTGTGACCCATTCTCAATTTCCAGGCTGTAAAAGCTTTGCTCAGCCATAGCACTCAGCACTAGTAATAACCTTGATAGTTGCGCAGAGGCCCATTGCAAATCCAGTCTCATCAAAGTTGTAGATATCTTCCATTGGGATTCCATGCTCAGCAATTATATCCCCCAGAGTCTTAAACCAATCCTGAATAACCTTCCTATCCTCACATTTTGCTCGCTCGTAATTATAGTGTCTGGAATGGCGGCATTTGAGCTCCGTACAGCATTTAATCAGATTTGACACCCAGTTCTTGCCAACACGGAGGGGAGGAGAGGTAGAATCGCATATGGCAAGAAGATGATTAGCCATATTCTCAACAAATGCCGGTCCGGGGGGGGGGATTCCTCATTTAGCTAGGTCTAGGATCCATTGAACTAGCTGATCCTCTTCAGTCTCAGTCAATTTGGTTGAATTTGCGCGTAGACTGGTTCTTGCAGGTTCCATTTGCTCGATGATGTAGTCTTCATAGTCACTGACTGCATAAGACTATAACGAATAATAATAATAATAATAATAATAGTTAATAATTTGCTCGATGATATAAGGTAGTATAAGGCACATTAAATAGCTGTGCAGCTTCAGCAATTGAGCTAATTTCTTGCTTTTTAAGAGTAGAGATAGCAAGTTCAATCCTGCCCTCTATTTCTATAGAGGATCTTGCATTTTTATTGCGAATTGGTGGCATTCTGACGCGTTGAAGTGGATGGTTGAGGAAGTTGAAAAAATTATCTTTCGCTCGCTTGTTGATTACGTTAGTCAGACTCTTACTGAGTCAGCAAAACTTGACGCTTAACCCTTTTCAACCGATTTCTCGGCGCGGCGCGTGACCGTAACCCAGTCACGTCACGCTGTTTTTGTATTTCCATAACATACACGAGCGAAACCCTTGCGTTGCCCTGTCAACGGCCTTTGTTTTGGCTCTTTTCTCCCCTTGTTCCGCGCTCCTTGCGTCGCGGTGGTGTCCCCACTCTGGTATCCTTGTTACATTGTTGCTGGGTCAATACCGCAACTCTGTCGACAATTTCCGTTTATTATTGGTGTGTATGGTATGTATTCCTCCTGTATGCACAACGATGGAATAATAAACGCCAGGCGTTTTTGTTCTTCCTTCACCACCAACTTCCTTGATGTCTCTTCTGCTTTGCCTTGTCTCCTTCTCAACTATCTTCATTTCAGTAACTGCTAACACAGTGCAGTCCTAACAACATCTTCATATCACGATAATTCTACCATTCTGCATACCCAGACGCGAGTATTTCGAGACATTCCTGAGGTTGAACCTCACTTTAGACGCGAGAACTGATACCACCCGGGCCTCAACCCCAAATCAGAACCACAACGCCCCAACGACAGCAGCTAAGAGTGAGACTCCCTTCCCACATTCAATCTCTCGTCCCTAAAGCCCCTTTGCCTGTCAATCATGCCAACTCAGACTCCGAGTTGTTGCCTGCCCTATGGCACACTAGCATGCGGTGTTCCCCATAGCACCCTTTCTCTGTGGTAACAAAAGACCTTTGATTCCCCGATTCTTTCATCACAACAATTAAAGGCCGTCCTCAAGCTTACGAGCTATTTACTGGGCATCTTCTCGAACCCACATTGGAATTTTTCCTCCTTATATGACATAGAAAACGTTCTGTATGATTTAAAGCATACACACGCAACTCTGATAGCAGCTGACAATATTTTAATCTGCAGATATTACCCAGCGAAAGACCTTCGCCCCAGCTACTAGATTTCTGCTTCTTGCATTGCCCCAACTTGTTCTACCGAACACATAGAGCTTGATAATATGCCACCCGTGAGTCTTCCAAAGTCCCCAATATCGCGTCCTTGCGTATCCGCGTGCAGGACACTAACATCCTTCCAGACTAGAAGTCTACGGCAGCGTGCCGTTACTAATGAAAATGATGAGAATGCCCCGACGACACGTCTGACTAGAGCCAAAGCCGCTGCCGCGTCTAGCCATGAAAACCAACTGAACGCTGCAGCCGCGAAGAGACCCCTTCAATCGAAGAAAAGTTCTCTGAATTCTGCTAACACTGGGGCTCAGCGAAAACGGGCAGCATTGGGAGATGTAAGCAATGTGAACAAGTCAGAGGGCGTAGATACAATGGACGCGAAAGAATTGAAGAAAGGAACCACGAGCCGAGTCGGATTAACATCCAAGGCCACAACTCAAACTGGTGGTGTGCAAAAGATTACGCGCAGCAACACTTCTCGATCTGCATTAGGGGTCAGAGATGCCAACAAGCGCGAAGCGGAACTAAAACGGCCAGGAAGCGGTTCAGGTGTCATGGGCAGTGCACAGTTGAAGCGTCAACAGAGTCAGAAGTTCCTTTCTGCAAATGAAAATAATGCCGTCACAGACGAACCTCCCCGAAAACGGATTGACAGTGGAAAAAAGACGACCGCATTCCAAGAAGAAGCAAAGCTAGAGGAAACAGACAGCGTCCCTACCGAGGAACCACAGGACGCAGATAAGCCGCTTAATCTTGATGCTGAGGATCAATTCGACCCGTTGATGGCGTCTGAATATGTCATTGAAATTTTTGACTATCTTAAAGAGATTGAACCGCAGACAATGCCCAACCCGGATTACATTGAGCATCAAGAGGAGCTAGAATGGGAGGTGCGTGGTGTCCTTATTGACTGGCTCATCGAGGTCCATACACGCTTCCGACTACTACCGGAAACCCTTTTCCTTGCTGTCAATATCATTGACCGGTTCTTATCCATCGACATTGTTGCTCTCGACCGTCTACAACTTGTTGGTGTTGCTGCCATGTTCATTGCCTCAAAATACGAAGAAGTCCTCTCACCTCATGTCGCGAACTTCAGTCATGTTGCCGACGAAACATTTACAGACAAGGAGATCCTCGACGCAGAGCGACACATCCTTGCGACGCTTAATTATGACATCAGCTATCCCAATCCCATGAATTTCTTGCGAAGAATATCGAAAGCGGATAACTATGATGTTCAAACTCGGACCTTCGGCAAATATTTTATGGAGATCAGCCTGTTGGACCACCGCTTCATGCGCTATCGACAGAGCCATGTTGCGGCTGCTGCCATGTATTTTGCTCGACTAATCCTCGACCGAGGCCCATGGGTAAGCTTTCTTATGTGTCAAAGTGAAGTAACAAATACTAACGCTACCCATAGGATGTGACTATTGCACACTATGCCGGGTACTCTAAAGAGGAGATCATACCTGTGTTTCACCTTATGATCGATTACCTCTATCGTCCTGTTGCTCATGAGGCATTTTATAGGAAATACGCCAATAAACGCTTTTTGAAGGGTATGTTTTGAACAATGTGTTGTCATAGGCTAAAACTCCAATATCTGATTTATGGCTACAGCTTCCCTTCACGCTCGTCACTGGGCCAAGAAATACCGTTCCATGTACCTAAGCCAAGAGAGCTACGAGAATCGCCAGAGACATAGCTGATCAACAAATTCCTCAATATTGGTTGCAGAGCACCTCTTCTGCAAGTCAATTCGCATGTGGACGAGTCTGTTGCGGTCGGCGTTTCACTAATAATATACTGCCTCGCCGCTATGTCACCACGCACTTCTTTTTTTGGTTACCCTTCGTGGTGTTGATACGACGACATGCCATCTGCTTCCTTTGCTTAAACATTCTCAGTTTCGTCATCTGTCGGATTCATCCCTTTCGATTCCAACGTTTCCGGTTCTATTCATAATCCATTTTCTCTTCTTGGCTTGGTTTTCATCACGGTGTTGAGTGAACAAGGGTTGGAAAGGGTCCCTACCGTCTCCATTTTTCTACTGATTATGCTGTGCTTATTCTACATTTTATGCTGGGTTCATCTGGCGTCCAGCGTGGTTGCATTCTATTCTCTTTGTTCATATCCTGAAGTGTTTAATGCGAGCTCATCTGCAAAGATGTCTGCCTGCAAGGCAATTGCTGAAAGCAGGAGCATCGTTTGATGTAATTTCGCATCCACTTTGTGGGATTAGAGTATACGGATGGTTTACAGGGACAGGGGTAATCTTTAAAAAGTGGTGTGTGAGCTCTATTTTCTTTTGAGGGGATGGGTGTTGACGGCCTTTGAACCTTGAAGCTTCGGCGCTAATTGTGCAGGGTTTGATTGCTTGTCTTTATTTCTCATTTGCACTTCTCCCCCCACTGTTTCTGCTTTCGTTGTGTTCTTGTACATATGCATGGGCTTGTGGATCGGCTTCTATTGCAATCGTACTCCTGTTTGAGTTGCTTGCTAGCTTCGTAACCGTCTGCATTTTTTCCACGATGGCAATTCCATATTCAAAGGCAGTGAACTTGCAAGTAGGCGAACAGATAACAAGCATATATTCTATTGGTAAGTATCAGGATCATCTATTCCGTATTGTCCGATCCCTGTACGGAGTACACCGGTGGGAGAGTGAGAAAGGTGGTCTGATGACGGGGATTGGGCTGAAATGGACTGGCTCCTTGTACCTCGTCATGTTTTGATAATTGGTCTTGAGCTCTAATACTCGTCTGTTGGTTCGCAGTCAGTTGGTTTAATCGAGTGGATTGTCCATTCAACTTAATAACCACCAACATTACTCCATACACATAAATAGAGACAGGGATCAGGCCTGCCTGAATGGATCCGAGAGAATCAGGTCAAGGGTCGTAACCACGTCGGGTCCGATCGCTTTGGGCTGCCCATGGATGGGCGAGCTCTACAGTACATGCACCGCACGCGGCATGTTCAGTGAATTTCAGATTACAAGCAGAGAGTCTGAGATCTCAAAGGAATATGCTAACTGTTGCTAGATGAACATCTCCTGACATGCGAAGACGGCACTTATTGAAGCCTCCCGGCCGTGCAGTAGCACAACTCACGACAAGCTTCTGGAAGGATTCAATTCCGGGTACGACCAACTGCTTCATTCCTTGACAGGGTTGATTATCGTCCGATGGCGACCAGAATTTGTGGGGCACAACGGAGGACATGACATTGATTTTGTAACTTTATACGGAGTAAAACGATGAAGTTGATGTATGGCATGTCATCCCCGCCATTTCTCGAGATGGAGGCCCTAGAGAATTGTCTATCGTAGTGGAAAAGCCCGTCCTATGTCGTTGAAAAGCCATGGAGTCCAGGAAGATATTGACGGTGGTGACGGTGGGAGGGTTTACGCATGCTGATAGGCGGTTTATATATCCACCTGCTCGCCTCCTTTGTACCAATGAAGGCTTACACTCATGAATCCGGCTCCCGTACTAGAGTTGGGGAAAGTGTTGGCAGGAAGGGGTCACACTCTGGATTTTGCGACTCTTGAAGGTCAAGAGCATTGGCTAAAGGGCACTGAATATGTCAACCAGCTTCACTTGCTTGGTGCGGGTCCGACGGAGGGAGAATGAGATGCTCATTACTTGCGTGTTCGGCATTGGGACATCTCCAAAGGAATTTCTAGAGTAATGGCATCAAAATACCTTTTCGACTCGTACTGGGCGCAGACCTATGAGCATCTGAAGCCCATCGTGGAGAGTCCTGCTACACGGCCGGATCTCCTTCTGGTAGATTTCTTCGTTGATGCAGGCAAGGACATCCTCTATCAGTTCAATGTGCCTTTGGCAATGGTTTTTCCCCAGATGCCAGCATTGATGGCTCCTTGTTCGTACATCCCGGGTCAACCAGGGTTTCAGATCGATGGAACCCTCACGTCAGAAAATGCATCCATTTGGTTGCGTATTCGAAACGACCTCGTGCTCATTCACGCTTTACCAGCCATAATACGCTGGCGGAATTGGGCAAAGAAAATGCGCCACCGGGCGGGTGTCAAATATAACTTGCCAGTGGCTCCCAAACCTAACTATCTTGTTCTGATCAACTCTTTTTTTGGGCTCGAGGTGCCAAAAGATCTACCTCCATTGATAGCGCCTGTCGGGCCAATTTTGGCGGACGAATACTCGCCGCTGACAGAACCGTATGAATCATTCCTCCAGAATCACACTAAAACTCTCTATCTTGCACTAGGTACCCACATCGCTCTGTCGGATACGGATGCCGCCAAGTTGGTCAATGGCATGCTAATGGCCATGAAGAACGGCTTCATCAACGGTGTCATCTGGTCGGTCGGGAACAGCTAGCGAAGAGAATTCCAGCAGAATAGAGTATTTACCGATTCCCGAACCGGAACTACGATATCGTTTGGATCTCTTTTAAAAAGCAAGCATCCCGATTTCCTCTTTGCCACTTTTGCACCACAGCGGGCCATCCTGGATCACGAACATGCGCGGGTCTACCTTACTCATGGAGGCGGATCCAGCGCCAATGAGGGGCTCTTTCACGGCACACCCATGCTCGTAATGGCCTTTTGTTCCGATCAAATATCCAACTCGCCTCGTCTGGTTGCTAGTGGTGCTTCGATTGCCCTGAAAAATTCCAGTTTACATCAGAGGAGCTGAACGAGAAGATAGGGTTGTTGATGGAGGACAAGGATGGATGATACAGAAAAAACTGCGAGCGCATGAAGCACATTGCTCGCGTTGCCTCCCGCCGGAAGGAGCCCGGAGCTGACCTGATTGAGGAGCTTATCTATGATTCGGAGGCGAGATGGGATGGCCAGAAAGAACTTCGCCCGATGCACCTTCAGACTGCTGATATGAGGATGTCAGCATTCAAGGCGAAGAGCTGGGACCTCGTGCTAGTTTATACTGTGGCTTTCGGTGTCTTATCTGGTGTTAGTTGGGCTGTGGGTAGCTTTACATGGGCGAATAGAGGTCTGATTCGTGCCTGGGTGCGATCAGCATTGGGCAAGCTCAAGTAGCAACCGAAACTCTTGTCCTTGCTTGTCATCATCTATCACTGTATATATACGTATGCCACTGGAATTATCCTTCAATATCATTTCATCCTGAAAGCGGTGTCGGTGGTCCAATATAACCAGAGGGCTGAGAGAATACGGTGGTATTGACACTGATAGGCATCCATAAAAACATCTGATCTATGAGCATGGCATTTGTCCAACGCCCGAGATGTCGCTACCTTGCTAATATGTAGCTGTGAACGCCATTCCGGGGTGACGCTAAGAGCGACGTCTCCGCGTTTCGGATAGTGCGGCGGCTGTAGCCCGCCGTATTTTAACGCCGTCCTTGTAACCTCGGCAGAGGCGACGGCTGGTCATCCGCTTAAGTGATGATGGGCGGTTCATGGCAGTCTTTTCAATCGTTGTACTCCGTAGCCCATCTGCAATGGGACTCGCGCACGGAACTTCGCAGGGTGCTGAATCTTTCTGATATTCTACGCCTGTACGGAGTAACAGCCACTAGAAATCCGGAGGGATGCCTTACGCCACTGACTGAAGACGGGATTAGAATCGTTAAATCCCATTATTATAAACCTTCCAAGAGCACATATCCAATATAAGGGCCTGGAATATGTCCCAGTCTTCTCCTTATTCTCCAAGTTGTCCCTTCTGTGGAATAGCTTCCGCCCATTCCCCTTGTCCGCCATCCACTCCAGCCCAAAGTTTACCGACACCAAATGAAAATCTATCACAAACGCATATAATTCTTTCGACAAAGCATGTACTCGCATTTCTTGATATTATGCCGCTGACGAGGGGCCATGTGCTGGTTATCCCGAGACGACATTTTCAGAATCTAGGGGAAGTGAGGGTCAACGAGGGAAGAGAGGTGGGAATTTCCTTTACCAGCCTGGTGATAGATTTGGATTGAGCGATCTATTTCATGGGCCATTTAAATACGTTTTGATCTTCCAGGAATGCTAGCTGACTGTTTTTACGCGTGGGGAGGAAACTGCAGCTTGGAAAATGGCTTCCTATCATCTCTAGGGTAGTTGTGAGAACAATATTAGGCACTCAGCCGGATGAGCGCGGCGAAGATCCCGCACATTGGAATGTAGTGCAGAACAATGGTTTGTGTGTTTCCTCCCACTCAATATGACAGCCCGCATATAACTTCTGGAAAAGGTCTCCGTGCAGCGCAAACGGTTCCCCATGCGCATTTCCATATCATTCCGAGACCCCCTCTAGAAAGGATGACAGCATCCAAAACGAGTTGGGTAATGTTTGGCCGGGGTCAGCGCGATGAACTTGACGACGACGAAGGACAGAGACTGGCAGCTGAGTTAAGAACGGAACTTGCAAAAGAAGTCGCAAAAATTAAGGCAACGGAGGGCATTGACCTTGATGAAGATTGTTCCGAATCAGGGCCAAACATACCTCGAGCGGAGAAGCTGTGATCCATAGAGTTCTGGCTGTCTAAGACATATATGGTGCCATTCTTTGTTGTGCATATACCAATGTTTGTCATTCAGCCAATGCTCTTTTCATACATTTCTAAATACCTTCGAGACATTCAATGACCTTTAATGTTGTGTCGCGGTGCGCTTTCAAGTTGCCCCTCAAGGGGTTGAACAACTGTTGGCTTTGGGTGTGAATCGTTGGAAGTACTATAATCATCCATTCAGTTCAATCTCTAGACAAGAATGGCGAAAATTGTGCGTACCCTTTTCCTGAAGGAATTCAACTCATCCGCTGTTGTTCCCGCGGGAACGGTTTTGGCTCGAGGCTCAATGGCTGAGGCTTCGCCTTCTAGGCATCTTCGATATGTGAGTAATCTCCGGGACCCTAAATACATTATTAGATCGGAGTTTCTGCATATGTGTTCGGAGGGCTATCCATACATTTATTAAACTGCTGGACGCAAACACTAACTAGTTCCAAGTGTGGATTGGAAGGGATGGCAAGTTCTATATCTTCATCGTTTGCAGTAGGCATCCAGAAAGAAATCCGGCCGTTGGGGACAAGAGTTTGTGCTGCAAACTCCAAAATATCGTTCAACATGGCTTCAAAACTATAAGGCTTTTTAGGAGGAATGTAACCCTCCAAGCTATTACCTTGTTAGCCAGAGACACGAGTTATCATTAAGTTGGCTACTCTCGTACGTATATGTTGGTACCCCATCCACGTAAACAGGTCCTACATTCTTTCCTTCTCTCGTTCCAAGGACTTTCAATCCTTCACGTATACCGTACGGGGGATCACATATGATCCCATCAAATATTGGCATATTGCGAAAGGGAGTGTTTGTCAAATCGGAGGTAAAGGCGTCTAGGTAATTCGCCTCTAAGCCATATTGAAGCATGTTCCTCACGAGGCCGATGGGCCTTCCTTCCTCCTTTTGGCCTTTGAAGCTGCGCGCATCAATATCCGAACCAAAGGTGAAGGCCCCAAAATGTGCTGCGGCGACACAGAAACTTCCGGTTCCAACGAAAGGATCATAAAACACTTTTCCGGGGGCGGCGAGGGTAATGTTGGCAGAGACCAAGCTCAGTTCGGCGTCCATAGACGTAGTACTAATATAACTTCTCTTTTTTAAGTCGTATTTGTCCATCACATCTCTGCTGCCGCTAGCTAGCCACCTGCCAAAATATAACTTTGAAGGCTCTGGCTGAGGACTTGGAGTCCGAGACGTCTTGTCCCTAGACGAAGCTACGCGATGGTCATACAATTCAAAGATGATAAAGGTCTCATCTGGATCGGCCATAATGATCGGCCCTTCAAACGCCATGTATCCAAATGACTGAATCAGGGGAATTTTCTCTTTGGACGTCCGCTTCCCAGCATACGAGTCAAAGTCAAATTTGAAGGAGCAGGTCCTATAATCAGGCCATTTTGACTCGGAGCGCCGTCGGACATCTTCATGTAACTCTTGATAGTTCTGGCCTTTGCCCCATAGCTCATAAAGAGACTTTACCAATACGCTACGGGAGACGAGCGCCCGAGCTGCTTTTTCATCTGGCACTTTTATAATACAGAAGGGGGACTGGAAATTATCTTAGCACCTGCAATATTCCGCCAATAAACCAATTTCAATGTTGCATACAATAATATCCAGGCAGTCGACTTACTTCCTCGTCATACTCAACAATCTCCAAATCCACATTTGACACAATGGCAAGGGCTTCGATTTCCGATCTCCTAAAAGACTCATGAACTTGCGCGAAACGGACCAAATACTCCATGTTTCCGTGCAGTGCCTCGCCTAAATTTCTCCTTTCTAAATGCGTACGTGCTTGAAAGGGTTGAGTGGCAGCGTCCATCGTTTTCCCCGCGGATCTTTTGCCCCTCCAAAAGGATGCATTTTGATGCCAAGCATTTCTCCGAAAAGGGATTAGTGTCACCAGTCCTAGTCCAGTCTATATTAGGTTAGAGTAAAATTCGGCCTCTCTGAACCAGAAGCCGGGAGGAGGATCAACTATCCGGATACATCCTCCGACCTCACTTTTCCATGTCTGCGATTACGCAGAATCAAACACGAGCTGTCTTAAAAGTCGAAGCGCTCGGAGATACAGTTCGGCCCCCTGTCAAAATGAGAATACGATATCTGGGTCCCGGAACACCTCGGGGCGGTGTTTCGTTCAGGAACCTTTGCCTTGGAAGCCGGACCAGTGCTGACTCATCCTCAGAACCGTGGTCGATGACGTCGTATTGCTGACAATTTACTCCGTAGTTGAAGAGAATGTCCGGCCCAGGCACCGAGAGGCGAAAGTTGACACCGGGAAAGGTTGTGAACCTACCGCGAGTTTTCATCCGGATATAACTAAGATGTGCTTTCTCTTGATCAATTCTGTTTAACTTGATAAACAAAGGGGTTTCTTTGGCCGATATACTCCCGTCAAATGGACCGTTTTGAGGATGTCGAATTGAATGACAACTATGGCTCCGATAGCAATAGGGAGTTGGGAGATAATTGCACCGCAGCTACTAGCAATGCCAGAAATCGGCCATGTTCAAATTTACGGCCGGGATCAATGGGTTGTCGTCCCGAACGACGGCCGAGTATACGGCTTATGCGCCTACCGAATACTCAACACCTTCTTGTGCAGCCAGTACCGCCAGGTTCTGATCCGGATCATGGCTCCAATTTGGCATCCGAACTGCCAGGCGCCAGGCGTCGAAGCAGCTCTGAACCTAGGCGTATCCCACTAAGCGCGTTGCTTGGTAAACGCCGTGCGTCTTTTGGACGAAGCCCAGCGCCAATGTTACCATTAGATGAAGAATTGGGCCCCCAATCTTCCAAATCAACTCAGAAAGACCAAGTCCTCCAGCCAACAGAGCCACAGGCTGTGATCCTCAGTCCTATCGAGAACAGACAAGCCACAAGCAGCTTTAGGCAAGGAAGAATTAGGAGGATGAGTAGCGGGGCCCGTTCGATGCTAGGATTGAGTCGTGTTGCCACTCACAATGGAGCTATTGAAGCTCCATCTCTTCCTCAGGGAGAGTATGAAGCGGATGTGGTGAATTTGCTGGACGTTGTTGGTGAGTTGGATATGGCCGTAGCTGTCAAGAATCCTGATGATTGACCTGAGTATAGACCCTGAAGTGTCCACCATCACGACCCTTACCAATGTTCAAAACTCTCTCTTTGTCCCTGACCTTGGACATTGGGTAAACCGTCGACCCACTTATACTGTGAGTCCTGGCCCAACCCGTGGCCATGTCGAGATGGAACGACCGGCAGTGCCTCAAAAAAGAAAGGAAGATAGGGGCGAGCAAAAGCTTGAACGGTCAAGAACAATGGATACAACTACGTCGACACTGAGCGATTCTCGGTTCGCTGTATTGCCGGATGGCGTGTCTTTGGAAGGCTGGAGTGCCGAAGATAAAAGAGCATTGGACGACCACGTCCGGCATATGCTTCACTCGCGAAGATCTGCCTTCAAACGCGGTTTAAAGGGCTTCATTAAATACGTCAAAAAGCGTGAGTAGCCCTCATTTGCTCTAAAATCTAAGCTAATTGAGCCTATCAAGCCCTTGGATTTTTGGTCACTTTGTACGCAACACTCATCACGCTTTTTGGTCTGGCCTGGGTACTGTTCTTAATCGGTAAGGATGACACCTGAACTCAACTCTGCTCAAAACTCACTTGGGTCTTTTAGGTTGGATCAATGTTGGTGGGAAGCAACTTTACGTCATTAATATCATCGACTACATCCTCGTCGCCCTATTCGCCATCGTAGGCGATGGCCTGGCTCCCTTCAGAGCCATCGACACATACCACATGATCTATGTCGCTCACTACCACCGCGTTACCTATAAACTCCGCCGCAAGCAACAGCTTCCTAAACTTCGAAACAAAAACGACCTCCCAGAACGCCGCGAGGAAGAAATAGACCAACATGTCGACGTCGAAAAGTCTGGAGAAACCACCAAAGATTCGGACACGACAGAATTCTCCGTCCTCACTGCAAGACAACAGGAGCGTCTCACTCACCATGCGAACAAACTCGCCAAATCACATACATTCTACAAGCCTCACGAAACCACGACCCACCACGCATTTCCTTTGCGTATGTTGATTGCAGTCATTATCTTGCTAGATTTGCACTCCTTGTTCCAAATCGCACTCGGCGCTACAACGTGGGGTATTGACTACCGCCGTCGCCCCTTTGCACTCACCACGGTGATCCTATGTTGCTCCCTGACTTGTAATTTTACTGCAGGGTTGTTGATATGGATTGGGGATCGACGAACGAGAAAGAAAGATGTTATTGAGAAGATGTTTAGGCAGGAGTTGACGGAGCAGGCTATTTTGAAGTTGCAAAAGAAGAAAAGTAAGCAGAGAGAGGAAGAGAATGTAAGAGAGGGGAAAAAGCAAGGGGAAGAAGAAGAAGACCATACGGGGACCTTAAGTGAGGAGCATGCGTTGTTAAAGAGGTGAACTTTCAGTCTAATGCCAATATTTTAACTGCTTGGGGGGAGGTTGGTTTTTGACCTTAGAGATACCAGGTTGGCGCATCTTCCGCAAGTCCAGGAAATGATTTGGCAAATCACGTATATACAAATTTTAGAAAATGCAATGCCGTCTATTGACTATGAAATCAAAATCATAATAATCGGTAATCGCAAACATAAACTGATACTCGACCCGAATCCTTGACGCCAAGCATCCAAAATAGGTGCAAACCACGTAGAAGATGAATGATTCATGACGCCTGCTGGGAATCTCTTGTAAAAATGACTTTAACACCGACAAAAAAGCTTCCATCCCTTCATGCGAGATCTTTGAAGGATAAGTCTATGACCGAATGTCGCCCGCACAAAAACAATTCATTTCCAACGCCAGTAAAAACAAAAGGAAACAAGAAGAGTCCGCTATGTGGTCTCAGCAGTAAATCGATACCGAGACGCGAAACCATTTTCTTTCTCGACCTGGATATGCTGTTCGGCGGGGATCATCTCATGCTGTAAATCCCATCCGGCGCGTCGACAGAGTTCGGCAACAACAACATCGCTGTCGCCTAACATATCGATGTCAAAGTCTATATGAGTAACAGGCTAATATCCAGCGCTAATTAGAAGGCAAAATGACACGTTCATATGGAAGGTTGTCTTGACTTACTGTCCGAGAAATAAATAGTTGTGGGACATCACGTGGCATAATCCCGGGCACTTCAGAAACAGGGGCAACCTTCAATGATGTCCCGATAACTATGACAAGATCGGCAATCTCCCGATCGTGGTCTATGAGGCGATGCCTGAAAGCGCCAGGGAGGTCTTCCCCGAAAAAAGTAATATCAGGCTAGAACGCGTCAGCGGATGGAGAGCTCATTATAAAGGGATATCTACCTTCATGATGCCCGGATGTGGTATAGTGTAGTCATCGTCATCGTCCTCAGAATCGATATTCGAAAATTTCTTTCGATCTTTTTTCTGATTTCCATTTGAGCTGCGTTTCCGCTTCATTCCTTGACATGTTTTGAGCTGCTTTAGGCATTCTTGGCACTGTGGAACTAATCCCTTACGAGTTTCCTCGAAAATGGCCTCTCCTGGCACCTGGGTCTTGCACTGAATGCAAGTGGCAGTGGCAAAAGAACCATGACACTGAATTAGCTTAGATGGGAGGATTCCGGCGTTGGCTTCCACGTTATCGATGTTTTGGGTGAAGTTAGTGAGCAGTTTTCCTTTTTCTTGAAGTAGCTTGATAAACGCGTGGGTCGGCGAGAATCTCTTTTCTATTGGTAAAATATCCTTCGCAACAGAATAAAAGATAGTTGGGTCTTCAAGGAACAAGCCAATATCAAATACCTCTTGTGGATCATTGAGTCCAAGGTATTGGAGCTTTGCATACAAGCCAATATCCTTCGATCTAAAATCAGGAATCCCTAAGCTTGTAGAAATCTGTATTCAGGGTAATTAGCTTGCCTGCATACTCCTAGAATGCTTAGGGGTATCTTACGCCGGCACCAGTCAAAACAATAATGTTCTTTGATCGCTTCAGAAGCTCGACAGCATCATCAATGGTATTGTATTGTGGGAGTTTCAAGCGCTTGGAATATTCACGATTTATGCCCATATATAAAGGGTTGAGATAGACATCATCGGGCGCGCCCTCAAGAAAAACTGGGGGGATAATTCCAAACGCTGTGCAGAGTTTCTTTGCTGGGATCTTGTCATGGTAAATTTTTTCCGCAAGGAATGCTGCCACACCAATTTCACGCAAGCGTTTGCGAAGGGCTCGCGCTTCTTCCAGTGTGAATGCATCCGGAATTACTGAATACCACCATTTAAGTTAGCTATTTGAATCCGGATGGGGTACAACTAAGGATAGGAAGGGCATACCTCCGTCGCGGAGTTGCTCGTCGCTCAAGAACTGAACCGCTTCCTCGAAGATAGATTCTGTCTCCCACTGATCATCAGAAGCCTCTCCGAGACTTGACAACTCCGAAAGAGACGCGTCGTCGTCGCTCTCTGGCACTTCTCGAGCCTCACTGGCGACGAGGGAGTGAACGACAACCGAGTCCAGAATTTCTCTTTTCGGAGGCATCTCGTTATCTGCTGGCTTCGGCGCAACATCCATGGTGAAGTATCAGGATGTATCACGACCTTCGCCAGGCAGAGGTGAAGACATCACATTCAGGAGATATATATGCGAGAGCCTCCTGGGGTTGAAGGAATGCGATCCCGACCGGAGCTACGGATTATCCGGACTTGGCTTAAACTTTCCGCCAATAACGATCGTCTTTGACCCCCGGAATGTACCTTTCTACGTAGTTTACGCGGGAGAGTACTCCGTACCTCGGTGAAGGTACAAAACCACTTCGATGTTGGAATCAAGTCCCAGACACGGCAGCACAATTGCGGGATATCATTAGGCTTCATTAGTTCTTCGTCACTGCTTTTTTATAGATCCCTTTCAAGTGTCTATCATTTCGTCATCAGAGTCTGATTCGCCTTCAATTTCGTCTTCCCACTCATCCTCATCCCCAGCCTCTGCCTCATCGTCACTCTCTTCGATGAAGTCCGCAAGGTCCCGTTCCAGCTCTTGGACAAGTTCTAAAGCATGTTCCTTCAATCTTGCATCTTCATATTGCACAATATCAAAGAGCTTCAGGCTTTGCCTGAGCCAACCCCGACTTGACAGCAAAATAGCACGTTGCTGCTCGGCGACGGCTTCGTTAACAGCACCAGCAGATTGCTCTTGAGTTTTCTTGCCTAGCAAGTATTGACACCATCCACCAAGATACCAGGTCTCTATACTTTGGTCGTCTTCGAGGATCATTCGCTCCAGAACCTCCAACGCCTCCCTTTCCATTTCGGCCTCCATTAGAAGCCTCGAGAGACTGACCCGAACAGGGAAGTCAGGAACATTAGGGCTGTCAGGAGGCAAATCCTTCCATAATTCTAAACTTCTTAATAGAGCAGTCTTCGCGTCATCGTGCCGAAGCTGTGATATTCTGATTGATGCAAGTGTCTGAAGGCATTCAGGAGATTCGGGGGCCACCAACAGGGCTTCTGTGATGAGCGTTTCACATCTGCTCTCGGCATCTTCCTCCCACCTGGCTTCGTGTTAGTGGTAAAAATCCATCAGCGGTTCCACGTAGACTCACGATAAGTCGGTCATGTAAATTTCAATGACTCCACAAAGCGCGTTGGCCATTTTCTTTTTCTGCTCCTCCAGCCCATCCGCCTGCTCTATGCTCATATTTTCTTCGAGAGCCTGTATGTTCTTTCGCAGCACCATAACTCCTCGTTCGAACCACCTCACACTATCTTTACCGCCATCTTCACTCAATTGCGCTAGCCACAAGAATTTCTCTGCTCCTCCACCTCGGGACTCGGGTATAAGGCCTTCGGGATCGAGCGTAACAGCGCGCAAAAAGTGCTCTCTAGCAGCATCAATGTCTCCTAACTCAACATATATCTCTCCAGCCAGGTTTAACCCAATCAATGTGTTAGGAGACGCAGGGGGCGCGATTCTCAAGCCTCGTTCGACGAGGACGACTGCTTCATCTGGTTGTCCGGTTTGAAGGAGGGCAATTGCCTGCTCGTATAAGACTGAAGGATCTTCAGTCACTTTCTCTTTTTGCACTGCTCGTGTGCCATTTAATACTGATTTTTCCTTTCTTTTCGATTTCTTTTTCGAAGGCCTGGTTTTGGCCATGGCTAGTACGGGGTCAGCGTCGTAACGGGGATTTCGGCCGTCGCAAACAAGCTCTTCGAGCTCCGGTCATAGAATTTTTTTCGTTAATGTAGCTGGGCAATCCGGCAGAGAAATATAATATGTATTAAGGATTTTAACGAGTTGGATTGGGTGTTAAAGATGATGTATAGCAGGACAAAAAAAATTGTAACTAGCAGCTATTGGTCGTAGAAATTCAAATTTATGTTTGGCAGGTTTGTCTTCTGACGACATGGGGAAGAACATGACGAGGGGCTTCAAAAAGCGCTTCGTCGTCTCTCCAAAACGCTCCACCGTATCTTCTTCCTCTGTTGGGCGTCTTTATAAAGATCGCGCGTGCTCGCCTCTACCCAGAAAACCTTAATACCTATTCTTTTGGATTCCCCGGTCCAGATACAGGCTAGGAAGCAACAGTAAAGCCAGCAACATGGGCCGCGCCGACCAAGAGGAAGAAAGGGAGACACTAAAGTCCATTTTCCCGGACGAAATTACAGGTGTGCAGCCTAGCTTCAATTTTCCTGAGGCAGGTGGTTAACTAGTATTTGCAGATATATCAGAACATACGTACCGGATATCAATCGTTCTAGACGTCAGCCATCATGGGGAAGACTACTCCGATCCTCCAGTTCTCATTCTTCAAGTAACCTATCCGGAAGATTACCCTGATGTCGCTCCTCACCTTGAAGTATCCGCCCCTCCTAATGCCCCGAAATACCCACATCTTGATATACAGGAAGACCGAGATCGACTTCTAGAGTCACTTCAAACTACGATTGAAGAGAATCTGGGAATGCAGATGATATTTACGCTCGTCGATATGCTGAAAGAGGGTGCGGAGCTACTTATTTCAGAGCGTCGCGAAGCCATTCAAGCGTTAAAAGAATTTGAAGCGGCCAAGGCGGAGGAAGAGGAGAACCGAAAATTCCAGGGTGAGGCTGTGACAAGAGAAAGCTTCCTTGCATGGCGGGAGAATTTCCAGAAGGAGATAGAAGAAGAAGAAAAGAGGAAACAGGAGGAACGAGAAGCAGAGGAGAAAAAGAAGAAAGGAGCTACTAAAGAGCCGAAAAAGCTCACCGGCAAACAGCTATGGGAGAGGGGCCTTGCTGGAAAGGCAGATTATGACGAGGAGGATCCGTTACCGGCAAAATTAGCTAGTGTGGACTTAAAAGCATGACAAGTGCTCCAACGCTGCCAGGGATTATACGGCGAGCCGGTTGAAACGAGCTGTGTGATCTCTTCAGATTTGGATATATTATAGCGCTGAACTTTCTTCTGTTCATACAGTACACCCTTTTGATGCGCAGAATACAAGTCATGCCTTCCTCGTGCTGCCGCTGATAGATTTTATTATTGATAGGATTCACATTAATCCTAGTATTGCACCACTTTCTTAAGAGTAAATGTATATATTTGATGCTGTCCTGTTTCTTGAATTGAGCTGGTGTTATCCACAATAGCCTGTAGCCATACTCTTTACAAACCTGTAGAGCATGGAGCATTTGACCACGGGGCAGCCACCCAATAACTGCTACGCGAGAAAGTCAAAGCCATATTAGTATTATTGTTTCCGGCTTACTTGCAATTCTAGCGCTATAGTCCTTTTAGCCGAGAGCTCCGAATCCAGTATCTTGTTGAGTGAGATTGTAATGCCCGTTGAACGACGGTTCGGCTTCTTGTAACTATCGAATGGTAATGTAAACGGTCCCAGCCATTTCGTTCTTTGGAGACAAGGTCAACGACTGCGTATTCGGAACATATAAGAATGTCTTGCCCAGGCATGTTCGCAACTTATCTCATGGAAAAAGGCCCAATCACAACGATTCTAGACATACAGCAGGAGCTGCATTCCCTAAGGGAGCCGACCCCGCCAGATAGGCTTGTAGGCGGAGTATTAACGAGAAGAAGGCCGATCTGGAGCTGGGAATTTCCGCGAAGGTAGCAGAGGCTGAAAACCTCGAGCTTAACGTCCACCCAATGCCGTAGGGATTTAAAACATTTACTCGCTCTTCGCTTGTTGTTCGGATGGCGTCTTTTGCCTCCTCTCCAGAGCTTCCTTCTTTGCCAATTCCCTTTCCTTCAATACTATCTCCCACATTTTCTGAGCCATCGCTCTGTTTTTCCGGTCTGCTTCTAATATTATGGTGTTGACCTCATGTAAACTCTCTTTTACAGTTCCTTCCCAAGATAAGATATCGCTCTGCCCTGTAAGCGCATCCCAGCGATCCTCATCCCGTGCACGTACAAGCTCAAGCTCCAGTCGATCACGCCTTTCAATTCGTTTCCAGCGCCTATTCAGCAAGCTCCTAATCGTGCAGCTCAAGCTGGGAGGCTGCGGTTTCTTAATCCGCAAGAAAGGAATACCGCGTGCATTAACTAGCACAGGGACACGACGCCTACCACTCACTACCGGCCTTGGTCGGGAAAGAATCGAAATTCTCTCAGGGTGTGGGCGACGAGCTTCCGGGCGTCGATTGGCCCTTTCCTTCGCAGCCAACGAGGTGCGATCTGGCGGCGGCGTATTCGCAGCCTGATCACGGCGTTCTTGTAGGGTCTGCTGCAGGAGAGACTTCGTTGCGGCGAGCAAAGAATCGACGCGCTGGTTGCTTTGCTTATTTCCACCCGAGCAAGCCTGGAATAGATCAAGGGCCTGGGAGAGATTGTCGTTAGCGCCTTCGCTTTCCCATTTCTTATAAAGAAGTGGGTGATAGCGTACTTCCTGCCCTGCTTTCAAAGCATTGGCTATTTTGCTTATGCTTTGTAGCTTCTGGTCCTTGCGGAACCTGGTTCTTATAAGTTCACGGACTTCATCTGCTTTACTACTCGTAAATGCCCGGGAACAGCTGGAGAGCAGTGCATGATAAAGTGAAAGACCTGTAAGTACTCGTTAGAGTTACGGAGAAAATACTTGTCGTCGATATGAGCCGGGCGAGAGCATACATGCGAGCCGATGCACTCCTGAACTGGTGGGAGCTAAATGCCGGGGCATTCGGAGCGACCACTGATGTTGTATATTTTGATCCTTAAACAATATTCATCGGCTTACGGAGTACATGCCGACCGCATTCGCCATTTGAGCGGTGTCGAACAATCAATATCCAGCGCACTTCGGTGAACTCGTCCTGGCCTTCAGATTGCACGCACAAGCCACCGTCACAATTAACTAGCCATATCCGGCTTAGCGTAAATCTTGACCGGTGTAGCTTGCGCCGGGCCAACCCCCTTTTCGGGAATCGGCAAATTATAAGTTCCCCGGCGTCTGCAGCCACCTGCCTGTGGTCTGTATTTGATGGAAGTACCGAGTATGTTCAGTCCACCGTAGTATAAGGGGCATAGAAAATATTTTATGTACGGAGCATTCCGTAGTTTCTACGCAAATTGAGATGGCTGTACTTTGGGCTGCGGCATATTGCTCCTCATCATTCACACATAAAGACTAAACTAGTGGTTATGCCTCAAGGAGGGTGAGAGGAGGAATGTAAGCCGTTGTAGAGGAGATATGAAAAGAACCTCCGGTTTGACCAAAATCAATGCTCAAGCTACTCATTAAATTCATTATCAAGTGGTGTGTTGTGTTCTAAGCCAACGTTAGAAAGGGAGAGAGCGAACTTTGACAGGAACTCTATGGTCATCGAAGCGCAAAGACCTATATGACGGCAATGGAAAACGTATAATAAAATTTCTGTAGCGTCGTCTTGGTTGGGTAATATCCGACTCTAAAGCCAGAAGTTAATGCCCGTTGCTGACCCGGGCTTCTGGCTGCTCTCGTTCGATACGGCTGAATATGAGTATTACTGTAGAATACAGAGGTTCCATTCTAAGCAGAGACTCGAGGACTATGAGGATGTCCCATACTCGAGCCTAAAATGTAGCCCCTTCCGGTGGTTGTGGGAGCTTCTTATGTTGTGGTAGGGCCATGTATCTTGCAGAAGCTGATTAGCCACGTCCCCTATCCTGTTATCCAAGGAAAAATTTCACTTACCTTCTAAGTTCAAGAAGGATAGTCTCCATTGTGAATTCTCGCTTCCATTCAGCCAGGCAAGGTAGTCTTGATGGATCAACCTAGAATACCGAATTCTGTTACCAGGGTTCCGCCGGGGTAGTTTATCTGCAGGTTGGCTTAATATGTACCTTTCCAGAGCGCGGGTCAACGCATGGCAGATTTATCCGAGAGACAAACTGAATTAAAGGTGGAGCGTCGGGGTAGTCATCACCACAGTGGATGTTAACGCTGTATATACGATTTTCATGTACGCTCTAGACGTGTAGGTGTTAGGCCACGTTCGCTTTTCTATGGGTAGGAAGGTTGGGCAGACATGAGGGGGTCCGAGAATTGTGCCGTTCCAGTTTCTCATCATAATATCCTCACCATCAGCCAGGCCATATGAACATGCCTCTGTCAAGAGCGTCAGAAAGAGGAACCTTCAGCGTTATCGGGGTTCAACGACGGAACTCGTGGAGACTCCTCACCTGGACCCAGACCCTTCTCGCCCTTCTCTAGCTCCTCTAGAAGACGGAAATTTCGTGGAACTTTCGCCGTCATGATCGCGGATGATGTTGAAGTAGGATCAGAGAGGGGGCTTCTAAGACTCGAAGAGGGGCGCCTCGCACCACAAGGTGCGGCCATACAAAGTTTAATGTGGCAGCGGTGAATGGCGTACGGCGAACTGCAGCATCCGGCCCTGCGGCGCTGCGTCATTGCAGCGGAGTCCGTCATCTAGTCCTATTACGGCCTAGCGTCTTTGTTTTAGGATACCTGGTCTTGGCAGAGCGAGCGCCGAACTGCCCAAAAGTGACATCTGGACTTCCGGATCTGGTTGCTTCTATAGTTTCGTCAACGTCGCCTTTCACCGCAACTCGAGCTGTTGGAACCGTAAAAGGCCCCTTTCACATGAGCCTTAACATCACCGGACGAATTCTTTTAGACCCGAGATTACTTAATACCAAAATAGCAGGCGAACCCTGCAATTCAACATCATCTTTAGACATATACCAAAAGCCACGTACGAATGTACAATGCTGGCGTCGTCCTATACCTGACATGACTTCTCAATTTTTCCAAGGAGAACTATCCACTTTGATCCAAGAATCCAAAAGGAAAAACTCTGACCTTAGAAATGTTTGTGTTCAAGCCCAGATGTTATCCCTGTGTCTCCGACCAGTCTCAAACTTACCAGGCAATTAGGCGGCAGAAAAATCCCTCGGTGAACTTAAGGCTGTGCCATCAACTTCAGAGGTTCAATTGGCGGCAGGTTCGGGATATCTGATACAGTGCCTTTTTTCTCATTCACTGCTGACCAGCCAAGAGACTTGGTACGAAGGCCGCAGTTTGCGAACCCGTTTATTCTAGCCTGCCATACTCGCCATGCCAAACTTGCGGCAGTAGGGGTGGGCTGCATCCATAGGCTTGTAGCCTCCGGAGCATTGCCGTCTGAACAGCTTAAAGATGTCGTGGATGGTTTGCACGAAACCACAAATCTAAGTGCGACACCAGCTCCAGACGTCTTTGCATACCTTTTCTAATACCTCTCCAGGTCTTGATGTACAGCTCAAAGTTCTCCAAACATTACCCTCGCTGTTCCAACGGCATGCAGGCAGCCTGAGCGGTCAACTTCTAGCCAAGACACTGGAAATATGTGCAACGATGCAGACAGTGAAAACAATAACAGTTGCCAATACGGCTGCAGCAACCCTTCAGCAGCTTGTGGTATCTGTCTTTGAAAAGGCTGTCAAAGAAAACGGTGCGTCAATTCCAGCTTGGCCCCAATCATACTAATAAAATGTACTAATTTCAAATAGAAGCCCCAACGGACACTACCCCGGTATCTGTCTCACTAGGAAACGAAAAGGTTGATATCTCGGCGGCAAATTATGACGCTTTCCGAGTAAGTAGGGTCCATGGTAATTTTTTCAATTCAGATCTGATCTCGCATTTAGCTACTCGACGATCTTTGCCGGCTTGTTGAAGGCGAAAGCCTTAGATATCTAAGCATAAAGCCTCTGTCTAAAATATTTGTCCTGGAGTTAATTGAAAGCATTTTTATCAACAATAATGACATCTTCGAGAGTCATCCAGAACATGCCTATATTCTCCGATACCGTTTAATGCCGTTAATAGTGAGGATTTTGTCTGAACGACAGAGCTTCCCGGTTACAGTCCGCGTTTCAAGGATATTATTGCTCTTACTGAGATCTCACTTGCGCCTTTTAGCTGCAGAGTCGGAAGTAGCTTTGAGTCTTCTCATTCATTTACTCGATACTGATGCCTCGCCACCCTGGAAACGTGCCATATCCATGGAAATATTTAGGGTCTTATATGCAGAACCAGGGCTAATAAGACTCATTTTTCGCTTATTTGACCAGAATGAGGAGCGGAAAAGCATCCTTAAGGACCATATGGCTTGTCTGGTACGGCTGGCTGCAGAAAAGCCATCACTCATAGGTTTAAGCCACCAGTCTACAGTTCCAACAGCTCCTGAATCATCTGGGGAAACTCTTGAAGATCAGGTTGCGCTCGAAGCCGTTGGGGTTGCGGGCGTAATTGGAAGCCCTTCGACTAGTGCAGATGCATGCGGAATCAGTAGTCAGTGGAGTTTACTGCGCGCCCCATATATTGAAACATTGGAGAAACTAGAGGCACCAAGCCCCCCGGAGACTTATATTTACAGCCTTATTCTCAACTGTATCAGCGCACTTTCCGATAGCATCGCGAAATTCATCCTTCCCCTAGCGGTTGCCGAGACAAAAAGCAGGCGGAGACGACACGGCTCGTCATCTAATAACAGTAGTGGGACCATCCCTGAAGAAAAGGCAGCCGCTGGCGAACCGAGAAGCTCAAAATATGTTTCCATTCCGCTGAATCCGCTTAGCCTCAAATCTCATCCACAGATCGGGGAAATTCAGATTGTGGCAGGAATAATCGATGCTTGCTGGCCTGCTGTTCTTGCTACCTCTTCAACTTTCCTGTACGCTGCCTTGGACGGTGATTTCTACCATAACCTAGTCCGCGCTTTTCAAAGGCTAGCCCATGTTGCTGGCCTCTTGAGATTAAAGACACCAAGGGACGCGTTTCTCACCACCCTTGGAAAAGCTGCAGTCCCTGCCGACGTTGTAAATATTACATCAGCCGCGACATTATCTCCTAGGACCGACGATCACCATCTATCGGCTCCTGAATCTCCTATTCCAAAGTCCCCACGCGTCGCTGAACGAACCAGCACCTTCATGGAAAATCAAGGCGCAACACTGGACACACGGAACCTCTTATGCCTTCGGGCGCTGCTGAACCTGGGAATAGCCTTAGGCCCAACTCTTGACCAAGAGTCCTGGTCTATAATCCTTCAGACGCTGCAGCATGCAGATCTGATAACCGGAGTATCCGCTACTCCAGCCTCCAAACTGCTTGCTCCGGATCAAAATGGCGACCCCGTCAGTGTGGAATCACTCAAAGGGACACTTGGGAACGAAATCTTAGCCGTTCGAACGGCAGCAGCCAAAATGCTTGAAAACACACAAGATTACCCGAACAAATCGCTAAAAATATTTTTGCTTTCCCTACTCAACCTATCAGAACGTACGGAAGAATCGAAATGGAGCGGGATTAAAAAAGAAGCCGGTGCACCTTCTTCCCAAGTCGGTCAACAGACAGGACGGATCCATCAAACAAAACGCAGCATGTCCATTGCATTGGGTCGGTCAAGAATTAGGGAGGATGAATTGAAATTTGTTCTAAATAAAATGGGCGAATTGGTGAAATCAAACGCTGAAAGACTCGCAACGACTGCCGACAGCGAAGATATTTGGGATATGACTACGAGTAATCTGATTTCAATCACCAGTGATGAGCAAATCAGTCTTTCTCTCCGCTCAAAAGCTAGCGAGGTGCTCAACAAGCTTGTATTGGACACAATCAAAATTGCAAACCCCTTGAACCCTTCGGAACGAGACCGAGTCCAACTTCGTGGTCTCCGTGCCTTAGTAACTGAGATCTCCATACTTTATGAGACTGAGCTTCATTTTAACTCGAAAGCACGTGGTACAGATTTCCAACTGCATGAATTTGCTCTTGAGACGCTCAAAGCTATACTAGAAGAGTGTGGCGACTCTATAACGGCGGGATGGGACCTGGTTTTTGCCATAATATCAACGGTGTTCAACAGGCGAAAGTCCCAAAATCGGAATAGGGAGGCCCCTTCCTCTAGTCTAGCAACCATTAGCGACTCCGAAGCGGTGCTTGTGAGGTCGCCAAAGCTCGTTCGAACCGCTTATGACTCCCTCCAGCTTGTGGCCTCGGATTTCTTAGGTTTACTACCTGCTTCTTGCCTCCTTGAGTTAGTGGAAACATTTTCCTGCTTTACTTCTCAGGAAGAAGACTTTAACATTTCGCTTACTACAACCACATTCTTCTGGAATATTTCTGATTTTATCCGAGGCCAGATTGGTAACTTTGCCATAGCGGATGAAATTGATGTCGCGTCCAGCGAAGAGAACTTAGCTAAAATGGCCACGGCTACTGACTCATCATCATCGAGACATGCACTATGGCTATTATTGCTTCTTAATCTCGTGCATCTTGCAACTGATAGTCGCACGGAAATACGCAATAGCGCCATTCAAACCCTTCTTCGAATATTCGAGCACTACGGCGAACAGATAACGCCCAATGCATGGCATTTGTGTTTAAACCGTGTTTTACTTATGATGGCGGAGTCTGTTCAGCAGAAGTTGCAAGAGGCGTTGGAATCTACTGAAAGTGGAAGCGCCGGTGACCAAAAAGCCTGGACTGAAACAGCCGTGCTCGTTACAAGAGGGTTTTCAAGCCTTATCGCCGGATTTTTTGACGCGATTATTCAGTATCCAAGCTTTCGGGAATCATGGAGCCGGCTGCTACAATACTTTTGCAATATCCTCAATTCTAGCCAACTAGAGTTACAAAGCACTACCTTCGCAAGTTTCGCAGACGTGCTTCATCGCATCAAGGGATACCAGGATATTGGTCGAGAGGCGCTGGAAAAAGCCTGGTCAGTCTGGGTTGCTAATCATCCTTCCACTAAAGGCCACGATTCCGAGAAATCGAACCAGGAAGCCCTGCTAGCCTACTTGAACACATATAAGCAACTCTACCGGCTGCTTGGAAATAACTTGAACGACGAAGCAATTGTTAACATTTTAAGGAACCTTCAGTTTTGTGTGTGGGAGTCAGTCACGTCCCGATACTCTTCGGACTTGGAACGTCAATCGGAAGTTCAGAGGTCTGTAATCGAATGCTTAAGAACTCTTTGCTCGGATAAACCAGATTCTCAATGTGCAATAATAAATTATCTGGGACAATTCGCCGATAGCGCCTTGACGATATGGTCGTCCACGGATCCAAAGGAAAAGCCAACGTTTGTCGCCTTTTCGAAGGCATCTATGCAGCTCTTGAGCCAGTATATTACAAATCAGGGGATAAATATAAATGTTCTATTGGGAAATACGCTGAGTGAGGCAGTCAAACATCTGGTGAATGCGATTCTACATAAGTATATCTGGAAGGGGAAAGATTGCGACCCGCCCCTTTGGCAAATTGCGACGACGGCTTCATTAGACATTCTTGAAATTGCCATTCCATCTATAGAGAAGGAATATGAGCAGATTCCGCTGGATGTGGTTGCAAACTTCTGGCTTCCGGTCGTTGATTTAACTCGCGGTATTGTTTCGGCTGATCATTCAGAAGATCATGATGTTCCCATGGCCACTGTTGCAAGGGATGAAAAATTCGATATAGATGCTTTTACCCGGCTGCGGGCGCTCATCATCCCTTCTTTGGGATCAAACCTTATTCCCGATCGGATCCGTCGTGACTTTGCGTTTATCCTTCTAAGGTCGTCACTCATATATCACCCGCAACGCGTTGATATTCCTTTGGAGCAGCTAAAGCTCGACCCCCTCAAAGATCTATATGTGATCCGCAGGGGCCGCACGATCGATCCTCGACCAACACTACGATTTAATCTATCCTATCTCTTAATAGACACTCTATTTGACCTCGTGTCAATGCGGGTGTCTGGAAACAAAATCGATTCGCAGGGCGACGCAAAGAGAATGATGTCGTATGTCACGCTCGCTAAATCAATATCGCCTTATTTGGTTCTACGTTGCGGGATAACGTTGAAATCATATATTGCTGACCAACCTCTACGAGGCCTTATGCCTCCACCTATGGCTGCTCGGAAAGAGCTTTTACATCTTCTCAAGCGACTTTATGACCTCCGAAGCGAGCCTGTGGCGATTCCAGCTACAGGTCCAAATGCACGCTTCAAAGCTGATTCAGACAAATCTGATATTATCGACGATGAAGCCAAATACAAGAAACATCTCGAATGGGTGTACCCTCTCGTTGTTAAAGGAGTGCCAATTGCGGGTAGAGAGGCGGATGATCGCGAAATTTTGGAGGCATTAACAAGGATTCTAAACTCCGTTGCAAGCCATTTTGTTCTGCAGGATTAACCAGTTTTGTATGTGCGATTTATACTTAGATCGGACGCCTCTTCGGTAAGGGCCCTATGATGCTCATGCGTATTGTTTTGAATTCTATCCAAAATGGCATTGATTCTCAGGGAGATGAGGACAAGCAGGAAATACCTGACAAGACTGTTGATAACGTTTCCGGCGAGACAACTCTGTATTCAATGTGCTAGCATACTATTTTGGGACGATAATTAAATGGAACACCTCCAGTAATGTTGAGAATTCAACAGAAACTTCGTGCAGATACATCTCAGCCCTTCCCCGGCTGCTTATGTCTACGGTTCGCTTGGCTCTTCTGGGGCTTACCGATCTTTAGGCCCAAAAGACTCGGCTCAACAGTTATGAAAGAGCAGGAGCAGCTTGCAATCATGTATCCATCTAGCGTCTATGGCCTAGTCGGAGAATCCTAAGATGAGGGGAACATTGCCGAGTACGTCGGTCGACGGACTATGGAGCTGGGAGTAAACGCGTTCGTCCTGGGCACGCGACACCCTGACAGACAGGCCTAACGTTGGCATCGAACTCATGGGGAGCATGGAGCCGTTGAAATGAGGCCGAGAGCACCTGGAGTTCGTCGGAGAGTGCTTGGACTTGGGACCTGGACACATTAGAAAGCACTCTTGATCTCCCAGTGGAATTAATACACGGTAGGGTTTTGCAAATAGGAGCTTGGGATCGAAGGATCTGGACATCATGAAGAACACTAGTTAGAAGGGTGCATAACCTTGCAGTCTCACTCGGCGGCCAAGGAAAGCATGGCGTAGCTTTAGAAAATGTCTTAGTTATACAGATTTTCATATGACTAGGTAATCGAAAGAAGTCATCGTCGAAGCGAATGGGCCTATTCATTTCGTAAGTGACTAGTTGCAGGGGCCTTGCGTCCAGAGTATGTGGTTAACTGGTTAACTAGCTGGTTGCTTGGTAGCCATCGGAGATATTTTCTTGACTTGACCACGAGAACATCGCAAGGACCCATCAACAAACCATCTGGGCTATCCAAGCATCAGGATCCCCATCGACGAATAGGCTCCTCCTAATCACTAGTTTCAAGTTTACCCCGGATTTTCACGATATATTCTCTTCCTCTACGGAGTACATATGTATCTGCCTCGCCTCACCGCTGATGTTAACTGGCGGGTGGCGTTGAAGTCTTTGCACCCTAATCGGGCTGGATTCCTGTCACCCCCGCCCCCGCCATCGGCATTAACCCTTCATCCATGGTCTGGATGGCCGGGGATTCGCCCCTCGTGCTGTTTTTCCTCTCTTCAAACTCGAGAGAACATGCGGGGAACAGAGCGGGTTTCGATGGGATTCCGAGGCTCGATGGAAGAGTAAGGTGGAGTTCCCGCCGACCCATGATCCCTGGCCGGGCTGCCTCTTCCTAGCGGGCTTTCGACGTGGCCTCCTGGTCGCCGCGAATGATGTCTGAGGACTTACCTGGGGTAGTCCTTTCTCAGTGGGTTGGGCACTTTGCTTTCTTGCGATCACTAGGTGCAAAAAGAGACGGGGACCCTTCCGTCTACCAGGCTATCTTGACCAGATTCGGACCTCGGAGCCACTTCATGGCGTGCCTTATTTTTCATCCTGGGAACCCGTCAGTGCTGCTGGAAATGCATGTCTGTCAAGCGAGATTTCCTAGGCTAGTCGTCGAGCCATCGCGGCTGGCCGCAATTTCAGGTCCTGCGCCATCCCTGCAGGACGTTTAAAGATGACCATCTGTGCCCTGCCCTTTTCATTCCACAGGGGCCCGCGGGACCGTCCACATTCTTTGTCTGAGATTCTTTACCAAGTCATCTTGCCTCCAACACAGCAACATGGAGTCCAAACAGGCCTCAGACGCCCAAGGAGAGCCAAACCTGATGAAGGAGGAAATTGAGCAGTCTTCCAACAGCTTAGACAGGGATACAGAGTCGGGCCAGATGGACGACAAGGAATTGCAGAGACGACTTCGAAGAATATAGTATGTTTTCCTCAAATGGTCTCACCCCTTTTTCCCATTCACTCAATGTACCTCGCTGACCTTTTCAGCTGGAAAGTCGATCTTCGACTTATCCCCATCCTAGGAGGTAAAGTTGCCAGTAATCCTAACCGAAGTTGCTTATGCTGATTGATCAATTGTCATTTCCAGCTCTCTATGCTGTTAGTGGGATTGACCGCATTAATGTATGTCTCTGTTCCCAGTCTTGCTCATGATGGCTGGCTCCTACAAAGAAATATGATCACTGACGTGGGATTGTAGCTGTCCTCTGCTCGCGTAGCTGGTATGCATGAAGACCTGCATTTCTACATTGGCAATCGCTATTCCGTCGTTCTTCTCGTCTTCTTCATCACCTACTTCATGTTCGAGATTCCGAGTAATATCATCTTGAGAAAAGTTGGGGCTGCAATATGGCTGTCGTTTATTGCAATGAGTTGGGGAATTGTCATCATGTGTATGTATAACACTCCATAAGCCATTTCATACATATGGATTTGCTAACACACTTATCTTAAAGGCGCGGGTTTCGTTAAGACATGGGGTGTGCGTGCTAAGCTTGAACCTTACCCCCTCTCTCTCTCTGTGTCTTTTTCTTTTTCTTTTTTTGGCCAGTCAACTAACTGGTATCCAGCCGCTTATTGCTATCAGATTGCTTCTTGGGTTATTTGAGGCAGGCTTTTTGTAAGTGGTCCTTGAGCACTCCGTTTATATTCCTCATCAGCTAATAATATGTACAGCCCTGGCTGCATGTACCTCATTAGTTGCTGGTACAGAAGATACCAAATCCAGCAGCGGTACGCAAACCCCTTTTATTGTCGCTGTTTGGAGTACCTTTTACACGGGCGACTAATCGTCCATTGAAAGTATTGCTTGGTTCTACTCTATCAATGTCATTGCAAACGGATTTGGCTCTCTACTAGCTTACGGAATCATCCAGATGGAAGGGCTCGGTGGTCTTCGAGGTTGGAGGTGGATCTTTGTGATTGAAGGACTCCTTACCTGCGTGCTCGCCATGATGGGTTACTATCTTATCATTGATTTCCCGGACAAACTATTGAAAAAGAAGTCATTCTTGACGGCTGAGGAAGTCGAACTTATCAAGGCAGAGCTGGATAAAGATAGGGGCGACGCTGTCCATGATCCCATTACTCCAATGAAGGTTTTAAAGACGCTTTCGCGCTGGCAGCTTTGGATCTAGTACGATTCTCCCCTCGCCTTGTCGTCCATCAAACGTGCGAATATTGACTAGGCTTATAGCTCGCTCCTTTTCATGTGTGTTGCCATCGGCATCTATGGATACGCTTTCTTTGGTGTCGTTATTCTTCAGGGAATGGGTCACTCACCAGGCCGTGTTTTCCTTCTCTCGGCTCCGCCAGCTATTGCCAGCGTTCCGTTCTCTCTGGTAATTTCTTACCTTGCTGATCGAACTAAGCTACGTTCCCCATACGTCGCGTTTATGGCCATTACATGCACGATTGGATATCTTCTTGTTGCATATCCAAAGCAAAATGGAGTGAGGTATGACTATATATATATATATATTGCCCTCTCCGCCTTTGCACGACTAGAATTCATACTTATCTACCTCAATTCAGGTATTTTGGCGTCTTCCTCGGTCTCGCGGGAGCAAACGGCGCCCTACCAGCTGTTCTAGCCTGGCAGGCGAACAATATTCGAGGCCAAAGTACACGAGCGTAAGCACATACCAATCCGGTCTAATGTCGCAATATCTTACATTCTGTCGACCCTGACCCTTCCATAGTATCGCATCAGGTCTACAAGTTGCCTTCGGCGCAGTCGGTGGGATCTATGCCTCCGTTACCTTCCTCGAAAGAGAAGCTCCAACGTATTTCAGCGGGTTGTGGGCTGGAATCGTAAGTTATCCTTTGATATTTTAACTTTCCCCACTGACTTTCGAACCTGTCTCTCTCTCTCTCTTTTTGTGGCGTCAGGTTTGGATTTTTGAGCTGACAAGCTTGGAACTTGGATGACACAGGCGGCGCAACTTTTTATGCTTGCTGCGTGTATAGGAATGAGTATTTATCACTATATCCAAAACCGCAAGGCCGCAAGAGGAGAGATGGTAATCGAGGGCCTAGAAGGGTTTAGATACACATACTAGACCTGGTAGATACGTTATACTTGGAGAAGTGGTGAATCATTTGTTTGGCTGGGATGACTTAAACAGATTATATGATGCAACATCTTGTACAGAAAATCCTTTTTGCTTAATGATGGGCCTAGCCATGACATATAGGCGACTAGCAAAGAGGCATGAATGTCAATAACACACAATTATAAATCAAGAACTCATTCATCATGATGGGTTATGATCCCAATTTTGATTGCCATCCACGTGCATATTTGCCTTTACTCGATAAACAAAAGACCAAAGCAATTTACCAAAGCCATCAACATGGAACGAAAAAAATACCTCTACGATATATGCGCCACCGAACGCCCGCACCTAGGAGCTGATTAAGGTCTGGAAAGACGCCACTACGTTGCCCGCAAAAACGTATGTTTATGCAGCTGCAGGAACCTGCTGCTGTTCATGGGCCGCCGGATTAGGCTCGGGCTCGGAATCTAGAACTTCTGCATCCCCTCCTTCTTTCTGAGTATGCGGGGGCATAGGCTGCTGAGGCGGTAGTGCCGCTGCGCCAGGAACCGGAGGAAGTTCGGGAGGCTGTCGATAGAGGGTGATTTCGGATTGTTTGAAGTAGCGACGAGCATCTGTGTGGCAAGGGAATACGTCAGTCTTTGCAAAGAGCTGATTCTTGGATGTCCATTTGCTGTCTATTCCCATTCAAGTTTCAGGCTGTGTGGTTGGCAGTGGGGTGCCAATTGTCGACTGAGCGGGATGGTGGGCTGTCTAGTGATAGCGGGATGGATATCGAGATGCCAGTGTGGGGCTGGGACAAGACGCCAAGGCTGGCGTGCAAGACGCGTGGGATTATTCATTGGGGATAAAACGAAATGAGGAATGCACGGAAGCCACCGAGAAGGTGTGTGGAAGCGAATCCCTGCGTCCTCGCGAAGGGGGCTGAAACTTTCGATGCCGTATCCACAATGGTGGATAATGTCTTCAAGAGGGCCGGTATGTGTCGGTGACGGGGAAGGGGAAAAGATTGCACAAAAAAAAGGAGAGGAGGATTTAGGACAATCAAGGAAACTCAGCTCTCGACACTCACCTTCATCAATTAGGACCAAACTAAGATAGTATCTAGTCGAATATTTCTTATTGACATCGCGGAACGTGGGTGTCAGATCGAATCCGCCGAGGAATAATCGAATGGGGATAGTCTCTCCTGTGCGATGAGAAAAGAGATCAGCCAGCCACCCACCGAATGCCCAGCCTTAAAATAAAAAGCCTCCCGTCCAGAAAAAGTGGTATGTGGCAAGGATGTGGAGGAAGATTAAAAAAACAATAGTGGGGGAGACAAGGAGAGCTTTTCCGTACCTCTTGATGGAGAACCGTCCATGATCTAGATGGCAATGTTAGCAGTGAGACACACGGCAAGCACGGCGGTGACGATTAATCACTAACTTCAAATCTGACAAGAGTCTCGCTCTCATTATACTGGTTTGGCGGTGAGCCAGTCGTCTCCCGTCGTATAATCGACAGCTCCATATGTTTTATCTTGAGCCGCACGAGCAGAAAGTATATCCTCCCAACGATCACATCTTTGAGGTGGTACTTCGACTTTGAGTATTCGAATTCAATGTGTAGACAATCCTCGATACCGACGTCCATTTTAATGGGACTGTTGTTGTCCGGAGGCATTTTGTACGAATATACCCAGATATCCTTCTCTCGTACGATGTCGGCTATTCTGCGTGAAACGGTGACTCGGATAAAATATCGCAGCTTGACATTGATGCCATTATATGACTCGTACTGCTTCTCGACATTCTTGAAGTTGAAGGTAAACGTGCGCGGATGCTGGAGCTCCCCGGGAGCCGCGAGTTCCTGCACAAGGGAAAGAAACTCATAGTGATTACCCCGGTCAAAGAACATCTCTGCGAAAGGTTTTACATAACAGTCAGCATAGCTTTATTCTTAGGCCCTTGCTTAAGAATATACCGCCTCCAACCCAAAACGAAAATAGGGGCGATATCAGCCATACCGATCGTGCCAATAAACTGCACCTTGATGCCTGTATGTTCTAATCGCTTCCCGTCTTTCGGCCTGACCGTAACTGCGCCCTTCACAGACTCGCCATCCATGTACAAGGGCGCCTTTTCACGCCTATTCTTATCGAGCTTGATATCAACGGTTTCTCGTTCGTCGGCATCCTCGAGGACTATGTCGATGTCGACGGGTGTGGAGAAGAAGAACGACGACATCTTGGACCTAACGGCCAATTATAGGCGTACGGTCAATTCACAAAGGCTTCAGCTTAGGGACGGCGTCAGTATCGGGTTCTCCGGGCACCTGAACCCTCGTAGCTGATCTGACGGAGTTGGTGACCGTTGTGCCTTGCGAGACTCCAGATCGAGATACCTCCGCCCGCCGCGGACGGTTGTACCCTCTGACGTAATCCACGCTAAGGCCAATCCGGCTAGCACAGTTGAATTCCGGAGCAAATACCGCTGCTAAACCCCTTTTGGGGCTAGTCTCGTCTGATGGCTTTTTGATATCTTTGAAGCTTCGCTGGGCTGCTGACTGAACTTTCTTGAAGGCATACTCGCGCGCAACATCACGGAAGACACCCAGACAGCCCAACATCTACCAGCAGAATCAAAATGGGCTTGCTGCCAAAGCTCGTGTGACAGTCAGTCTGCATTCCTTTGCCGCAGCGGCTCGAATGACCTGTCGATGCGCGCTCCTAGCTTGTCGCTCTCAGCATCCTTGCCCTCCAGTTGTTCAGTCGAGATAATATCCAATAGTCCTCAATAGCAAAATGAAGTTCACTGCAGTTTCTCATCTCAGCTTAGGATGTCATTGAAGGAATAGATGCTCATCACTGAGAAATTTGCACATTAACCTCTCTGTCCTCTGTAACTAATTGGTATTACTGGATTTATAACAAGGAATGACTCTAATACAGAGCATCCATGACGAAACAAGTCATACACCCATAATCTAAACAGCTGTGGTTGTTAGTTACATCACATCGCATGAGGCTCATGTTTCCAAAGACATGATTAGCGGGAGGCACGAAAACCCTGCATGCAGATTGCCTCTTAACTACCTGTATGGTATGCATCCTTATGTGCTGGGATACCGGCGTTGAGAAAGGTGGGATTTGTGATTGTTGAGCCCGGCTGCAGGAGGTGAATGCTTTAGTCAAGCTGAAGCTGTTCTTCCATAAGTCTGCCTGCCTGCCCACAGCCGAGCAAAAAGATGGTACTACAGAGTACAGAAAGGCATCTCTTGTTACGCCTCATTCCGTATTAGCTTGCTCGGATTCGCGGAGATAGCGGCCTCATCAACGTACTCGGTCCTAGGGTGGCCCTTTGCCGCGATTCTCTACGGTCAATCAACACGCATTCCTCAAACTAAAATTTACGAGCTTTGAACCGTATATGCAGTTCGACCAATCCTGTTATTGAGCTACGTTGAATTTATGGATTGGGAAAGATGTCCAACCAGTGAGGTGGTGCACCGTGATTTGGTGATGTTTTGTCAACTCGCAGGAGGGAAGATCCCGGCTCGGTCCGGCTGAGGCTGGTATTGATCGCGGGGTTGAGTGGAAAAAAACTCGAAAGTAATCCCTCTAGTGCGGATAAAGCAGAAGTCATACTATGGTTTTACACTGCATGCTCGCAACCTCAGTTTTTACATGGCTTCGGATTGGGGCCACTTTTCTTACGACTCGAGGCGTCTATCACGAGAACGAACCGAGAAAGCGAGGCCTGACCATGGCTCCCTTTATTCAAACCCTCCACCTGATCTATGCGCCGTTTTTTTTTTTTTTATCAAGGTAGCTTGCGCGTGCAGACGAAAGGAGTGCCGGACCTCCTTGGAAAGTAAAATATTAATTCCTTAGTTCCGCGGATGCGATGCAAAACAAACTTCCACGTTTCCACAGATCGCAGCCTAATCGACCATGGGTGGAAAGCCTACGATGGCACGCAAAGCTTGGGCTTGACAGTGAAGGGAAAGGCGGAATGAGCGGATTTTCAGAAGAGCTATCCAATGCCCTTTGGTCGGTTACAAAAGGACATACGGAGGAGAGACGCCCTCATCGTGGAGCAAGGTGGCATGGCTGTCCAGATCGCATGTAAGGGATGACGTATCGGACGCATAGTTACATCGATGAGACAGCGGGATTGGCTCGGCTGCATGCGCTCGATGTATAATGACATCAGCTGGCTGGAACCAGCTCCCTGTCGAGCCAACTCTGCGCGCGCAGGGCAGAATTGCATGCCATTACTCCGTACAACAGCACATCGCGCTGCAGATGCTCGCGCGGGGTAGAGGACAAACTCCCCTTCAGCGTCAGCTCCAGCTCGTTCGACGACGAAAAGAGTGGCTGTGTTCTCCAGCGGTTGGGCCAACGTCGTTCAACCGAGCCAACAATTGGGTCGACGTACATACATCACACACGCAGGCCTGCATTCTGTCGTGCTTGCAGAAAAGGAGACGATAGCGATGTTTATTTGTGACAAACACAAAAGTCATAAGAACTGTGGGGAGGAGCAGTTAAAAAGGCAGCTAGCTACATAATAGCTTTCCCCACACTAGGGCCACATGGACAACAATCTGTCGGCAGCGTCCATCTGTGCGATCAGGAGTAAACAGGTCCGGCATGGCCCATTTCATGTAACTACATAACCGCGGTGGAGCAGTACAGCCCTCGGACTCCCGCACTAACGCGCCTCGTCAGAAACTGCCGTTTCAATTGGGCAGCGTGCGAGTTTGCTGCGGCCTGTCGAAGGAGCTGTGAATAAAAAAAAAAAAGGGCCCGGGGAGCCCATCAATCATCCCATCCGCCTGTGAAATGCTTCCAAAGATTCCGCCCACGCCCGGAGTAACCAGCAAACCAAGCTCCTCCTCACAGCGTCCGAGAGTCCCGACCTCGAGCGTTGATTCGTAGTCAGTAAAGAAAAATCACAAACCGCCCAACCGCACACAGGCCCCGTGTTTGCTTCTTTTCCCTGCGTTGCTGCGCTTTTGATGTCATGGACGGCGATCGCCGGTGTTAAGCTCATGAGTTCGGAGTCAGTAAATGCCCGTTTTAAGTTCATATTTCTTTCAAGAGCGGTTTGACTCTGGCCTTGACCCTTGCACAAAAAGCCCGTGTTGTTTTATTTCCCGGTAGCCGCGCAAAATAACGATTGGCCCGATTTCTGTGACAAGAGAAGGGCTAAAAGCCACTTCGGGCCACTCAAATCGCACACCAGCCCAAATTACTCCGGACATTTGTAAATAGTTTAATATAATCAAAAGGATGGGGGGGGGGAGAGAGAGAGAGAGATATGTTTGTCTTGGTATTGCCACTCAGGTCGCTTCCGGCCGCCAATTCCGGCCGTCTGATGGCTTCTCGCAATGAGACAGATCAACTTTTCTCCAGGACCCGCAGACCGCTGATTCTGATGTTAGTTAGCTGGCTTGATGTTCGAGTGTTGGTTTCTCTCTAGACAAGGCTCCCTTTTTCAGCTCCCGTCTCTTTTTCACTGAAAAGGGAGCCCATCTGGATGGGTTCCAGATCTACAAACCCCCGCCCTCCGGGACAGCAGGCCCAAAAACGCATCGAACGGCGGGTTTGCTCGTGCATTCGCTGTATTTTTATTACTCGCAGCAGGCCCGTGATTGGGCTTCCGAGCGGAGCTGCGACGATTAATTTCACTGCTAAGACGGTGATTTGTTAAGCGTTGGTAATCCTGCAGGAGAACAAGACAGGTCGCCTCCGTTATTTCTGTTCAGAAGCCGTTGCTCCACGTTTCCTTGGCCGTGATGCTAAATCTGTCCACCGGTGGATGGCATTCCATCCTGTCCGCTCTCCCTGGCCCTCACATGATCCCCTCGTTTTTCTTTTTTTTGGCCCCGGGCTGACGGCTGCGCAATTGCGAGCCAAACTCGATGAGTTTTACGGAGGGGTACGTTGCCTCTATCTCAAAGCCGTGAATTGAACCGGTAAAGTTATTTCTGTTTCGGATGGCGAGGCGTCCGGAAGGCAATCCCACCTTTTGCCGGGTCTCCTTTAACCCCAAACCCCAAATCCCCGCCGCGGAGACACCGCTATCCCGTCCACAAGCAAGGAACAAAATCAAGCGACCCAGAATCGGTTGTTCTCCGGCTCCCAGTACCGTGATACCGGGTCCAATAAGGCTCTCCTAAATCCCGTTACTTTCGCTCGAGCTAATCCCACTTACGCTTATTTTTTCGACCCTGAACTCCCCCAGCACCAACGCTCGGATCTCCAATCATTGTTGACTCAACAGCTCCTTGAAGATCCCCCTCCGGTTGATTCGGACCTGTCCAAGGTTTCATTTCTCTGGGGGAGGAAGGAAAAAAGAAAAAAAAAAAAGAAAAAAAGAGAGAGAGGGAAAAAGTAAAAGAAAAATGCCTTTAAAATCCAGACCATCCCCGGTCTTTTTGTCCCCTTTCCCCCCTCTTTCTCTCTCTCTCTCTGTCTTTTTTTTTTTTTTTGCCTTTCTACTATCCATCCGTTCTATTCTCGTGTCTTGAACCTCCTAGTGGGATGTCCCGTCCCTGAATAATACTTATTCCCTTCAAAATCTTATACCGGCCATACTCTCCTTCATTTTCCCTTCACTGACGCGCTTTGACCGGGACTTGCACAAACTTGTACTATACTTTACACATACCTTCTCCAGGCGACTACCTTGTCATACTCCCGTGTTAGGACCGATTGCTATTCACGACGTTGACATCAACCACTTGTTTCACCGTCCTGCAACTCAATTCGGGTGGCGACTTGCACTTTAAAAAGGAACCATTTTCCTGGCAAAAAGAAGCACCCTGCTAACCCACCATGTTATCCACGGAAGAGCCTGCCCGCCGTCCCCATATCATGGCTTCAGTCGGTGCCAGATCGCTCAACAGACGTGCCCACCACCTACCTTCAAAGATCCCCATAGCATATCCCCTAGATCCATACGCCACCATGCAGCATATCTGGATCCTCACCGGGCCAGCCGGCTCGGGGAAGACAACAGTTGCCAGGGGATTAGCAAAGGAGTTTGGTCTTCCATACATAGAAGGAGATGATGTACGTCGTCCGCAAGCCTGCATCCCGTCAGCCGCATTCCGCGCTTCAGAACAGCAAAGAGCTAACCATTACTTCTTCTCCTGCTCACAGTACCATTCCAAGTCCAACAAGGACAAGATGGCCAACAACGTTCCTTTGACCGACGCCGATCGGTGGGACTGGCTTATCCAGCTCCGCGAAGCCGCGATCAGCAGCCTGGAGTCGAAAAACTCCCCCGCAGGCGTCATCGTCACCTGCTCAGCCCTAAAGCACAAGTATCGTGACGTCATCCGCGTTGCTGCGTACGACCACCCGTCTGTCAGAATCCATTTCATCTACCTGCGCGCTGACGAGCAGATCCTCCTACAACGGGTCAAGCAACGGAAGGGCCATTACATGAAGTCGGACATGGTCCAGTCGCAGCTAGAGAACCTGGAAGAGCCGGATTCGGAGTGGGATGCGATCTCCGTTGATTGCGCCGCGAGTCTGCCGGAGGTGCAGAGGCGCGTGAACGTAGCGGTGCAGAACAAGCTGGACGAGTACAAATGAGTTTCGTTTTGGCGACGGGCTGCTGTTGTTCTTTTTCTCCCCCGTTCTCTTTGGATTGGGAGAATAACAATAGGCATTGTTCGCGTGCGGCTCCCACGAGTAGAGTCCCCTTTTTCTTTTTCTTTTTTTTTTCTTTTTCTTTTTATTTTTTTTTGGACCCATTGACACCTTTTTTCTGGCAGTTAACTCCCCGTGCTGTGTCCGATATGTGTCACCTATGATCTTGTGCCACCTCTACGAGGTTCTCATTTCCCGGAATTCTTCAACAAGTCGGCTTCTCAAGGATCGAATCGCGGAGTACCCGATTGTGGGTCTGCTGTTTCTCTTTATTTCCATTTTATTTTTATTTTCTTTCTATCGAGCGATTCCCCGGTTAAGCGATAGGCGCATTAGGAGTTAGAAAGGAGGGTATTCCTGGGAACCCCATGTGCGTTTTCCTTTGTTTACGCGATATATCAATTGTAATTGGTTTCGATTCTTTGTTAGCTATTGTTCTTCTCTCTGGGAGGGATGTGTGTTTCTTTGCTGTATTGCTAGGCATTTCTCATTAGCTACCCCGGTCCAATTCCACGCGTGATTACAGTCGCACAAATTCTCCCCATCGAGTTTTCACTCGCTTTCATCATACCGACCAGGTGGCCAGACCCGGAATGCATCAAACAGAGGGGCTCTCTCTCGGGGAAGGACAGGAACACTCCCGGACTAGCACACGGCGGGGAAACTCCCTTGGTCAGGAAGCGAGCTGGGCTTCTTGAGCTGGAAGAGCTAGGGTCTCCATGATATAAGTTCCTGCGCGCACGACCGAAATCACATCGACACGCCGATCGGAGGGCCCTGCAGGCTGCAGTGCAAAGGAGGCGGGGATCCTGTTTCTCGTTTATTCCCTTTTTCGATCCTTTGCGCATTCTTCCAACGCAAGGCCCCCACACCAAAGACCGGGGTGGGGGAATGCCCTGGTGTCCAACGGTCCCAGGCCCTGGCGTCTCTAAGGCGGATAGCGACCGAAGGTTTTGAAGGGGAGAAACGCATGAAAGGAAGAGAGAAGCCGGGGCCCAAAACAGGACTTTACACACAGCCCCCCGGTGAGGATGCATACATACGGACTACATGTTCCGTACATCATACCATACATGAGCGGGCTGAACATATGTATGAGCAACGGCCCCGTATCCGGCCTCCTGCATTAGCGAAGTACTCCGTACAAATTAACCGAACTGCGCTTTGTACTCCGTCTGTATGTCTGTATTTCCGGAGTCCTCCGGGTGCTCGAATTTTGGAGGAATAACGTACTGATCATCTGCAGCCACGGCTGGACCAGACAACGCGTTCCCCCGTCTTTCGCGCCTGTTTCAAAGCCCAACGAGTGCACAGACCCCCTACTCGCCGTTGCGTGGTTTTCCGACGGGCATGCAGCATTTTAAGCGCCCAGACCACCCGAGGCTTTGCTCAAGGTTACTACTGCGGAGGCCGGAGCCAGGCGAAAGAAGAAAGGCAGCAATGTTTAGCCAACCGCGTTGTTCCTATTGCCAATAATTGCTATGTATTCAACCTCGGGGTAAACACTCCCGCACCCGAACCGACAATGGAGGTTGCGAGTGAGTCGACGGCTTTTGAGGCGTGCGCCTTCTTGCGCTGTTGTGACGCATCATATCCACCATCCCTGTCTGAGCCAAATCAGGACTAAGGAAGGAATGAAAATGGAGCTCCCCGTCCATCTGCACGGATGGCGCTTGGTTGCTTCCCGTTTCTCTTTCGGTTAGCCATGCGTGGGTCATGTCTCAAAGCGCTTGAGATGCGAAATGTGAGATGTCGATTACGGATGATTATATGGAGCAAGTGATTGGCATCTTCAATTAGCGGACAAGTCAGAAAGGGGTCACGGTACGGAGTAGATAGACGGTGAAGGGATATGAAATATAATGACTTCTTGTCACCCTCTTGTGAACTAGTTAGAATGTTAGCTTTTAAGAGGGAAGATCGGCTGATCGGTGTTTGCGCATGTTGTCGTTTTTCCTCGGGAGAAATGTCTTGAAATGCCAAAACAGGAGGAACCCTGTATACGTCTCTGAATGGCTCCTCCAAGTTTCAGTTTATCTCTTTTTGCTGTCTGACTTGCTTGATGGAGTATTCATCTTGCCTTGTCTTAACCCTGCGTCATGACATATTACATTATTATTACAACCCTGAATCATTTCTGCTGGTCAGCATTATCTCACAAAGCAGCCACATTAGGGCTCTACAACACTCGAACACCTAGGAAAGTGGTCTCTCAGCCGGCATTGAGAGATGGCGAAGCTTCAAATCATTAAGGCCTACGACCTCGAGAGCCTTTGGGTTTAGGTCTGGAGCGCTCTCGCCGCGCTCCTGAAGTACAAAGAAAAGTCATCAGCATCACTTTACGGAATGTTTCACACCATATCCTCTGAGCTGCCTTATCCACAGAGTTCTTAAATATGCTCAGCCAGAAAACAAGGAATTACACTTTGTTTAACACCACAACCAGTGACAGGCGTAGCAATATATGGGCCTGCCGTAAACAGACCGGAAGCTATTGTGACGGTGGAGTGCGGTCAAAGAATTTGTAGAGTGACAGGCAAGTCGCAATATTAAGCGATGCAAAGTTACAGATCTTTCTTTTTCCTTTTAATGGATAGAGATCAGCTAACTAGCTATGAACTAGGTGGCTTGTACTCCGTACGTAGTTAACCAATAACTGCCGGCTCGATATGTTTCTAATTTTTTTTTTTTTCTTTTTCTTTTTCTTTTTTTTTTTTTAGAAAACGTCGTCTATGCGTATGACAGAGCAGGCGAGGTCATAAGGGTGGAATGTGAAACGCTTTCCACAGGCAAGCTTGTGTATACAAGAAGCACACAATTCTAAAACATGATATCCTTTCCCAAAATAAACAGAAAGAAGATTAGGCAATCAGGAGATGCTGTATGCTCTCCAGAGCCAAGAAATATGTAACCAAGGAAGTACATAAACAGCATACTGGGTATCTTGCGTCCCATTATGGCTTATCTCAACGCCAGCATCATCGTCTCCGGGGACTCAACATACATTCTAACCTTCTCTGCCATTCTTGCCATCGTTGCTCCGTCAATGACGCGATGATCGGCACTCCAGTTGAATGTCATCTTCTGGTCCTTGACCACGTTACCCTGCTCGTCAAATACTGGCACGGTCCGTGACCTGCCAACGCCCAGGATGGCAACTTCGTTTGGCACCAGGACAGGCGCAACATATGTTCCGCCAATGGTTCCGATATTGGAGACAGTGATGGTTCCGCCGTTAAGATCGGCAGGAGTCAGTTTTCCGGCACGTGCAACGGCAGCGAGCCGGGTTACTTCAGCCGCAATGTCTAAAATGGAACGGGCTTGGACGTTTTTGATGTTGGGTACGAGGAGCCCAGTTGGGGTGTCCATGGCCACCCCGATGTTGTGGCTCGATCTCATTACTAAAGATGGCTTGTCGGGGTTCGTTGTAGTGTCCACTCTGGCATTAAGGAGAGGGTACTGTTGCAGGGCAAGGGAGACAGCTTTAATGATAAATGGCAGGAAGGAGATTTTCTGTGGCTCAGTAGGATGCGAAAGGATCTTCTGTCGGATAGATGCGAGTGCGGAGATGCTGAGATCATCGGCGTAAAGGAAATGTGGGACTGAGAGGGACTTGGTCATTGTCTTGAACATCTGGGACTGGATGGGTGTTAGACGTGTTGGGGTTTCGACTTGGGGAGTGTCCACAGATGGCGTGGCGGCGGTAGGCTGCGCCGCTGGGGCTGCTGCTTGCGAATCTCTCTCCGCAAGATATTTGAACACATCTTCTTTCATCACTCTGCCATCCTTGCCAGTTCCAGTGATCTTTGTAATGTCTAAACCATGTTCCTTCAACAGTCCGCGGACCGCTGGCGTCGCAAATGTAGCATATTTGGACTTTGGCGCAGCTGGGGCGGTTTCGACCTGGGCTTGGCTATTCTCAGCCAATACTTCTTGAGCCTTCTCTTCAGATACGGCAGATGCGGAAGTGGTTGGCTCTGGGGCCGACTCCGCCTTGGGGGGAGCAGGGGCATTTGTCTCAGGATATTTGGCGTCATCGACCTCTATCTCGCAAAGAGCCTAGCCCGATGTTAATATATGACTAGGAGAAAGATTTCAATTGAATGAAAGTACCATTCCGGTCGGGACCGTGTCATCGGCTTGAAAATGGAGCTTCTTGATGACGCCCTCGTAGCGCGATGTGATCTGCGAAACGGTGTTAGCAAGCAGCATTTCGGAAAGTGGGGGGAGAACGTACATCATCTACAGCTTTATCCGACTGGTACTGGCATAGGGGCTTCCATTCCTCTATCCTAGCACCCTCCTGGACGTACCACTGGATGATTTGAACCTCGGTGATACCTGCGGAACGGCCAAGACGTCAGCTATGATGCCGCCGGTGGGCAGATCCGGAGTTTGCGGTCACAATGATCATACCTTCACCGACATCCTTCAGGATCTGAGACCTGATTCCCCATGGCACCGGGGTGCTGTGAAAGCGCCGGCGGAAGCGATGGTTGAAGCCGGCAACTGGGGGAGCGGCGGGGAGGATGCGGGACGAAATGCGAGCTTGGAGTGCCTTGGAGAGCGATCTTCTGCAGTATAGGGAGCCCATGGTGCAGCTGGATAAGTGGACGAAGCGAATTGGGGCAGAAGACAGCTCTCTTTTCCTTCGACGAGGATGAGGAAAAAGAGGACGTTCCCTCCAACCCCATAAAATAGCCCGAAAAGGATTGTTGCGGTGTCGACGTGCCGGCGCAACACCGACGATAGCCGCCGAAGCGATAAGAGCACGTGACGCGGCGCTGGAAGGTTTAAGGTTATCTTTCGCCAAGATACACTAGTCGGATCGGGACTAGTGATGCCCTGTCCGCTAGCCCTAATTCCCCCATCCGGAATCCAAACCCCCCCCTTCAAATGACAAAAACAATAGCTGTTCGCCGCTGCGACAACGAGTTTCAAGATGCGCGAGATGCTCTGGACATTTCATTCATGTCGAAAACCACACGAGCGGAGAAGACAGTCCAGTATGGTACAACACCGGACATTTTGTTTGGCTCATGCGCCTGTACCAGCGCGCCAGATGCACATTTCGCTTGGGTCGCGCGGGATGGCCCCTAACCGGCGCTTTCGTCAGACACGCCCCAGATATCGACTTTCATCTGCTCTCTGTATGGAGAAGCCAGTCGAGCCGATGCCAATGCGGCCTTGAATTGCGATAGCCATGGTCAAAAGTGGATGACTGGCAGCATATCTTTTGGACCACTCCAGCTCTAACTGGCGATTCCACCCCCTTTTTCTCTTTTTCTATATCTTTTATTTATTTATTTTTTCTTTTCTTTTTCCTTTTCTTTTCCTTTTCTTTTGGCATTGATAGGCGTGACTTCAGATGTGTCTCTCGCTCTCGTAGTTCGCTACGTAGGCTTTCGATAAATCAGATCAACAGCTTCGTTGACCGATTTTCTCAACAAGCGTCTTGGCTTAGTGCTCTCTTTCGTTCAGCCCTACACCAACTAGCAAACCACAGCATTCCCCTCCCCTCCTTGAACCCCGCTCCAGTTGTCCAAAATTGGAATCGAAATAACTACTTTCTAGCACTGCGAATCTATTCAATTCAACCAAGCCCGCCCGCCCTTTTTTCTACACAGAAACCCGCTAAACGACCGCCCTAGACCACCATGGTTGCAGAATATTTGACCATCCGGAATCTCACCCCAAACCCAATTGAACTGAAGCATGTGGAACGCTTCGCGCCCCCAGATGTCCCCAAACCAGACATCAAGAACATCACCAAATCCTTTGCGACATTGATGAACAATATAACAAGATCAGCCAATGAAGTGGACGCGATCGCCCATGGCTCAGAGGCCGTCTCTAAAGAGGATGTCTCCGTTCGCGTAGAGCCTTTCACCGCAGTAAAGACAGAAATTCGCGCCTACAAGAACTCCGAGAAAGAACGGTTGAAATTGACCGTCGAAGTGGAAGGAGAGCGTCACCAGGTTCAAACGCCGGTGCCCACTAGCGATTCGGCAACGATGAAAGCACTCAAGGACAAACCACGCTTTCGACTGACAGTCATCTACATCACTCCTGAGTCGCACCTGACGATATTTTCGTCTGCAAATCTCAATTCATGGATGAAGGAGCTCAAGGACGAGACGCTGCTGTCTGCGCTGTCGATCCCAGGCACGCATAATTCCCCAACCTGCCATGTCGCCCCACCCTCTGTGAGGTGCCAGGCCGTCAGTCCACGAGAGCAGCTGGAAAGCGGCGTCCGATTCTTTGATATCCGCGTTCAGCCTCAATATCCAGACGACCCAAGCAAAGATAACCTTGTTCTTGTGCACAGCGTATTTCCAATCTCTCTCACTGGCAATAAGTATTTCCGCGACCTCGTCAACGAGATCGAAGGGTTTCTCCAACGCAACCCATCAGAAACGCTAATCATGTCCGTCAAACGTGAAGGACCGGGAAAGCACACAGACGCTCAGCTCAGCAAGATTCTACACGACCACTATGCGCGGGATCCACATAAATGGTATACCGAGCCCAAGGTCCCTAGGCTTGAGGTAGCACGAGGCAAAATCGTGTTAATCCGCCGTTTCGGGTTGGATGACAGTCTCAAAAAACAATGGAATGGACGCGGTTGGGGAATCGATGCCACTGGCTGGGCGGACAACACTCCTCATGCTAACTGTCCTAGCGGCCACGTCTGTATTCAAGACTTTTACGAGGTCCTCGAAACCGAAAACATCGATAAGAAGATCGAGTACGTTACCGCGCAGCTTGCCAGATCCGCCGCCCTGTGCTATCCCCTCGGAGGAGGCGATGACGAAAAGGACCGATCCCCGTTCTATGTGAATTTCCTCAGCGCGAGTAATTTCTGGAAAGTACAGACATGGCCGGAAAAGATCGCTGCGAAATTGAATCCGGCCACGGTGGACTATATATGTCGAAAACACAGTCATGATAAGGACGGAGATTGGTCTACGGGGATATTGGTGTGTGACTGGGTTGGATTGGATGGCGATTGGGATTTGGTGAGGTGCATTGTGGGAATGAATACAAGGCTGATGATGAAACAGAGATAAACGACAGAGTATAAATGTGTTTTTTTTGTTTTGTTTTTATTTTTATTTCAATTTATTTTTTATTTTTTTTTTTTTTTTGGGTCTTATTACTTTATTTTCGGGGCTTTCGTGTAAATCTGCTCTCTCCTGGTGGGACAGCGGATTTTATACTTGCTATAGTTGCGCATTTATTCCCCCAGAGCTCTTGGTATATAGAACTGAATATTCCGGGTTAATATCATATCCATATGGGCTGGCTATTGCAAGAGGCGTTTCCGTTGAATAATTTCTAATAGAGGTTTATTGCATCTTATAGTACATGAATTTAAGCCCTGCTGACAACATAAAATGAAAAAGGAACAGATGGCACCATCCCCAAAAAACTGAACGAGTATCTATATGTCCAACACACGTAGTCAAATATCCACTCATTCTTTCTTCCCACCGTTTTGTTCTTCTTCCAAAACACTTCTCCGGCTCTCCATCGTAAGATACAGACTCTTTCCAGCACCTTCCAAAGTATTTGTAAGGTTGGCCCCCATAGACTGCAACAGGTAGACCAGCTGTGCCCTGAGTCCGCCCAATCCACCTTCGATACCTCCGATCCATCTTGTACCCTCGTCATCAAACACCTTTCCTTCCACTCTTGCCCCCAACATGACCAGCTTCTGCAACCCAGATTGCGTAGCAAATTCGTAATAACCCGGATTCGCCCGGCGAGTTGGAGCGGGGAAGGTTGGCGGGCTGGGTGCTAGAATGGACAGGGCGGCCTTAACATGCTCCGGCGAAACATACGGAAACGAAACGACCGCAATCGGACCCGTGAGCAAAGTCGCTAGCTCGTGCTTGCCACGCTTGTCGAGAACAGCCTGATACGCTGTGTATGAAAGGTCGTGGGTTAACCTGGGGTCTTCTCGTGAGAGGATTGGTGCCGTTGGATCGACAGTTGCCGCATCCCCAGGACGGAAGAAGTCGACCACTCGTAGAGCAGCTTCGAATATATGTGTCTGGATGGTCTGCATTTTGATCGCGTCTGCCAGCGGTGGCATGTCCGTCCTTCCTTTCGAGATGAGATCTTCGTCGACTTTTCTCAGCGCGTTGGAGAGTTCGCGGCGGATATTTACCCATTCGATGGATTTGAGATTGTTATGCTGAAATAGGAGTATCAAAGGCATTGTTCGCAGGAGAGAGGTGTATTGGCGGTGAAGTTGTGACTTGCGGTATTCTGGTCGGCGATGGGAAAGCGGTTGTGTTTGCTGATACAAAGGGGCGGGATTAGCGGTGGCGGAGGCAGTACTAGCACCCCGAATGTGATTGATAGAAGTGACTGATGACTGTGAGAGAGCCGTTGCTGCAATTGCAGCTCCGGACTGTCTTCTGCACTCATGTCGGAGGGAGTTGGAGATCGTCGAGCATGTTGAGAGCCGTAGTCTCGGAGGCATTGAGACAGTTAGTATATGGCAAAGGGGAGATCGGGCTGGATTTAAGCGTTTTTCAGGTGTCAATTAAGCTAGACTTGCATCCACTGGCCAGCAAGAAGGCGGGTTTGAGGGATATATGCCACTTTCACGGCGCTCAAAGCTTGCGCTGCTACATTTCGCAATTCCCTCAGATTTTCGTGATAATTATTACATAAGCAGCCGTTGACGGGATTATGTAATATGCCAGGGGGGACCTCGTGGGCGGTGAAGATTCTGCCACGCGATGACTCTTCCGCCAGCGTGATCGGAGGGGCTAAAAACGCCCCGTTGGCGAGCTACCTGGTTCTTCATTGTTCAACCGCTCTGTCCCACAGCAATCTCTCGTTCCTTCACTTGACCCATCTACATTCCATCCACGAATCTGCTACGCCTTTACTTCGATACCGAGCTTACGGAGTTCACAGGAACTCATCTGCACAGCTACAATGGCGGCAGAAAGCCCCACAAGCAAGCCGGAGCCAGTGTCCATTTCACCACTGCTTCAGAGGCTCGCCTACCCCGACACCTCAGAGATCCAGGTATCAGCTGGAGAAATTGCTTCAGCATTTGCATTGATCTTTGAAGACCGTCTCTCAGTTATACAGACAGCTGCCCTACTCACTTTACTACATTCGACTGGATTGGACAGAGACTCGGACGTAATTGCGCAATGTGCCAATCGTATGCGCGAAGCTGCCGAACAGACCGAGAGGGGGCCATTGAGGAAAGTCCTACGAGAGAGGGGTCGAAAGGAGGGTGCGTATCAAGGTGGATTGGTATGTGACTCATCCGCCGTAAATGTTGCGATTGTGGCTGACCAGGGATCCTTGGATAGTGTGACATTGTCGGTACCGGTGGCGACCAACATTCGACCTTCAATATCTCTACGACCTCGTCCATCATAGCCTCGCCATTGCTTATGATGGCTAAGCATGGCAACCGGGCACAGACTTCTTTCTCCGGTTCGGCCGACGTCTTAAATTCAATCGCACCTAGGCCACCTAAGATATCCGCCGTAAACTCGAGTAATATTGCGCAGGTCCTTGCCGAAACCAACTACGCATTTCTCTTTGCACCCAACTTCCATCCCGGTATGATGTATGCCAACCCGGTCCGACGAGGCCTGGGACTCCGAACGATATTTAATCTAATGGGGCCGCTTGCCAACCCTGTGGAATGGGCCCTGGAAGCTCGGGTAGTAGGTGTCGCTTATCAAAGTTTGGGACCGGTGTTCGCCGATGCGCTTCGAATAAGCGGAGCTAAGAAGGCACTGATAATCTGCGGCGAAGAAGATCTAGACGAAATCAGTTGTGCAGGGAAGACGAACTGCTGGAGGCTTTCCGAATACCCGAATCCTGAATACAAGGGAAGCGAGAGCACAGAGACCGAGGATGACGACGATGACGATGACGATGATCATGATCATGAGGCGCCACCCAGAACTATAGTTAAGCTGGATACGTTCCAAATTCAGCCGTCGGACTTTGGATTGCCAGTCCATCCACTGTCAGATGTGGGCGGTGGCAAGCCGCCACGCGAAAATGCCCTGAAGCTGATGAGCATCTTACGGAACGAACTCCCCCGCGATGATCCAATATTGGACTTTGTTCTCATGAATGTGGCAGCATTGATCGTTACTTCTGGCGTCTGCGAAGCGGACACCAGCAATATGGGGCCCGGAGATGATGGAAACGTCATCAAAGAACGTGGCCCCGGCGGTCTCAGATGGAAAGAAGGCGTGAGACGTGCGCGCTGGGCCATCGAGAGCGGAGAGGCCTTGAAGTGTCTTGAGAAATTTATCGATGTCACGAACAGGCTTTAAGGCGGGGATGCTCAATTTCTGCAATATTAAAAAGGAAAAAAAAAAAAAAAAAAAAAAGGGTAATAAGCTCCGACGTCTTCATTTCCAACTCTCATGCAGAGTACACAGTTAGAAGGGTTTTTGGGTTGGGACACATCGTGCCCCCGAGGGTAAAAGCGAAATTGGACATTTCAACATGTATTTGGGTTTTCGGGATTAGAAACATCTAATATTAACACTCCATAGCGCCTTGCAAATGCTCGTTGTAAAAAGGGAAAGGACAAGTTTTATCGACGCAAAAGCAGTTAAGGCCTTCTTAGCGTGTAATCGGCATCATCGGGCTTGGAACTGGACCATCCTAAAAATGAAAAAGAATACATAGATTAGCATGCATCCATCAAGGCGACTTGTGTACCCTAAATTGTTTAAAAAAGAACCCCCGACAACACCACGCCTAAAAGCAAGGAGTCTCGAGTAACCGACCTCTTTGTTCTCTCCTTATATAACACGCGGTGCCCACACTCTTTGCACCGAATCTGATCTCCACGCTTCATTTGCACACGAGCGCTGCAGTCGCCGCAGACATAGATGACGGAGAGGAGCTCGTCGTTCGCATTGGTGGGCGCAGAGCCCGCACCAGCGGAAAACTGGGCCTGCTGGTTGTCGAAGGAAGGGACTTGGTAGGCTTCGCGAGACATGGCTATCAATATGAACTGGAGAGTCTTTCCTGGGACAGCTGGAAATGGGTTTGTTGGTTCTTCTGAAACGACGGCGACGGAGGCAGAGAGGCTGTCGTGGATGAGTTTTGCGGTTGAGAAACAAGCGGGCGGCGACCGGCGACAGAAAAGATGCAACATCACATGACCGTATTGCTGACTAATCTGACCTCATCATGCGCAACCTGCTGACAAAGCGTCTGCCGCTGGATGACATAATCAATCAATCAATCAGCACGATCTGTGTCATTGGTTAGAGTTAACTAAACGGTTAACATCGCCAGCAGCATCGTACGCCCATCGTCAACCGTCAATTGCAACCGAACCCGGGTCTCTGAGCCGGTGTGAATGATGTCCAATGCAAACTGGGCATACTGCTTCTTAAATTGCGGCCCCCCCCTCCCCCCCCCCCCCCGATTTTCGAGGTGCACTGCGATTCAGTTGCAAATTGGCCTATTTGGACAATGAAGCCATACTCGGGGACGGACTTCGCCCGTTTGTTCCCCTAAAACTTCGGCTAACAGGAGTATGGATCGCCTGACTCCAGGTTGTTACTTCTTTTCACCCGGACAGCGAATAATGCTGGCTTCACTGAAGCTCACGGCCTCTGGGCCTTCTCTCAATCCACGCCCACCGTCTCGTTCCTGCACCGTGGGCCTTAGCTGGTGGTCGGGCTTGCCTTGAGATCTGGGATATAGCCCATAGTTATGCTATATGCGTGTTCGGTAATCTCTTCTTTGCCCCATTTCTTCTTCGCTTTGAAAACTTTCTTCCGTACCTCACGTTGCTGGTCGCATCTTCATATCCATTATCGCGACCGCCTTTGGGCTACCAGTCAAGTTCTACAAGAGCTGGCGGCGTTTTGCTTTTGTTCTTGGATTCACCTCGCTGCTGATTAGGCTCCCTGTACAAGCTATTGATTACTTTTCAAAGGTGCATAACTCTACTACGCGTTGAATAAAAGTTACTTCATCGTTAGAACCTATTTATCCCAAACGACCATTCAAGTCGTCCTTGATATCTACACCAGGAACTAGAGGCACTATGGTTGCGAGACGTCCCCAACATTCCCCTCATACCCCTCGAACGCCTCGAGAGGGTCGCTATTATCGTCGGGACGAACTGTCGCCACCTGCCCCACGACATGGACATCGCAATCCACCCGATAGATGGGTTCCACAATACCGCCGTACCAACTCCCACGTCATTTATAGGAAGTCAACGGGCCCTAGATCACCGCCAAAATGGAGGCGAAGACCTGATTACTGGCGGCCCAACAACGAACTTTATAGCCCCCCCTCAGTTGATCTTGAACCAACGTTCTCCTCGTTGTCAATTGACGATCGTTGGAGAGGAGAAGATGTTCATCATAGCCCACAGAAGATATCGACGGAACTATCTCCTGACGCAAGGGAAAAGGCCTTTGCCGAGATTATAAACGGGGCGTTTGATTCGGAAAGTTTGTACTTGGGCAAGAGTGCACCTCCGAGGCTTGCAGGTCCTTCCGAAACTGAAAGTTCCGGTATTGGAAAGACGGGTCCTATTTATCGGCCATGTGAAGAGAAGATCGAGTCCTTGCCGCGTGAACCATCGCCTGGGCGTCCGAATCATCCATATTCATCATGCGAAAAGCCACTTCAATCACCTTCGATTGACTCGTCGGCATCGACAATAGACGGAACGGTACACCAGCCTGAAGAGATGAAACGGTTGATGAGGATGATCAGGCTTAATCCTAATCGCTCGAAAGAGCTTGCTGACCTCGTGTATGACTTCCTCTACAGGCGCACGAAAGTTTCCCAGGAAGCCAATTTTGAAAAGTGTAATGGTCTCCAGGCTAAACTCCAGCAGCTTAGGGGGTCTTCACCAATTCTTCCGCAAGTAGCCACACTCTCCGGTGGTGGTGACAGCCCACCCCGCCGTCCCGGTGGCATGTTTCGGGGACATATGATAGATAAACCGGATCCTGATATACACAGCGGTTTGTCGGCACATGCATCCGAAGCTACAACCAGAGATACCAGTGCTGCCGTGGAAGATGTTGAATGTAAATTGCTTTACCCAAGCCGCGCCAGCTCGTTTGACGAAGCTAACCTTCTCCATCAGTGATCCCACCAACACCACTTCCAGGACCGCATGACTTCGCGCCCAGACATTCTGTTGCCTCGAACCCGACATCCGGGGTGTCGGATCATCCTTCCAACTCAACAATATCTTACACAAGAAGGGATGGTAGCCCTCTGCCCGAACCACTATGCCCTGGAGCGGGTCCTTGCTGCGATCACTGGATTGCTACTTATTATAATACCCTTGCCGCACTCTCGCCAAGCTCGCTATCTCCTGAAGATTGGCGAGCGGTCCGATCCGCTTTGGCTTCATCCCCAGAATCACCACCGCCATTTGACTTGAACGAAATCAAGGTTTGCTCCAGTAGCAGTGGCTCTCAAGGCAGCGGAGAGGTTGCTGCGTGCTCAGGGTATGAGAATACGACATATTCACACCAAGATGGTCTTCCTTTTCGACCCAAGACTGCCATGGGAGTAAATAATGGGGACCAACAAGACCCTAGTCTTCGCATAGAATCTCTCAATGCTGAAGTACTTAAGCGGCCATCGAAGCGAGGCCTCTCTCGACACAAGGCCATACCGCGGTGTCCTCGTACCCCAGTTTCATCCCCGTGTGAAATATGTGGCCAACATCACAAAGCAGGGTCAAATGGTAATTAAACAATAGCAACAGTAGCTTGTGCCTCCTTGGTTTTCGAGGCGCTAGAAAAGCGGATTACTGGCTAAGGCCCGAAAATTTTCATCTCTGTGTCCATTTCATGGCTGTGCATGAGCAAATGGACTATACACGTCTTTCTCTTATGGAGCAAAAAATGAATATTCTTGAATTATATACTTATTGTTTCAGACCTGAAAGCCTATCGTCACGTGGCATGATTGCGCGACTCTATATCTATGATGTCGTATTGAAATTCCACACATGTAGATATCCGTGTAGATGCCAGCGAAAAATGCGAAGAATACGCGCCCCCTATTATTTTATCACCAACCTCCACCAATTTTCCCTGCCAACTCAGCAACACGTGCTGTATCGGCAGCGCCATTTTTACTCTTTCCAACATCGCTCTCCACTTTGCGGAACGTAGTATACACCAATTTCGGCAGGGGAATCCCTGTCATATCGGACCAATACTGGAGAATCGCATGGACAGATTGACATCGAGACTCGGGTTCAAGTGGGCGGTCAATTTCCATTTCATCACCGTGACTGGTAGAAGGGGAAGAGGGGGGAGGAGAATCTGAATCTGCAGAGTAATACACCTCGTCGACGCGGGCCAGCCAGGCTCGCTGTTCTTGAGGCGTGGGCTTGTGCTGAGATGTTTGAGCGGTCGGTGCGGAACCATCGATGCTGCTGGTGGCAGTGGTTGCAGTATCCCTTGCATCTTCGAAGCGAATTTGGCCTCCGCCGTTGGTGCAGCCGCCGGGACAGGCCATTACTTCGATATATGCGTAATCGCTGACCCCTCCTCCCGCGGCCGTATGTGGAGCGGATGTCCCGGTCCTGCGGCTGACTGTTGCCCTTGCGCCGGGTAATCGAGATGTTTTGGCCGGTTTTAGCTTGCGGACGAGGTTCTGGATGTTTCTGAAGCCGTAATACCGGGCTGCCTTTATGATGGGTCGTCCGGTTTCTGCGGAGACGAGGGTGTAGTCGATCACGTCGGCGTTGCGCCCACGTTGGGCTTGGATAGTGCTGTTGGGGTGGAGGGCTTGATGGGTTGTTAGGAGGTGATGGAGATAGCCACCTGAAGGACCGGAGAAGACAGATTGGTTGGAGGCGAGATGCTTGGGAAAAAGAAACTGTGCAATTCGGGGATCCGGGAAGGGTGTCGTGAACGAGGATGGGAGAGGTGTTAGAGGTAGGTTTAGGAGAGAGATGTTCCGTGACGAAGCGAGCATCAGGAGCTCTCTTGAGGTTATCACACAGTCGACATCGCGAATGGGTTGATCCATTGCAGGGGAAGCGAACATGTCGTGGTTGGTTGTTTGCCAGGAGGCATCTGTTAATTCTTGCCGGCTGGCTTCGAGCTTCTTGTCGAAACAAGGCATGATTGCCAGATGCCATATCCTGGAAGGAGGTACATTAAGCCTTTTGCTGAGTATGGTCTTGATGAACGTTCCAGTCAAAGCCTGAGGTGATTTTAAACGGGAGAGGTGCGGGAGGACGTGTGGATGGGTCTTTTCAGCGTAGCAGATCCAGCCCGGGCAGGCGGACGACAGAATCGGTTTACGCGGAATGGGAAACTCTGCAGACTCAGAGGTAGCAGTAGAGTCAAACTTCGCCCGTGACGCGGTGGCTTCATCCGTGGTGAGCTCCAGGACAACATCCCGTATCACGTTTGTATCCACAACCCATGTAAAACCACTACCATGTTGTCCACCAGCTCTCAGACCCTGCGGCCCGGAAAGAAACTGTTCAATCATATAACCTGCCTCTTTCTCCGATACTCCATACGTGGCCGCCATGCTCGCGCGCACCTGAGGGCTGACACTCGCCACGAAGATCCGCGCATCTCCTGTGGCGCCATTTTGGACTCCGTTCCGAAAACCGTCTACTCGAAGCTCAGGATATGCATCTAGGGTGTTCAGCACTTCGGCATGAGATTGTAGGGAGATAAGGACAGCCTCCGCAGAAGTTACGCATCCAGAGCAAGCTAGGCAGTCGGTCAAGGATATCTGCGCGGGTGAGGGGTTTTCGGCGGCGACTTTGTCTTCTGTGGTCACTTCGTAGGCAGACTGGGTGCCAAGGGTTAGTTATTTGGGGCGGTGAAATATGATGGGCGACATCTCATGCTTACCTCGTCCCGTTCAGACTTGGCCGGCAGTGTTTCGACCGGCTTTATACATGCTACCCCTGGTGATATGAAGTCATTCAAATCGTCCGCTGAAATGATCGCACTCATGGTGAAAGAGTGAGCACCGCTCCAAGGGCCAGTAATCTCAAGAAACAGTAAAGGAAGCTCTTTACTTGGATTCTCACACCTTTTTCCTTTCTAACATCGAGGACAGAAATTACCAGCTTTCGCAAAATGGAAGAAGTTCTAAGAAAATCGGTCGAGCAGGCGGCGACGGCGGGACATCGCTGATTATCCAATCAGAGGGGAACAAAAGCAGCAAACACTCTTATCAGCAGCCAACCAGCGTGCAAGCGATTCATGTGACAATCCATTCTTATCTTATCTTATCTCATCGCCGGCAAGATGGTTTCTGCCGCCCAGATGTACAGTACCTTTCGCACTCCGCATCGACGGATACATAGGAGCCTTCCGTCTCTAATCGCCTTTCTCAACACAGTTCAAGAGGCTTACTTTTGAATCCCTAAATAAACCTAAACGGCATATTCCTTATTCCGTCCGCAGGCGTGCCCTGCGTAGATGTATGGTAGTACAGGGGTACCGGGGTTCTGCGCATCTGTTCCGCACAGAGTCTAGGAGCAGCTATTAGTCAGCCGGGGCTTAGCTCCTTGGCGCCTTTAAGCCCGTGGCTGCCTATGCGGCTCAAAACGACGACGTGTGGCTTAGAAGCATGGCCGACTATATAGTTCGCAACGCAATATCTCGTCGGCGAAGCCGCACGGTTGAACCGGGCACCACGTTTTTCCCTCTTATCTCCATACCATGACGTCGGATCGTCCTGGCCGGAGAATGGTCCAGACTGTCTTAAACTTTGGACAGGACCAAAAGCAAGCAGCCGTTAGGTATCCATCAATTCGAAAGCCGGATCCCGATGAGATGGCAGCTCTCGAGTCAGACTCGAATCGAATGGAAGACGTTCAACCCACGCAATCTACCGCAATCTCCTGGGAATCCACTCTAGCGCCGACGTCAAGAAGCGGCAGCTTCCCTGGCAATTATATGCCTGCGTCCATACCCCGTCACCAGACCCTCATTCACGTCGCACGTGAAACCACCGCCCTTCTGCCCAATATCCTCTCCGCCGTTCCCCACGCCCCTGCAAAGGGCTATCTCTACACAGACCCTCCCTATCTCGACCAAAAATACTCCCCGCGTTTCCCCCGCACCCCAATCCGCATCCTCAACTCCGACACCCTCGACACAGCGATCGGTCTAGCCCAATGCGCCAAGTACGTCACCGTCCGCGACAAGAGACCCGTCTGCGTCCTCAACATGGCCAATGCCTATAACGCTGGCGGAGGTTGGAAGCGCGGCGCTCTCGCACAAGAAGAAGCCATCTGCTACCGAAGCAGCCTCAGCTTCACGCTCAAACTGCGCTATTATCCTATTCCGGAACTGAGCGCCATATACTCCCCCACCGTGTTGGTGATACGCAAGAGTTTGGAGGACGGCCACGAGCTGCTGCCGCTCGATATGCCAGCGAATTTACCCATTGTGAGCGCGATTAGCGTTGCCGCGCTGTGTGCGCCGAAGGTGACAATGGGACCTGCGCCACCGGGTTCGAAGGAGTCACAGAGACAAAAGTATCGGAACCCGAAGGACAGAGAACTTACTAAAGAGAAAATGAGGGTCGTTTTGAGGACTGCGGCAGTGAATGGGCACCGGAGACTGGTGTTGGGTGCTCTGGGTTGCGGAGCGTTTAAGAATCCGAGAGAAGAAGTGGCTGATTGTTGGGCAGAGGTCTTTGGCGAACAAGAATTCGCTGGGGGGTGGTGGGAGAGCGTGCTATTTGCCGTTATGGATGATTTGGGCCAAGGGGAAAATGGCGATGGAAATTACGGAGTTTTTTATCGGAGGTTAAATGGAATGATGGTTTGAATAGCACTGAGATACCCGGATATACTGTTCTTTTGACGATGATATGAATTTATTTTCGCTATTGCTAATCTTCTTCAATTTTGTCGTACGGCAATAATACCTGAGCATTTTGAAAATTTGTTTTCCACTGCATGATACCGCGACATGGTTTGTGAAATATTGAACCGGCACCAAACGCCGACCGTCACCTCCAGGAATGAAGCCACTAAACTCCGATTTAGAAGCCAATTATTTTTTGGCAGCTGAGCGCCCTCTTCTCAAGGGTGCCGTTGTAGACGGAGCTTCCTTCGTGGCGTTACCTCTGGTCTTTTTGGCTATTCCCGCTGCATTCTCAGCTGCTTCAGATTTCACGGCTGGAGCCTTGCGCTTTCGGCTTGGAGTTTGCGCTGCCGAGTCGTTCCCTTCGGTGTTCTTCTCTTCCTCGGCCTTGACCGAAGAAGCCTTTGAGATTCGGGTACTCCTTTTGTTTCCATTAGTGGTTGTGGTCTCATCTGTTTCTTTAACAGTAGCTTTTCCACGGCCCTTGGATCGCGACTTCGTAGCAGATTCATCGTCGACATCCTCTTTGGCGTTTCCCCCTTTGTCGTTTGTGGCGGTAGGATGCGTCTTTTTCTGAACTGCTGGCACTATGGCGCTAGTCCTGCCTCCAACCGTGATAAAAGTTACGGGATCACCGTTTAGCATCTTTGACGGCTCTTTCTTGCCTTTGTTCCATCGATGATGCATCAGCCAATCTGCAGGAAAGCGAGCGGAATCACCAAGGAGATCGACCGATGTAGCGCACACATAATGAATTGCAGAGTTCAGCTCCCGAATCTGTGAATCGTCGAGGGTATTGCTCGTTTGCTCGGGATGAATTTGTGAGTGATAAAGGACCTCGTCACTGATATATTTGTTAGCCTTCATGCCATTTTCAATCACAAATTCGATAAGAAATTGAATTTATACACATACGCCATCCAGTTGCCCAGCCCACTCATTATAGACTGATCCAGGAGTAGGGCCTTGATAGGAACTTTCTTCTTAGACACTATGCTCTTGAGCCACGATTCCGTGACAATTCCCTTGTCTGTAACAGGATCGGGACCGTTCTCCTTGAGTGGCGTGTGAGACCTGATTTCTTCTCCAGGGCAGTCAACCAACCGAACACGGCCGAGCCTCCTAGCATCTACAAAGGCAGCTTCAGTCTTCTTGTCATCGTCCATCACCAGCCGGAATTTCCAGAACTTCGGTGGCCACGGTCCATCACCCTCTTCCTCCTTGGCGCGATAATGGCAGCCGTTTACGCCTTTGATATTGAGCCAACCGGTCATACCAAAATGCATGACCGGATGCGGGGGTTTAGACATGATCATCCAGAAGTATTTGCCTTGTTGCCCAGCTCCAATAATCTTGTTCCCTTGCATAGTCTTTTGGAATTCCTGGGCAGACGTGCCTACTTTGCCGAATATGAGATCGTCGTGGTTTGCCACGGCACTGGAGACCGTCTTTCCCACAAGTTCTTTCCGGATGAAATGAACAATCCGGGCAACTTCGGCTAGCTCAGGCATGATAAATATAAGCCAAGATCGCTAACCGTTTGACGTATTCGTGTCCTCTCGAAGCAGTAGCCTCAGTGGGGCTCCAAAGGCAGAAGATATTATTTAAGGGGAGAAAGTACAGGAACAATGCACTGAATCAACAAAGGAGAAACGGTTTAATGTTAAGTGTGTAGGCTGAGTTGAGGGCAATGAAGACCAGGCAGGACAGCGTGAGACAAAAATCAGGCAAAACCAAGCAAAAGTAAGCGAGACAACTATGCTGGATAAATGATAATCAATGAAAGTAAGTAAAATCAGAATGAGGCCGTGGAGCTGGACAGATGCCTTTGGCACAGCAGCATGAGCTCTCCACAATGTTCAGATTGATTGTGTAGTAGTTATAGTAGTGATTAAAACTCACAGAACCAAAAAAAATATCTCTAAAAACACCACAATCGTATAAGATTGAGCATTTAAAATGCAAACAAGAAAGGATTCCCCTATTTAAAGAAGGGTATGCGGGTGCAAAGGGAAAGACACGATGCCCTGATGTCTGGCGTTTCCTCAGCAGTTCGGTGATCTGGAGAGAAAAGGCTCGGCGCCAAGACTTGGGTGGTTGACTTAGTCAGCATAAAATACCAAGGTCGTATTTCCCCCTATGGCAAAACGATATGAAGGATACTTTCAAGGCAACGAACGAGAGTGCAGTGCTCAAGGGGGATAGGAACGGGAGGGGGGTAGTGCAGTTCCTCAAAAGATATCGCAACTTAATATCCAGGTGGGTGCTGGATGAGAAGCATTGAGTGTGGTGCCCGTAAGGTAAGCCTCTGCAACGTATTTCTCTTAGGTCTCATGCTCATCATTTGGTCCGCTACTCGGCATCAAGCCCGATACGATCCCCCAATATCATGCGAAGTACTCAAGGATCGAGGGCGCGCATCGTTTAAAAGGCCATGCCTTTGTTGGCTGCCTTCTTGCCAGGACAAGTAGCCAACCATTTCAATGTTATCGAAGGTCGCAGTCCTCCTCCGCGAAACCAATGGAACTTTCATAACTCAGAACTTGTTGATGGGCATTTGTGCTCCGAGAGGCTAGGTACATTTCTGCCAGACTCCCAGAGTAGGGCCGTAGGTTCTCACTTGATCGGGTGGAAGTGCCTTCCAGAAGCATTGGTTGTAATTCGACTCCCGGCCTGCAATAGATATGCGCTCTCGTAGCACCACGGACTGTTAAGCAGGCAGCGCATTTTTTTTTTGCGACATTAGCGAAGCAATCTCAGCACTGTTGACATGCGTGAAATGCGTGAAAATCGTTGGAGAACCTTTCCTGGCCCCCCGCTGCACTCTAGAAACGCATCCACATGTGTATATCACGTGACAGGGTCAACGCAAGTTTGGGAGCTGTTGGGTAGTTGATGATGAAGGGGATCTGGGTGGATTGAAAGGTCAAGAGCGGCTAGGGAATCTTTCTGCTGCATCGTGGTTTTCTGTCATCATCTTGCTTCGGTGTGGGTGGTCCTCACTTTGGAACCGCAGACGCGATCCATCCATGAGATGCGCTCCCACGTGATCGGGATGCTTTCTTCGAAGTTCCGTAGGATGACGAACGGGGCGGCGACCATGAAGTCTTCCGTTGCAGATATCCTAGATCATATTCTACATACTTTTTACCTATAGCCAAACGCAGGCATTGACCTAGATTTCAAAATTATTTCTACAATTGAAGCCTTCGGCCACAACCGTTCCGAAAACTGGATTTGTTTTGGGCAAAGCGATCGCAACCAGCCACTGAGCCGGTTCGTTCACAGAAAACGATGTCACGGCCATCGACAACGAGGCCAACACTGACACCTCAATTCTGCTTTAACCAGCGTGCGTTAAGAGGTGGGTGATTGTCCCCGAGGAACCTGTCGATGTACTGTACCACCCGCTTTCCAATGCGAGACCGCAGTTGGGCTAACGAGATTGCCTCAACGTACCTTTTTCAGACTTCCTCCGAATTTCACGATCAACAATTGACGACTCCATTACCCAAAACCTGAATGCTCTTGTAACACCGGCGCGCAAAGGGTTTGACCCGGCTTCCACTACCGCCCGACAGACGGATTTCGCCAACAAAACCCAGATCGACCCGGAGAACTGCGAGATATTCAAAAACAAAGTACTGTTTCCCTCTTGGCAAGTACGTTCAGACGTGTTGAATTATTGCGCCGGTGTTGCTACCAGCCCAGACCCCGAAGATCCCGACCTTGTGCTACGACAGGTTGAGTCAGCTAAAGATAGAGAAAGACTCGTGGATGAGCGGCTGGATCCGTATTCGGCGAGATTCTTCCCCAGAGAGGCGCGGACAGAGTCGTTGGCCATGCTAATACGAAATGAGCGAGGAGTGGAGACCATCATACGTTCTCGGACCTGGGGAATGGTTACTGAACGATGTGGCAATTCCTTTGAAGGGTGGGAAGATGCACTAAATCGATGGCGAGAACAACAGGATCAGGGCAAATGAGCCTAATCTAATAGGGTAATGCTGCTGGGGGCATGAGTATCTGCATGGGTCAATTTTGAGCGGTGAAATCATTGCAGATATGCCCCTCCTCCAGTGCACTTGGTCTCCTCTTCGTCCATCAAAATGATTTCTGCATGATGTGTTTCCTGCTGTGGAGTATGCGAGAATCCGCAGTTCATGCACTCCATTTTGTTACCCCCCAAGGCTTGCAGCTCTCCTATAACGGGAGCAGGAGCAGATCCCGAAATTCCCATGACTGTAAGATAAGAGCACTGTATATACTTTTTGTCTCCATCTCACTGAAAAGCATGCAATCAAGATATAAGTAATTGACTCTCTACAATCATGAACGGGTATATCTTAGGTCTACTCTGTATGTATGTGCTCTGTGCTCTGTACTCCGTAATCTTTTTTTAGTTTCTGCAGATTACCTAGCTGTGACGAGAGTGCGGATAAACTATTTTGCGACTCTAAGTGGGCAACCACCTGAAATCACCGCACGGCGCAGTGCAAGTTGAAAGAGAACCACCAGGAAATCCAAGGGTGCCAATCAGTGTCGGATTTTAGTAAACTGATAGTTGTGAAGTGTATTTTTTTGCCTGTCTATTGGCCCCATTACAACAGTTTCATATTTCCCCCCTTCATCAAGGTGCTGAAAGCCCTCTCCTCCGTTGTGCACCTCCGGCCAAAATTTCCCTCCACCACACCAGGCGACAGCCTCCAGCACAATGCCTCAGCCATTGAGTTCAAAAGATGGCTCATTATTCCGCCAGGTAGTGCGGCATTGTGAAAATAAACAATATAAGAAAGGTGCGATTCCCTGGTGAGGAGGAAAATACCAGACATGATCCGGACAGAGCCATTACTAACAACGCCGAGCAGGGCTCAAGACTGCCGAACAGATCCTCCGCAAGAACCCCAACCATGGAGACACACAAGCAATGAAAGCGCTGATGATCAGCTATCAAGGCCAACAAGAAGAAGCATTTGCCTTGGCCAAAACAGCTCTAAAGAACGACATGAAGTCCCATATCTGTTGGCATGTCTACGGCCTGCTCTATCGCGCCGAGAAAAACTACGATGAAGCGATTAAAGCGTACCGATATGCCCTGAAACTCGAGCCGGAGTCCCAGCCGATCCAGAGAGATTTGGCATTTCTTCAAACGCAAATTAGAGACTTTCAGGGATATATACAAAGCCGGACAGCAATGCTGCAGCAGAAGCCCGGCTTTCGTCAGAACTGGACTGCGCTCGCAATCGCGTACCATCTTTCAGGCAATTTAAGCGAGGCAGAAAATGTTTTGACAACTTATGAGGAGACTCTGAAGACCCCACCACCGAGAACTGATATGGAACACTCAGAAGCTATACTGTATAAGAACTCCATAATCGCGGAATCCGGAAATATTCAAAAGGCCCTTGAACACCTCGATGCAGTCGGTAATCAATGCTTTGACGTGTTAGCCGTTATGGAGATGCGGGCGGATTACCTTTTAAAGCTGGGCAGAAACGACGAGGCTGTGGCTGCATATGAGGCATTGTTGGAACGGAACCCTGAAGATTCGCACTATTATGATGCTTTACTGAAAGCAAAGGCGATTGATGAGAAGGATCACGCATCTTTAAAAGCCGTTTATGATTACTGGGTGGAGAAATATCCGCGAAGTGACGCACCACGTCGCATACCGCTGGAATTTCTTGAAGGGGATGATTTTCGCCAAGCTGGAGACGTGTACCTTCAACGCATGTTGAGAAAAGCTATACCTTCGACTTTTGCTAACATTAAGTCCTTATACACCAATTCATGGAAACGCGAGACCGTCCAGGAGCTTGTGGAGGGATATGCAGCGGGAAATTTCAGCAGTCAAGTTAATGGCTCTACAGAGCAGAACAATGGGGATAACTCTACCTTTGAATGTTCGGTATATTATTTCCTCGCCCAGCACTACAATTACCACCTTAGTCGTGATCTAGAAAAAGCCATGGCGTATATTGACAGAGCCATCAAACTATCTCCAACCTCCGTTGACTATCACATGACCAAGGCGAGAATATGGAAGCACTATGGCAACCTTCCAAAAGCTTCAGAGGTTATGGATATGGCACGGTCGCTAGATGAAAAGGATCGGTACATCAACAGCAAGGCAGCCAAGTACCAACTTCGAAACGATGAAAATGAGAAGGCAATCGATACTATGAGCAAATTTACACGCAACGAAACTGCTGGTCCACTTGGTGACCTTCTTGAGATGCAGTGCGTTTGGTATTTGACTGAGGATGCTGAGTCATACCTACGCCAGAGGAAGATAGGACTTGCACTGAAAAGATTCCATTCCGTTTACAATATTTTCGACATTTGGCAAGAAGATCAATTTGACTTCCATGGGTTTTCTTTACGAAAAGGTATGATCAGAGCGTATGTTGATATGGTTCGATGGGAGGACCAATTACGATCACACCCATATTACACGCGCGCAGCCCTCGGCGCCATAAAGGCTTACATTTTGTTGCATGATGAACCGGACCTTGCGCATGGACCGATTCCAGTGGGGACAAACGGTCTTGATGGACATGCAGACAGTTCAGAGAGGAAAAAGGCTCTAAAGAAAGCCAAGAAGGAACAGCAAAAGCTGGAAAAGGTCGAGGCTGAAAAGACGAAGGCCAGGAAGGCCGCCACGACAGGCGGCGGTGGAGATGCCAGGAAGGATGACACGGATCCACTGGGCCTCAATCTTGCACGCACATCCGATCCAATGAAGGATGCATTGAAGTTTTTAGGCCCATTGTTGGAGATGTCGCCCAAAAATATCGAAGTGCAAACCGCGGGATATGAAGTTTACATTCGAAGAAGTATGCATCCGAGCCTCGTCATTGTCATTTGAATACGACTAACTTGGATCCTTGCAGAGAAATACCTCCTGGCTCTCAAATGTCTGCTTGCTGCCCACGCCATTAATCCCTCCGATCCTACATTGCACGTCCAGCTTGCTCGATTCCGCAAGACTCTCAACGAGCTCTCAGAGCCTCTCCCGGCCGAAGTTCAAGAAATCGTGACATCAGAGTTCGAGACTCTCCTCCCGAAGTCCCAGGATCTTGCAGCATGGAACGATAGCTACCTCACCGAAAACAGCTCCAGCGTCCCCCACATACATGCCGCGCTCACTGTCAGACGGATCATAGCCCCAGAGCAAAAGGCCCAGACGGAAAAGGACTTAGCATCCTCGATTGACCTAGAAACTGCATCCATAGAATCAGCACTGGCCGGTCTCCATCTCCTGGATGACTGGCGCAGCGGGCCCGAGGCGAAGACTTCGTACATAGGACAGGCAAACACCAGATGGAAAGAAGCTTCAGTCTTCCAGCATCAATAGGAGCGTTGATTGTAGACTACCTTTTTGCTTTTCAAATAGCGTTTCTGAAGCCCCATTAGCAGGCTCTTTGCAAAACAACTTAAGAAAAATGAAAATCAAGATTCAAGTGCCCTTTGTCCCAGTTCATGCTTCCTTTACTTCCGCTTCTCATCTTTCCGTCCCATCGCATGGTGCTGACATAAGAAACCCATATGTTGGCCCGGCAACCAAAAGCCCGCCAGCAGATGACAACATGCCAAGCCGCCGTGAAATGAGCGTTGAATAGGAGAGCCCCGTGTGAAAAAAGGCCCTTCACGCGGTCGACGCATCCATACCACAACATTCTCTCAGTCATAAAATAGCTGGTTATCCATTCGTCTTGGATGATATAGTTAGTTTATATTCTATCTGTGAATTGCATCCCCCAACGCCTGCTTTTCACTCTCACTTTTCTCCTTAATTCTTTTTTCACATATGGTGAGCACACCTGTTCTGCAGTGCTTGAGACAATATCTTGCGACTTCCGGCTGCCAGCAAGATGGCGCGTATTTCCATGGACCCTCGAAAATGGTACGTGTCTTCCATTTTCTTGTCCCCTACTCTTAGAGCAAGATCGCTTCACTCACTTGTAGCGGCGCCGCGCGGCTACTTCCTCCCATCCTGGAGTCCCCTCATACTTTTGACCATCTAAAAGACCAAAGTCAGCTAACTACTGCTAAAACCCCGGCGCAAACTCATGCGCTTTGGGTCATTTCCATTTTTATAGCCAGCCCTCCAGGTTTACAATCGACGACGTTGAGAAAACTACGTGCACTGGTCAATTCCGCTTTACGCCCAGGCCTATGATTAAGAAGCCAGCTCGACTCTGGGATCGCAAGCCAGCGACTCCGGTCTGCCCTCGTTCTAAGTCTCATAAGATTTGGAAAAGACTCCAACCTTCGATGGGTATTTCTCGATCAGGGGCGAAATCGAGAGATACGGGTGCGGGGGCAATGGATATCGATGAGAATGAACTATTTGAAGAGATTAATCCGGTCAGCAGCTCCGGTAATCGACGTGCTGTGAAGAAGCTGTGTACTGGTAAAGGTGTTAAATCTGACGAGACCGAGTGGGGGGCCTCGTTTGTGGAAACACGATCGGAGACGAATATTTTCACGCCGCGGCGCAAATACGTCATGAAAGAGGGGACAACTAAAGACCACAAGATGGCGAGTGTTGATATTGTTGAGGACGGCGGTGAAGAGAGCTGCGAAGCAGAAGATACGCCCGGGAAATCTACAGAGTCACAGTGTGACATACACAGCCAGCAATTGGCAACAGCAACCGAAGAGACGAATATTTCGGAGAAATCTAATGAACTACGCGTGGACAACGTTTCAACTCCAGCTAAAAAACCCTCAATGATTGCATCGCTCCTGAGACAACCACTTCTTGAAGAAGACGATGTTGAACTGCTTTCCAATTTCCTATCGGAAGCTGAAGCGAAGCGAACGACAAACAATGCATTGGCGGCAAGAAAAGCAGCCGAGAAAAGGGCATCTATAAAACTATCTCGATCTCCATGCAAGCTCAAGGCCCGTCGAGCCCTCGAACACCTTGATAAGAACTCCCCAACTTCGATGATACGGGACAGATCGCCTTCCAAGCTCTTACAGGCGCCCGCATCTCCTCTACCTGAAACGGGTAAAGAAAATGGGCTCGAAGCCGGAACCAGCAAGGATGAAGAAGAGTCAGCTCCTTCTCCGTCTCCTAGGAAGCGGGGAAGGTCACTGAAGAGACGACTTGTTCCCCGAGTTCCAGATCAAATCCCGCTCCGCCGCTCAAAGGGCACGGAATTCATCTTCTCACAGAAAACTGACACACAAAAACTCGCTCTCACGACCAAGTCGAATACCAAGCAGAATAAGGCCGGTGCAAAACTGCCTCATCTCGTCATGAAGACCGTGAACGAGACGTATTTGAAAATGATGGATGCATCTCCCCTCTCACCGAAATCGGGAACGAAGACTGTCACTTGGGATGATGCAAAGCTTGTCACTTTTGCCGAAGAAATATCGACTCCAACTTTTGATACTCCCAAAAAGATATCATCGGGAAGGAGAAGCCGGCGTTTAGCATCGCGTCCGCCACGGCCCGCCACGCCACTACGTTCCTTTGTATCTCTATAGTCGGTAGGACAGGGTTACAGCGAATCAGAAACGTCTTCAATGTTGTTTGACTGCCGTGAGAAGGGGCTGAGGGTGTTTGCGTGTGGATTTCCTTGGTGGATGGCTCTGCTTTAAGCCACAAGTCCTATGAAGAGATAATTCCCAATTGATCTGACCTGCCAGGAGAACGGCATAATAATCACATGGTAAATCTCAACCCAGCTGGCCAGCATCAAAATCCAGAATATCCTTCATAGAGTGAGACTCGATTGGCTCTCAAGCTTCAATGGTTCAGCCATGGGTAGGGTTTGGGCGTTAGGTGTCGCGGTGTGCATGATTCTGGTGATTGTCGGGAATGGGCTGCTAGTGGCTTCTCTCTTAATATTAGATTATACCCAGGTTAGATGTGATTCATGACAATTGAGGATTATTCGCAGATATTCTGGTTATTAACTGATCCGAATGTTTGTGTGTGGCTTTCATCGTGAACTCTTCTCCGGTTGCCATGAGAAAATGACGAAGATGGTGCGGTACCTAACTCGATCCACGATTGTAGTGGCAGCATTGCGGTTTGATTCCATAGGAAGTTTTGAGGCCAGAATATCCTCGGCGAGGGGAACGTGACAAGCCTTAGTGAATCCAAATGGCTCTGGCCTCGGTCGGCTGTGGACGCCTCGAAAGTGAGTCTCGAAGCTTTTTGTGACACCCACACCATCAACTATGTGTAATTACATCTTAAGAGTGCCTCGATCATCCTTCCGATCCCCGCATCTTTGTGTCTCAAAAATGCATCCACATGATGGCTGCCAGACTCGCTCTGATCATCTCGCACCCCTAGCGGCACAGGTACGTATGTAGGACGGGGATAGTCCAAAGCGTCCCTTTCTCCTCGGATCTGCTGCACTGCCCACCCAGATCAGACCCATGCGACTACTCGCGTAGCGATCCGTGAAAATCTTTCCTGAGGAGTACGACGGTCATGTTACTCTCGATCCCTGTAGGATGTCGAAATTTGGGGCTTGATGGCCTGGGGTTATCTGGAGAAATCTGGGGCTAGCTATTTGCGTCTTGTTTAACGCTACTGCTCGGTCTTGATTGGCAGCATATATTTTATCCCCGGTCGCCCGCCCCTCTGCATGACAACTCTCTTGCAGCCAGAGCGGCAATATCGTGCGTGCCTATCTGGATCCGGGCTTGCTATGGGTCGTACAGAGGACCGCACGCGGCCACAGCAATAGCTCATCTTTCTCCCGATCAGTGCTATTACTGATAACTGTCGACCAAAGGGAAAAAAAGATGGGTCGCCGGACTCATGATGGGAGAGACCGAATGATATATATTTTGATCGGCATCCTCATCTTTGGATTTTTGCTTCTGGGCCTACTGTATGGGTCCCGCCATTTTAATATTATTATTTCAAACCTTTTTCTTAAAACCTCCTGTCGGGTGACTAATGGCTTAAATTCGGTTTGTAGGTTTTTCTACATGATTCTCAAATATCGACAGAGGAACCACGAACGTCGACGTCAAGAACTACAGCAGCAGAGGCCTGGTGACCATGCAATTCGGGGCGGCGAGGGGGCCACGGCCTTGACGCCTCTGCCCCAAGCAGCAACGCCCGGACAACCAACATGGCATGCGAAAGTTATAAAACTGGAAGAACTGAATGATCTGTTTCCCGTAATTGAGTATGGGATGACAAAGCACTGCGGTATTGTACAGCCAAAGACTGCAGATAGTGCACGCCCGGCTGCTGGTGATTCTAGTGAAGCCGATAAGACGACCATCGCCAAGGATCAACCAGATCGAGCACGTAATGGCGTTTCGAATACGAATACAGATTCTGGGTTGTCTGAGGTATGAGTGGGATTTCCGATTCGCGAATCTATTGCGCCGATGGTGCCCCGCTGATGTCATTTTAACAGCACCTGGTTGAGAGCCAAAGACAAGACGTCGCCAACCCAAATGACTACTGTGCGATCTGCTTGGATGCCCTTCAGGAAGACAGCATGGTCAGACGCTTGACCTGCAACCATATGTTCCACTCGACATGCATCGACCCTTGGCTCACTGGACGTACTGCGCAATGTCCAGTTTGCAAGACCGAGATGATTTGACGTTTTCGATGAGATCGTCTTGTGTGTTGTTGTTTCATCGTGTCCAAATCAATCCAGCCGAGATCTGCATGTGCTGTCTGGCAAAAACCCATCTAGCTGCTATCTTACCGTTCATCATGTGCCACCCGAGCAAGAACGAGAAGCCCTTGTCATTCCACAGCGTTGGATCTAACAACCTCGGCTATAGATTTTGACTGACAGCTTTGTTTTCGACTTTGCTGATAAGGCCGTCAAAAATGGAGCCGGACTGTATTCTAGATTGAGAGTGATGATGATGGCGATGTCCTATGGATTGGGTGGAGCCCGGAGTTCCTCATTCCTCACGTTTCAGTACCGATCGCCTGTCTAGCTTTTGACTACTTGGCATTTGCCATTTGAGGGTCATCCACCACGCTTAGCAGCGCACCGATGGGTTCATTTCCCTCTACCTCGGAGCCAAGATTCATTGCAGTACTGATGCCGGTGCCGCGCAAAGCTCCTGACAAAGTTTGCGAGATTGTGCAAAATTCATAGATGCCACCATGACGACCATGAGCTGACGCACCGGGCACCGGAGCTATAGTGATGCCAGGGGGGAGGAACCTGCGACACGGATAGAGGGCGAACAGGGTGTCGATATTGGCCAACAGTAATTGGTCATCGAACGCAACACATTAGGTAGTGCCCAGGCATTTGGAAATGAAAAGTGTGGAGTTCCGTCGCGTTACGCCCACAAAACAGACGTATGACTGAAACCCCTTGAATGAAGACTATCAACGAACACCCATTTCCGACAACCTTTGGGGCCCCTCTTACACTTCGAAGCAGAGACAATGTCGCATGTTCGCACGCATACCCAACGACTAGCAACTTGGTCGAACTTTGAAACGTGTAGAGGGCCTTTCACGAGCGAAAGATTATTCACGAGCCAGCCATTCGTAACATGGCCATTGAATTTCGAATTCTAATGATTCGGGCGTACTGTTGATTGTTCTTTCTTCTCCACGTTCTCCCTTTTTTTTTTTTTTTTTTTTTTTTGGGCAAATGCACGCAGTCTCGAGCACAAAATGGCGGAAAAAAGGGAAAAAAAAAAAAAAAAAGGCTTCCGTGCTCTGTCATGGAAAATGGACGACTCGACCACTGCATGTGGATCATGGATTATCAGCATCGGCGCACCTTGTGCGGGAGAAGCTACCTACATATCTAATGAGCATTCAGCGTTGAATTTCCTCTTCCGTCGCTCCATCGGTTTGCAAGCTGATAGAACCCTCTCCTAAGCCCGTTTTAGATTAGCGCCCTTTCTTAGTTCCTCATCACTCCACAGCCAATCAGAGCTCTTGGGTCACGCGGCCCGTTCCGGTGGCACGCTGCGAATCACACACTCTATCTCTTCCCGGGAGTCGCCTTCGTCCACGCTTCCAAAGGCTATGTATGAGCCCAACTCCAAATGGTATACTCCGTATGTCAAATGGCACCTCTGTCTCTCATTGTGGACCACTCTCCCCTCTTCCCCGCTCACTGGTCCCTTTTTGTCGCGCACCCATCGTGTCCCGAGATTGGCAAGAGAGTCCACGTCGAAGGCAGCGTCTACGCGGGCTTCACGCACGCCGTGCAGCGGAGATACAAGCTTGGCTCGGTGGGGAAGAATTTCAGTTTGCTTGAGCTCGGTGAATTAACGGGTGGGAAGGGAGGGGAGGAGGAGGAGGAGGAGGCCCTGGTGAAACACATTCATGCGAATGCGGATGTGGATGCGGACGCGGCCGAGTATGGAGAAGAGGTGAAGCCAATCGATCGACTAGAGAAGGTAGCTATCGGTATTGTGGCGCCGGGCGGGAGCTTGAATCATGTCAATGAAGATGGGACGCAGGTATGGGCCAACATCCTGGAAATCAACGTTGACTTGGTGTATTCTAACACGCATGTCTGTTGTTCGATTGATTTCCTCTAGGCGCCGGCCAGACGCGGTCAGATGAAAAACTGCCAAGACTGGATCATTGATGTCGTCGCGGAACTGGTGCGGAGAGATTTACTCCCCGCGCCCGCCAATGAAGTAGTACAGAATGCTCCAAAGAATTGATACCAACGATATTTGTTAAAGGCATTGAGCCGAAAAGTGACATGGGTTCGAATCGTACATACAAATGGTAGTGGAGTCTGCTTTCTTCACGCGCATCCTCAGGGCGCTCACAGTGGCTGCGCTTGCGTGTAGTTCAGCAAGGCTTGGGTCGTCTCACGCTCGAACTATCAAAGAACAAAGAATATTTTCTCAGGTATCGAATAGGCAAATAAGAAACATATCAGAACGACGAAAGACGAATTCCCTCTGGGCCAGAAGCGATCTCTGTCGAGGTATACTGTATATGCGCATGGAACACATGCCAAGGACAAGACATTTCAAATTCCAAATTATCATAGCTGGCGTGGGAGTGTATTAGATAGCAACGTTAATGCACTTTGCTTGTGAGCTCCCGGAGTCGTCTTGCATCTTTGGCATGAGTATCATGTCAATTTGTTTCGGAGCCCCGACGGACACTCCTAGACTTAACAATCCGTGCTTGAAGGGATGATACATATGTATATATATATATATCCCGTATTCTGCACTCCGTACTCCGTATGTGCGGGTGGAATTCAGTCAACCCCTTGTCCACTCGATTGAGCCGAGCTGAGTTAGCCCCTGAGCACCGAGGAGGTATTGCATGTTGACGATCAGGGGCGGAAAGCGGCGGGCGGCGGTCGTGAAAATGTATCACATGACCCCCTCCCATGTTACGGGTGAGAGGCACGAAGAACGTTTGTATTCCGTCGCTCGGTGTTTGGCTGGCGTGTGGATTTGGACCCTGGTCACACACACAGAGAGCAAGATTCCAGGGCGTGTCACCGGCATTTCCCCACAAAATGCAGGGATAGGAGCTAGGGGTTCTTTTTTGTTTTTTTGGGTTCGAACCCCAAAGATATGGGGAGTTTAAATCCTACTATGTACATATGCTCCGTCTTGGGGAGGGTATTTTTTTTATCAAAGCCCCAGATCTCGGGGTAACCTGCCAGTTCAACAAGCCTTTAAAAAAGCTCTCGCAGCTTGACCGCGCGACGGACGAACTCAAGTCCAGCCAAGACAGAACGCCGAGAGAGCTCTTCCACCGGTTTCCTGCATGTCGAGATGAATACGGAGTATGGATTACGGATAGTCCCTCTTCCATGGAGCACAGTGCACAGGGGGAGAGAGGAGAGACGCTTTCTTCTGTCTGGCCAAGGGAAGGGCGCAAAAGCCGAAGCGCGGCGGTTGAAGGCCGAAGAAAGTCCTAGCGCGCTGGTTGGTCACGGGGAAGCAGTCTGGAACCCCGCGGAACTCGTAGAAGCGCGCAGCAGGTGGGTCCGGGAGTGGGGAGCGCAACGCTAGGAAAACACAACTGTGCTTGTCCTATTTCGGAACTACTCTGGGGTAACCCGTCCCAAGAAAAGGGAGAGCGATGGGAGGCTCCTTTTTGGGTAAGTTGTGGGTTGAGAGGCGGAAAAGGGCGGAGCTGGAGGAGAAGGAATGATGTGGTCAAGTACGGAGTACCTAAAATAGTCGGCCGGCATTGTTGGGAAAAGCACCTGTTGCTGTTTTGAAGGCAATCGGCAAGCTTGTTTTCCGCCCTCGATTCGGCAGCTGCTGCTATGCTGTCATCGCGCTCTTGCTGAGTTTCGTGACATAATGAAAACCCGAATTGGGGAATTAGGGTTTGGGAGCTCGCCGGTAGCTGCATCCTGATTGGCTGTAGCTTATGTAACGTTATAACAGCGTGTGCCAAGACCGCGCCTTGAATGCACACATGATGCAACATCCCCACCGCCCACGCCTGGCAGAAAATTTTTGGGCCACCCAAAAAAAAAAAAAATACAAAAAAAGAAAAGAAAAGAAAAGGAAGAAAGAAAAAAGAGAAGAGAGTCTCCAAAAAGCAAAGAAAAAGAAAAAGGGACAAGAGGGGGCAGAATACGCGCAATTACACCGTACAGCGGCCATCTGTGTTGCTCTACGGAGTTATAGTCACCCAATCTATCAAAAGAAATGAAGACTGAAGGGGGAGGGGGGTAAAAGGAGAGACACAAAGTCACTTTGTTTGGCAGCGGAGTAGTTGTCTTCGCCGCCGGCCGGTGTGCGTGATGCACATTGCTGCTCCATGGCATGACGATGGCAATTGCTGATCATCCCATACATAATGCCATAGCAAAACACCATACGGAGTACGGAGTACGGAGTACATAATTCCATAGCAAAACATGGAGAAACTTTGAATTTCACAGCTTTTACGGAGTGGCCACAAATGTATGTATAATGCACGTACGGAGTACCGAGTATGGAGTGCAAAGTTCGGAGTACGGTAAATGATCATCTGTACGTACGGAGTGGGAAGAAAAAGAAGCGAACTGCAGCTCAACGACCCTGCCAACCACCCTGTCCGGAGTACCTTGTTTGCCAGTGCTTGTTTTTTTTTCCTTTTTTTTTTTCTATTTTCTTTTTTGGGGCGCCACCGGGGGGAACACGCAGTGGGTTTCAAGGAACAGCTGAGCATAAGAACCTGTCGCCGAGCCTGGGGCGTGACTAAACTCTCCCCCGGCGCTTTCTGCTCGTTCCACCGCCAAACAAATCTTCCTCCGCGCCTCATCTCACTCTCTCCTCTCGAGCAAAACGTGGCCTTTCTTTTCTTTTCTTTTCTTTTCCTCAACCTCTGCCGTGGAGCCGTCTTCCCTGGATACTTCGCTACACGGGGTTACCGGTCCATAATCGCTTTCGTCGCAAAAGTTGCATATAGGAAGCTCCGGATCCGTCAAAAGCTGCTGGTGGGCAAAAAAAGGCAAAATAGCGAGGTGTGTACCCAGTTTTAATTTTGCTGATGCTCGCCATCCTATCTCTCCGTTGCACCGTGCTCTTCCGGGCGAGTCTGCTGGCATGATGATTCCCGTAGCTGCAAACAGGTCGAGGCATGTCGCAACGCGCAGTTGGGCTGCAGAGAGGCGACTTGGCCCTCTGCGTATCCCTACCCGCCCATCCATCCCGCTTCCGCTCGTGTCTCCTCCCCCTGTCTTGTCCAATCCGCTTGCATCTTCTTGGAATGAGTGATTGTGTGCTGTTTGCTGTCGGTTATAATTAACTGAGGATCTTCATCGGCCCTTTATATATGTATTAATACTAGCGTGTCAGGCCACCACCACCACCACCCACCATGGATCCTCCGCCGCATGCAACCGATGTTTGCCCACTCCACTCGCCTCGCCCCGACCGCATGGATATCGACTCTCACAAATCAGACCTCCCCCCCCGACGCACCTCATCAGGATCAAACTCCAACTCTCGATCGAGCAGCTCTCGCCGTGAATCGCTCGGCTCCATCGAAGAAGAAAGCACAGGTCGGTACCCGACATTTTCCCCTACCTATATCTCCCTTTCTCCACCTAATCATCTCCGGGACATGCCGCTGAAGCTTTTTTTTTTCGTTTTTTTTCTTCCTGCGTAGGAATCGCTCAATCGTTCGTCGACAAGGAAAGCGCCCCAACTGGCGACCACTCCGGCTCCGCCAAAACGGCTCTCAACGTCCAAAGCCCGACACAGACCCCAGATTTCTGCTGCCCATGCGGTGGATTTCTGGGGTGGAAGCAGATCCGCCTTGGAGGCCGGAGGGCAAGTCGGAGCTACAGCGACCTCCGCATCTTAGGTGGCGTCCATCGCTCGAGGGGCTGGGCGTGGGAGGAGACTCCGGAAGAGCCCGCGCCGGCCGTCAAGGAAAAAGAACAGCCTCCCAAGGAATGGCAGCGTGCCCCGATTGAGAACCTTCCCGCTGAGATCCTCGGTATGCACTGTCTATCCACGCAGCAGGGACTCTTTTTTTTGATGCTGATGAAAACGCCAGACCAGATAATCTCCAATTTGGCTTTGGATATCCCACCCAATGGATACACGCCGCGGAATGTCGACTTGATATCATGTCTTTTGACTTCCCGTACGCTGCACTCTGCTACCCTCGGTGTCTTATATAGACACATCACCATTCCCCATTCAATTATCTTCTCCAAAGCATTAAACCACATTAAACAGTACCCATCCCTTGGCACCATTGTTCGACGGCTCGACTTCTCCCATTTCTCTTCCGTTGGACTGGGTCGAACCCAGCAGATGAATGTCGAGATCCAAAACCTTACCTGGAGGACGTTGCTGGAATGCTTGAACCTGCTTCCCAATTTGAAAGAATTGCTTCTGCAAGAACATGTTGAAGATGACGTGAACGGCGATGTCACACGCAAAATCCTTTCCGACATTCCCACCCTGCGAGCAGTTGACTTCTGTGGCTGCTCGTCACCCACCTTCTCCTCCGGTTTCGTCGGTGCAGTGACGCAAGATCCAAATTTCCCTGCCCAACTCCGTACGCTTCGGAGAGTGTCCCTTCATGAATGCACCAGCCTTCCAGACGAAGCTTTCCAGGCCCTCTTGCCGCGATTGATCAATTTAACCCATCTTGACGTTGCGCACACGCAAATAACCAACAAGACGCTGTTTATGATTCCCCAGAGCGCCCAAATCACGCATCTGAACCTGTCACGATGCACGCGGCTGACGGGACCTGAGGTTGTTGAATTCTTGACCACCCATCCTGCCGTCACTGACACGCTTGTGTATCTGAACCTGATGTCAGATGCTTCGAGACACAGAATTCTCGAAGAAGAGGACGTCGAGACCCTTCTGCCACATCTCACTCCCACGCTACGGTCCCTCAACCTTGGTGGCGCCAGAATCACCTCTGCGCAGATGCCAATGCTTCTCAAACTTTCCAAGCATGTAGAGGAACTAGGTCTCAATTCGGCTAACATCACCATCGACGATATCAATTCGTTCTTCAGGCCTTTCCCTCTCTCTAACGAGCACCAGATGGATGTCGAATGGGTTTGCCCAGCCCTGCGCTATCTCGACCTTACCAAGAATCCACACCTGACGCAAGCGACGCTTCTCAATCCTAAATCATGCCTCCTTGTGACTCCGCAAAGCTATCCGCTGCACGTCATCGAATTGACCGAGCGGATCATCACTCCTCTGCGTCAGCGTAGTCCACGCAATGGCTGGGTGGTGAGAGACCTGGGAAGACGAGGGTGGTACGTTCGCGAGCCGCCGACAAACCCGAACGAAATGAAGATGATGCCACGAGACGACGGTCGACGGTCGTGGAAGATGGGGGCGCGCTGGTGGGGGATGAGGAAGATCCCGGTCTGTGTCGGTGATGTTGGTGGGATATACGGCCATTACATGTTCAAGAAGTGATCTTTTCCACCGTCAAACTGGATCTTTCTTCTTTTCTCCTTTTTTTGTTGAAGGGGTGTGTTAAATGCTCTAGGCTCCTCTGATTCCATCTGGAATTTTTATTCCCAGCTAGTGTCCGTCGGCCACTTTTTCCCCTAGTTATTATCTATCGATCTGGCAGTTCGGGCAGGTCTGGGAGTATTATTGCAACAGTCCACTCCGGTATGGTTGGGTTCTTTTTCTCCTTCTCCCAATATAACTATGTATGTATTTAATTTTCCTTTTTCTTTTCCTTTCCCTTTTTTTTTTTTTTTTTCCCCCTGTCGCACGTTCTAGCCAGCACTGTTACTGTTAAAATGTTTCAAATGGCGGAAAAGTCGCGAGTTTTTATTTATCTTTACTTTGATTGATACCAGGTTTTATGCAAGTATGGATTGACCGCAGGCAACAAGCATCATATTCCCTGTCTTTATTTCAACGGGTTTTCTTTTTTTCTTCTTTTATTTTTTATTTTTTATTTTCTTTTTTTTTTCTTGTGTTTGTATGTTTTATAAGTATCCATTGAATTTCTGATTGGCTGGTCCAGGGACTAGGGTTGATGTACGGAGTACAATAATTCATATCCAGATATTATTCTTGTTTTTTTGCAGAGGTGATAAGAGCATCGTTTCTGGACTGACTCTGCAGGTGTTCTAGTGCGTGGAACAGCCCCGACAGGCTTGAATAGCTGAACAGAGAATGCTCCCAAGCACCATGAGCAATGTTAAACAACTACTTTCACAGGGTCTTTTTCTTCTTTCTTTTCTTTTTTTTTTTGGGTAAATGACAAGCACGACAGTACTCCGTATGCTATGTGCGTATTAACTGTCAAACGACCCGAGTGCTACCTAAGCCACGTAAAACTTCCTGCGCCGAGGACGCCATTTTTGAGCCTCAAAAGTCGCGTAAAAAAGGAGAACAAAAGGATTATTATTAGAGTTTCGGTTTGGGGTCATGACTTCATCTCCATGTCTCGTTCATCAAACGGGTCTCCAAATGCATCTGTGAGAAAGGGAAGTTGCACGCCCGGCCGGTTGTTGTTTAGCAATTTTGATATTAAATTGAATAATTGAGGGAGGGGTGGGGAGAGAAAAGATGGTGGTGATGAAGGCGGAGGATGTATGTGATTTTGGGAAACATTTTCACGAACCTAGATTGAAATCTTTATCGAGCACATTCTCCCACTCCCGTCGATAGTCCTCTTGCGCTTGCTGGGTGTTCCATAACGCTCCTGGTGGGCCGTTGCGGATTAGCTCCTCCTCGGCAGCGGTCGATGTTGTGGACGTTGTGGTCGCCGTCGTCGTTGGCCCCGTTGCTGCGGCTGCGGACATTGTTGATGATGACATCCCCGGAGCTTGGGTGGAAGCAGCTCCGCTCGCGCCGGCGCTGGGGGTCGCGAGAACATCTTCTGTTGAGCTCATTCCGGCTATGGGTGGTAGTTTAGATTGGGAGGCGGGTGGGGAGAGGCTGGCTGGAGCATACGTTGCTGCGGCGCTGTGTGTGTTTCTGGGTGTTTGTGGGATGGTGGGTTGGTTGTTGGATGTCGTGGAGGAGGGAGAGGAAGAAGAGACCATCTCCGAGTCGCCGTCGCGGTCTGGGAGTTTGTTTGTTTAGTTAAGTTCGCGTCAAGTACGGACGAAAACAGAGTGGGTGGGAGCGGGCGCAGGGCGGGGCGGGGAGGAATTGCTTTACCCATTGCGAGTCCCGTTGCTGTGTGGGGTCCGGGGATTGCCGTTCGACTGCAGAGAAATATTCTTTCGGCTATATATAGATAGATAGATAGATAGAAAGGTATTCTGCGACGATAAGTATTAAACAGCCTGCTGTCCTGACAAGTCCGAAGCCTTGATCGCGGTGGTCCTGCGCGTTGCTCCGTCCAAAGCTGCCGTTCAAGTTGCTCTCCGCAGATCGACTCTCGGTCTTATCTTATCAATCAGTCATGTGACACAGCCTCTCGAAACGATCTCTTCCAAGTAACGAATCCTATTTTTGATCTTTGGCGGCGTCTCGACGTCACAGGTCTGGGTAATTTTGTGCTTGTATCTGGGTGTCAGAAAATGAGTCGCTGGTCAAGCTGTGGTATTATCCAGGGAGTGTTTTCCACTCTTTTGGCTCAGTGATTAGTACTCTGGTGTGTCAACAAGTGCCTGAAGTCCTTAAAGTGGCTAGTTACAAAGAGCGATTTTGAATTGTTCCCCTCTGGTGACTTGAGAGGTGCTTGATTATGCGCACCAGCCAAAAAGCCCAACGCAGCAAATTCGGGACACAATAAATCTGACATACAGTCTATAATAAAAAGTGTTCTTTAGGGATACAGACTTGAAGGTATGGACATTGATCTCTTTAAATCTGTACAAATACTCAAACCATCTCCTGTCTTCTGTTAAATGGGACTATGCCGCCTGGGACTGCAAACAAGTCTGAGTTGGACCGAGTAACTAACAGAGGAAGCAAATTCCACTCACAGGTTTTGCTGCTCTGACACTAGGATATTTTTAGCTAGTATATCATACTTCCGTCCCGAGTATTCCGCATACAAGTCTTCATTTACTGTCTCCTCATGTGAGATTGGGATTGATTTAAATACAGCAAATTTCATCCCAATCATTCTGCAAGCAGCCGCTTCATAACCTTTAATTAATAAAGGCAAAGACTTGTTACCAAAGTGCCATCACAAATTTTCACATCCTATATGTCAGTAGGTGTATGAAGAGAGATGGGGTATGAGAGACAGAGAATGTCAAGTATCTCAGTCTTTAATTCAAGCATACATAAAAAGTACCATCGACCTCATTCTCTTGATCATAATAATATCTATAGGATACCTCTCTATCTACGGAGTACAAAGTACCGGATTCCAAGTCTGAATGAATCATATGGAAGTACTTTGTACTCTGTATAAGGGGGCCTAGACCAGTAAGCTGGAAATGGTGGAGGCAATGAGCAAATCTTAATCTTAACCGTGATTTTTATACCGTACTTCGGAAGAAAAAGTAATTTTGATGTAGTTTGTTCTGGGATTGTGCTCTCTCCGGAGATACTCAGACAACACCTCTTTCTCTCGGTACCCAAGTTCCCGGCCGCAATCAGGAGCCCCAATTAAACCAGTGAACTAGTTAAGCCTTACGTTGATCCTCGCTTTTCCCGCTCACTCTCCGCACCATCATTCTTCACCGCCGAAGGGACCTGAGACACAGATACATGTGCGACATCATCGTTATCAATCAAGTAGACAAGCAGTTGATCAAGCAGTATATCCACTATTGTCTCTTGTTCCTGCCCTTTGTCAATTCACATCATTCGCTTATTTCTTAACAACTCTAGCCGAAGTGGGTGCTTTGATCAATCCTCTCAGCCATGAACAATCCAAAGCACATCCCAGACGCATGGGATGATGATTGGGAGGAACAAGTTGATGTATGTTGTTAACCCTTCACAAGTTCATTCCTATCCGTCCCCAGAACCAAATTTTAGTCCCAATCAGCAAAATATAAGAATACTTGCAGTCTGTCGCCGCGGTGATGATAAACAGGAACTAACAACATCACAGAACAAAACTCAAGACTCCCCGGTTCCCACACCCGCTCCCCAGCAAGAATCAGGAAAGAAGATCTCTTCAAGAGCCAAAAAAGCACAACTACGCGCCCAACATGCAGAGTTCAATCGGCAGCTCTGGGCGGAGGCCGAAGCAGAAGCGTACGTCCCTTTTAGCAATCTACGCATCCTCCGTATTGGGAGAAAAAAAAAAAAAAAAAAAAAAAAAATTGGCCTGCCCAACGGGAATGCGACATATCGTGAGGTCGGTGCTAACATATATCTACGTTTTGTTCTTCCAGCGGATCCAACCAAATGTCCCACTACCTCGAATCCCGCTCCAAAGTTCCTCTCAAATCCGAATACAAGCCAACGGTCAAAGTCCTCAGTCGCAATCCTCAATCCTCCCCTGGTCTCAGCGCTGCAACCGCAGGACTACAAAGAGTGACGATCTCGCCTCGTCGCGCCACTGGCAATAATGACAATGCAAACGAGAACGAAGACGAAGACAACTCTGACGAGGAAACCAAACAGCCGAAGGAACTCACCCCGGAAGAACGCCTGGCGATAGCCCAGCGCGAAAGGGAAGAAAAGCAACGCAAGTATGAAGAAGTTCGGGAACGCCTGTTTGGAAGCTCCAATGCTGGGTCCGGCGCGTCATCTCCGGGTAGCACGACGCCGCCACGGCAACAGCAGCAGCCGCAGCATACTAGCGGAGAAAATAAATGGAAGGGAAAGGCTCGATCAAATGGAGCTAATAGAGATAGAGGCGAGAGGAGGGATTCGTCTTCTAGATCCGCGAGAGGCAGACAGCTGTACGATCCGAATTACGTTCCTAAGCCAAATTCGAATCATGGAAAGAGAAGGGAAACCAGACAGCAATTTGGCGGCGGAGAAGATTCAAGGCCGCGGTCTCAGCCCCAATCACAGTCTCCTCAGCCTCAGATGCCCATTCGAAGTCCAAGGGGTCCCGATGGGAGTGGACCTGGTGGATTTGGTTTTGCCGAGCGAGGTAGTGGGGCTGCGCCTCGCTGAAAGGTGTTCACACCGATTATTATCATTATTTCTGAAGGCTATGGAAATTGGTAGAAGGAAGGAAAAAGGACTGGCCAGTCGAACTGTCATGACTGAAAATCACGGAACCGTTCCCAACGCCGTTACCACCACCGAACCTATTCCAAGATAAACCAAAAATGAAAACAACACCAGAATTGCGCTAAATTTTACGGCAGAGGTCTTCCGGAATTAATGGCGTTCGCCAGCATCGATGTGTCGGGTCGATTTTCTATATCAAACGTCAGAACGGGGACCACCTCCTTGGTGCAGCGGGAACGTGAAATACGTACCGGCGTATCTCTGATAGCTATCCAAGTATAGTTCATCTGAACTCGTTGTGGCCATGATCTGGTCATTGGCTTCTATGGCATCCACCCACGCAGCCCAGCGACTGCCTTTCTCTGGATCTGGCCACCCACGATATGGCTTTAATACGCGACTCAGCCTAAGCATCCAGGGCGCAAATTGAATGTCGACAAAGGAGATGTCTGGCCCAAGGAAGAACGGTCCCGTTACATGGGACGCGTTGACGAGTTTGCTAATATCGTCCTTTAACTCTTCCGTATACTCGATCTGTTTCTGGAAATCTTGCTCTTGGAGAAGACGATAGAAACAGGGTATGATATGCCGGTTTACCTAACGCGTGGTCGTTAGCTGTATGGCCAAAATGAAATAAAAGACTTTATACACACATGGTCTGCCCACAATCGGCAATGCGCCCGAAGTTGTGGTTTTCCGGGAGGCAAGAGAGGATTCCCGGCATCGAGATCGTCGAGCTATTATTCGAAGATCAGTACACCAAGCAATCCTCTTCAGTCCAATGGAGAACTTACATATTCCAACAAAACGGTACTTTCGTGACAAGCCCAGTTGCCGTGACGTATAGCCGGAACTAACCCCCGCGGATTGACCTCCAACAGCGAATCCGGCTTTCTATAGGGGTCAACTTCGATGTATTGGTACGGTATTCCCTTAACTTCAAGTGCAATCCAAACCCGCTGGACGAAAGGGCTACGGAAAAAAGGGTAATAGTGGTCAATCCCTGTCTGCGAGAACGAGTCGTGTAGAGTCGTTGCGAGACTTGGGGGACTTACCAAAAGCAACTGGCGTAAAGCTTGAGATCGCTCTCTCGTTTATGTTTGTTCACCGTTAGCCAAGCGTAGCCGGACGCCTTTTTGTGGTACGTTTTGAGCTGTTGGCTCTGTTTTTGGTCAGTCATTGCGATTCTGGAGTAGTGTAGAAATCTTAGGAGTAATTTATTTCGCATTGTCTTGTACTCCAGACCAGGAGAAGAGAAATAAGACTAAAGATTGATCGATGAAAGTGTCCAATGATGGGGGTCTTGATGTTTGAGTCGAAGCTGCGGTACTCCTCTCCAGACGGAAACAGTTGGGAAAATGCGATGACGTCAAAGCCCGGATGTACTTCGCCGGCTTCAACAGCGCAAAACAAAACAAGCTGCTGCTTAGCGAAACAACATTAGGGATACTTACGATGGCCTTTTTCTTTTCCTTCTCGTCCTTTATCAGAAACCGCTGCACACTGTTCTTCTTGATCCGATCACTTTCTTCCAGAGTATGTCTATGCGATCCACCGGCCGTGACGGACCTGCCATTGGCCCCGTTCCCATTTACTCGTTGAATTGTGTAATATCTCGCTCCTGTCGCGCCCGGATGGCCCTCGGGTAGCATCGTACTCGGTGCTAACACGCCAAACGGTTGGGAAGCCGTCGGCGCATTGACTCCGGACGTGGCAGGTAATGAGTCAACAGCGCCGGCGAGCGCCGAGATCCCCATGTCCAGATCCGGGGCCATGGTCAAAGCTCCCGGGAAGTACTCTGTGATTTTTATTTTAACGTCGCATAGATTCCTCTCGCGCGCGATACGTTTGCGCTTCTTTTTGTTTGGGTCGGCAGATTTGGGGGTTCCCGGTGGGCGACCTTTCAGTCGACAGTCCCAGTAATGGGATATAAAAGGTTTGCGTTTGTAGCGCTGAGTAGAGCGGTGGGAGTAGACGTTGTCGACATGTGGAAAATAGGTCTGAAATCTAGAAAGAGAGTCAGCGGGGAAAGGAGTCCAGGTCGCCGAGGTATGTGAAGAGCCGGAAGAACGAAAACCGAGACATACTCCTCCTCACTCAGGACGATAGTACCCTCAACATTGAACAGTCTTTCTCTCCAACGCTGTAGATCTGGCGGCTCAGGAATGAGTTTCATATTCTTAAAATGACTTGTACCGTCATTGCTTAACCCCGGTGCTGCAGGGCTCGATTGGATAGGACTGGGAAAGTGGCATATTAGGTTTTGAAGAGTCGGCTGTTGCTGTTGTGAAGGTGTTTGCGACGGCAAGTTATGTTGGATCTGCGGCGCGCCCGATGGAGGGCACGGAGGAAGTGACATCGGGTGGCCGTGGTTACTACGTGGCTGGATGAATTCTGGATGCGCTGGAAGCCCATAATTTGGTGAAGGCGGTGGAATAGGGGATGGTTGACCAAGATGCTGAGGAGCAGCCGCCTGGCGACTCTCTAGCAAAGTATACTGCGGTGCGGTAATCGCTGGGACGGAATTACTGTCAGGAGCCACGCTGGTCTGGCTTTGACGCGGTTGCCTTTGAATTGAGGATTGGCCAATGCTGCTACCATGATTCTGCGCCTCAGGGGTCGAGATTTCTGGGTCGACAACAATGGCAGCGTGCGCCGGCTCGTTCTGAGCTTGTTCAGTGACGATGGCGGCGGTCGCAATTGCGTCAGTGGTAGGTACAGCATCGACCATTATTTGATCCCATGCTTGCCCGTCCTTCAGGCCTTCCTGGCCAGGGCCCTCTTGCACCCTGGGCTCTTCAGAGTCCCCGGGCAACTGCCCTTGATTATGTGTACCACCATTTTTAATCTCGGCCTCTAGGTCGCGATCCAAGCTCAATCCGTGCTCGTTCAGGGGAGTTCTAGGTAAGGCTCCAAGTTCTGGCGATGGTTGTGGTGGTGGCAATTGGGGTGGATTTGTCGGTGTTTCTGACCCTGCGTCGTCCATCATCGCGGAGGAGAGCATCCATAGGGCTCACCTGGTGGAGCTTGGGGTCCCTAAAATCGGCGCGAGATTTGCTCCAGCGACGTCGACCGGCTGTGGATGGCTGTTTGGCGGCTTGTCGAGGCATCGTTGAAGCGGCGAGGCTTTTGCACGCGATCAGAGTAGTCACTCATCACGTGGCGAAGTACATATGTTGATTACTAATCACTAACTGGTTTACTTACATAATCCACCACCGGAAGAAAAACCAAAATCAAAATATCTTCAATTTCCTGACCCATCCACTTCAACGCGCAATTATGCCACCAGTTCGCAAGAAAAATGCTAGAAACTCTATAGAAATAGAGGGAAGACTTGAACTTGCAATAAATGCTATTAAAAAAACAGGGGGTTGCCTCAATTCTTGAAGCTGCACGTCTATATGGGGTGACTTGTACGACTGCAGGATTGACTTAAGAGCAGGCCTGCAAGGGTGAATTTACGCGCAAATTTAACCAAATTCACTAAGGCTGAAGAAGATCAGCTAGTTCAATGAGTGCTGGACCTGGATAAATGAGCATTACCCCCGCGGCCAGCATTTGTTGAGAATATGGCTAATCATCTTCTTGCCATATGAGATCCTACCTCTCCTCCCCCTGTGTTGGCAAGAACTGGGTGTCAATCTGATTAAACACCATATGGAGCTCAAATGCTGCTATTCCAGACGCTATAATTATGAGCGAGCAAAATGTGAGGATAGGAAGGTTATTCAGCAGCTGGATATTCGACTGCAAACCCCTACTCCCTCAGCTAGCCAATCTAGCAAGTCCCAGTCATCCTGGATCCTACAAACACCAAGCAACCCCCGGCAGTTGCATAGGCAGGTGGATAAGATCAAGAATCTTGTGGGGCAGGGACTTGAGAGCTCACCTCAAGGCTTGATGGAAGGATTTGATCAAATTATCAAGGCCTGTGAATATGGGATGGTCAATGCCACTATTATGAAGAAGCAATATCAGGATATATTTGGGGCAAATGAGAAAGAGAAGCAAAAACGCAAGAAATCTAGGCACCAGATTCAACATGAAGGAGGTTTAACTAGAGAAGAAGCTCAGGCTCTTATTATTCCACCTGCTGAGGTAGTTGAACTGCCTGCTACTCAACCCTCTGGAGGCCCCAGCTTCTGAGCCTGCATGATGCTCACGGGCTCCACCAAGGTGTACGAACTGCCAAATTGTAGGCCATACAAGAAGAAGCTGCCCTAATCCCAGTGTAATCTAATTTAATTAGTTGTTGTTGAGCATTGATAATTTGGATTAAAATCTATTTAATTACCATACAGTGATTTTGGTGGCCGGCTCGGTGGTGGATTACGTTAACTAGTTATAGAAAACTGCATATTAGTAGTATGCTTTCAACGATGATAACTTGCAGCGGTTGCTCGCTGGACGCGGGTGTCACTTTGGTATCCCTTGAAGCGTGCACCTCTTAATTGCAGCGCTAAGTCCAGACATGGCTTCCCATCCGCTTACATTCGCTTTTTCTGCCTTTTCTTGTCTGCCTGTGTGTTGTCAAACGGGAACCCGCTCATCCTCTTATCTGCCCCTGTTCTCCTGCTGATTCGGCCCTTTGTGCTTGCAAACAGCATACACCAGAGGCCTATTGCTGACAGTCCTCCGGAAACCATCATTCCCACCATATAAGCTACACCCCCTCCCCAGACAACCCATGTATATGCATAGAACGCTGCCGTGGCATGGAGCGCGGAAGTTATCATAAGCGTCGGCACGGCGTAGGGGGCTTTGGGGTCGTTTTCTTCGGGGCTTATGCCATATTCGGACGTTAGCGGGATGGACCCGGTTAGAATCACGGTTAGGACGGAGAGTGTAATCAGAGTTAAGCCAAGTGAGCGCGCAAAGTAGACTTCCAATCCTAAAGAAAAGATCCGGGTAAGCCGGGCAGCCCATTCCTTTTGTAATCAGCAGACAACAAGCCTTACCAGATGGGGGGCGAGGCTCGTCAAGGAGCAAGGCGATGATCAGTTTGGGCGACGCGACGAGGGTTAAGCCCTGCAAACTTAGCCAGGCGCCTGTGCCATACGTATACATGTAGAAGACCTGTAAAGCAAAGGTTAGCAGGTGGAGTAGGACCGATCTTAAGGCAGGGGATAGTTCTCACGTCCATGATGGTCGAGAGGGTAAGATTCGACAACGTAAAGCGGTTCGAGACAGCTGTGTACGTTCGAACCCAAGAAGCAGCTTTGCTTTTGTATCCCGGCGCTGGGATGCGCGAAACTTGCTGGGTGAAGGCGGTGGTGATGTCATTGGGCTCTGCCAACAGCACCGACAGCCATGAAACTGTCCGTGCTTCAGCGTCGAACCTCCGCGTGCTCAATGCAAGATATCAGCTTCGTATCAAATAAGAATGCAGCCTAGATCTCGTTGAATTTGTACTTCTGCAGCTACTACAGTCCTTAGTTACAACGAACCAATTGTTTGCTACGTTCGCAGGTGAGACAATTGGATTTCGTCGGTGATGGCCCTCATTTTGAAGCAATCAGCCATGGTTTAAAGGGAAAGTAATTAAGGATGATTCCCAATTTTATTATCAGAACCGGATATTATCAAGAAGTGCAGACACCACAAACAACGCCAAGTTACATGCAGGCGGCCGTAGAATCAGATATTAAACAGTTAATACTTTCTCTTCGTGAAATATTTTCAATTTTCTTGACAGTCTATATGTTGCCGGACCGTATATATCTTGTAAAACTGCCGTCTTCATTTCCTGCTTCAGAAGACTCGGCAAGTGCCTTCTTGTACCTCTGTGATAAGTTGGCGTCATCTCGCCGGTCGGAGGGGCCGGCAGTCTCTTCGTCTTCATCTGTGTCGCTTTCTTCTTCAATATCTGATACCGTTTCGGGCTCATCTGCCTTCTTTGATCCGGAGACATTCATGTCCTGAAGTAGCTTTCCCAGCTCGACTTCTCTTCGTGATTCCTTCTCCTTTTCCCTTTCAGCCCTTTTTTTGTCCAATTCAGGCTTATAATCCCGATCGAACTCCTTTCTCTTTTCTTCAACGGCCTGAAAGAACTCATCAATACCCTGGCCTGTCATCGAACTCACTCCAACCACGCTGAGATGTCGATAAAACTCCTCGAGCATCAAGCTCATGCTGTTCAAAAAGGAGCCCATGTACCCACTTCCACCACCCATGCCCCCAACTCCGCCCTCCGCACCGCCAAAAGCGCCCCCCTCCTCTTCCTGCCGAAGCGCAGCCTGAAAAGCTTCAAAATCAGACATCCATTCTTTCGCGAATTCCGCATCTTTAACATCAGTCTTATTAAAAACTAGGATCATAGGTAGTTTCGTCTTATATAGGATGCTGCAAGCGTAAAGCATATTGCTCATGAACGTGCTGGTCGAGCTCGTCCGCGGCGTGTCAATAACATAAGCGATAACCGTCGGGAACGAGGATGCCAACGATTCCAGTAAAATGCTGCCCGATGCACTCCATACGAATACTTCTATCTGGCCCGGCGTGTCAACGAGAATGTGCCTGAATTGCTTTGCGGTGGGGTTCTGCGCGGGGTCGGCGAGAGTCCGCTTCTCCAAAATAGAAAGGATCTGATCAACTTTGGTTGCGAAAAGATTCAGCGACGTGAGAATTCCCCCGTTGGGTCCCAGGTTATACTGCTTCATGACTTCTTTGTAGTTAATTGAGTCTCGGATGTCAATATTGCTCTCGAATGGAACTGAGTGTACGGCGGGGTCGAGGTTGACGACGTAGGGAGGTTGATGCTTAGAGTAAAGATGAGAGTTGATGCGCTGCATAAAAGTTGTTTTCCCGGAACCTAATGAGAGGAATTGTTCATCAGCCCATGTTCCAAAAGAAAAACATTTACGTTGAGAAAGCTCTTTGTGCGGATGTATATGTATACCTGCCATGCCGACGCAGACGACGGCAACCGGTGGCTTCGCCATACTTGCAAATGTCGTTTGTAGCAGTGAAAAAAATAGATTATATGTGCGGGAAAGCTCAAGAGCAAGCCAAAAGGTAAAAAAGAAAATTATAATGTGTGTAGCCAAAGGAGGGGTCGCGTTTGAGTGAAGTTTTATGCGGACTCGAATTAATTCTGGTGCTTTTCGCGCTGAGGCAAAATTGATGATCCAGCGCCAGACGTCATCAACCAACCTTGCTGCTTGACCACAACACGAACGTTGCAGGTCTGCAAAAAAACAATTTGGAGCCTCTGAAGCCTGAACAAACATAACAGGGGCCAATTAGGACTTGTCATGCCAAAAATACCACGAATGTATCATACACATCCAGCATGACCTTGGAAGACTTCGAACGAGAGCTAGCGGAGAGTCAGCAAGAGAGGGAGAAGAGAGAAAGGCGACGGGAGAAACACGGAGAACGAAACCGTGACCGAGATCGAGATCGAGATCGCGATCGGGAGCGACGCTCATACCGAGAAAAAAACGAGCACAAGGACAGAGAAAGGGAAAGAGACAGAGACAAAAATGGGGATCGATCTCGGCACCATAGCGACAGGCCCCATCACCATCATTCATCGAGGCATCGTAGCAATCACTCCGATAGCGAACACGCGCACAAACATAAGCGGTCGAGACACCATTCCTCCAGCAATGCAGATGATGGAGAACGGAGTCGCAAGCGCAGGCTTCGACACGATTCTCGGGATGAAAGAGACGAGGAGAGATCAAAGGAACATCGTGATCCCGGGTTAGTGCTTCAAGAGGAGCCGTCCAAGTTACAGCGCGATGCATGGATGGAAGCTCCATCTGCTCTTGAGGTGGACTACGTTCAGCGGAGACAACAAAAACCTCCATCACCAAGGGCGAAAATGCTGCAGGCAGACTTCGAATATAAGCTACATGAAAAAGAGTTGAATCGGCATCTACATGACCTGCAAGAAGATGACCCCGAGCGTGCTGCGGTGGAACAGCCAGCGGAGCATGAAGTTGATTATACATTTGGTGATTCTGGATCACACTGGCGGATGACAAAGCTCAAAGCAGTTTATAGACAAGCGGAAGAGGAAGGCCGGAAGCTGGAAGAAGTCGCGATTGAGCGATATGGCGATCTGCGCTCCTTCGACGATGCACGGGAGGAAGAAATTGAGCTTGGTCGGAGAGATCGACTTGGAAATGGCTACGTCGGGAAGATAAAGCCCAATGGAGATCTATACCAGGAGCGAAAACTTGAAATGGGTGTGAGTAGGGACGAAGGCGCAACCATGCAGGGCGAAGAAATTGAAACTACTCTCCACGAGGAGCGAATGGAGACGAACCCTCCCTCTCAGTCGACCAAACCATTAGATTCTACGGCTCTGAATCGTCTCAAGGCCCAGATGATGAAAGCCAAACTACGGGGCTCGTCTAATGCTGCAGACTTGGAGGCACAATATAATGCTGCGGTGGCAGCCGCTGCAAATCGGAAGGAATCCGACGTTGTGGTGTTGGGAGTTATGGAGAACAGAATGCTGGCTGGTCACAGGGCCGAAGTGAAAGCCGTAGAGAGTAAGAGAGGGCGTGAAAGGGGGCTTGTGCAAGAGAACGAGGATATGAGCATTGAAGACATGGTTCGCGAAGAGCGTAGAACCAGAGGTCAAGCAGGCGGAGAAGGAATGCGATTCGCTGAACGAATTGCTAAAGATGCAAAGTTTGATGTGAGTATTCTGCAAATCAACCCTTTAAAAAGAAAGGTATGATATTGACGCGTTATTCGCTTAGAATGATCTCGAATACATGGATGAGAATGCCGCGAAGCTGGCAAAGCGTGTCCAAAAATCTGAGTTAAATATTAAGAATACTGCCATCAACGAATTTCAGAAGATGAATCGCATTCTAGATAACTGCCCATTATGCTATCGCGAGGACACAGAGACCCCGCCGATAGCGCCAGTGGTATCACTGGCGACAAGGGTATATCTGACGCTCCCGACTGAGCCTGAGTTGAGCGAAGGAGCGGCTTGTATTGTTCCCATCCAGCACCGGACCAATCTCCTCGAATGCGACGACGATGAGTGGGAAGAAATTCGAAATTTCATGAAATGTTTAACGAGAATGTACCACGATCAAGGGCGAGAGGTTATCTTTTATGAAAATGCGGCTCGGCCCCAGCAAAGGCGGCACGCCACTATGGAGGTGGTTCCACTTCCCTATAGTCTTGGAGAGACGGCATCCGCTTTTTTCAAAGAGGCTATTCTCTCGGCCGACGAGGAATGGACACAGCACAAGAAAGTGATTGATACACTCGCCAAGTCTCGGCAAGGCCTTGGGAAACTGGCGTTTCGCCGTACGTTGGCGAAGGAAATGCCCTATTTCCATGTTTGGTTCGAGCTTGACGGCGGATTGGGCCATATCGTCGAAGACGGTAATCGTTGGCCACGTGGAGACTTGTTTGCGCGGGAGATCATTGGGGGAATGCTTGATCTAGAGCCGGATGTCATTAAGCGGCAAGGTAGATGGCAGAAGGGTGGTGATCGCAGAGTGGAGGGGTTTAAGAAACGATGGAAGAAGTTCGACTGGACGAGAGTTTTGGCTGCGGAATGATAGGGACCCCAAGGAAATTTTGAACCTCGTTGGATTTTTCGAGACCGCTGTGCGTCCGGGGCTACTTGAGATTTCTTTTCGCATGGACGAATTATGGATTTGCATGATGTCGAATCTATTCGTAATATCACCTTGCATCAAATCTTTGCTTTAGCCGGTCGGGTCATGGAGGGATCTGTTAGATTCGGAGCGAGCGTCGGTTTGCGTTCGTTGCATCTTCACATTAAGACACTGTTCTATTTTTGAGACATGAAAAAGCAAAGCAACCATACCAGAGTTAAAACCGGTTGCAGTGAGTGCGTTTCGAGATTTGCTGGATATGAGAATACTTCCCGTGTGTTGTATATAATATAATAGTCAAGACATTTTCGACATCAGAACACGGCTTTTGCAGGATAACCTTGTTGTACGACCGGTTTATTCGATGACCATCATTCCGGGACTGGTTTTCCAGTTGGCATTTCATTCAGGGCCAGCGATATGCCGGCTTGTTGGTCGCTTTCAACCAGACTGGGTCATTGCGCAGGATATATGTACATATGTCGTCGCTACTCCGTACATAGAAAGCAAATCAACCAACCATCCTTCGCAGCGCCCGCAAGGCTCGTTTGACGGCTTAAAGCGCTCTCGGACGAAATGCCCATTATTAGCACAGAGCTTGACTGATTATCCCGAGATCCAGAGTCCCAAGGATCTTAGACCGAGTTAGAGTTCAGCCAAATTGGATATCCGCCCCATCGCGTGCGGGATGGTTGGGACCGCGAGGCGAGCGGAAAAGTGACGACTGGCGAAGGTATCCCTCAAAGCCCGATGGAGCCCTGGATTTTGGGGCAGATTCCTCAGCCCGTCGAGTCAACCCCCTGAACTTTCAGTGTGGTGGGATTCAGAACCGATCCCGTTCCGAGAGCTGGCTCCGAACCGACTAACAGCGCAATCTATCCACTTTAAAAGTCGAAGTCTCGCGGTCCCTTCGTTGTTGCTGGGACACATCGACGTCAAATGATTACTGAGTGATTTGAAATCGATATAATATAATTGACTCGTTGACTATCTCAAAACAAGAGTAAACCAACTAACTAACGGAGCAACCATCCGGAGCCTTTCCCGCCATTGCTCAGCCTCGCGAGAGAAAAAGCCGCGCATCCGACGCGGAGGTGAGAGCATTAACCGACACAAACCAAGCTGATTGACGACGATGGGATCGGACATGAGGCCCAAGGTCCTCTTGCTGGGGAAAATCGACCAGTAGGTTGAACTAGTTGCCCTCATGCCTCCGAAATGCAGCCGTGATCTAGATCACGAAGTCTCAGATGCCTGCTTGCTCGGCAACATGCTTCTACCCATGTCGATTTAAGTCTCGACTAACTTTAAGATCATCGCAGCGCGCACACCGAGTGGAACGCGCTTTCGGACCTCGCAGATCTGATTGAACCGCGATCCACGAACCGGGAAGACTTTATTGAAGAATGTCGCAGTGGCGGCCTCGATGGCGTCCTCGTTGCGTATCGAACCTTCGGGTCCGTGAGCATCACCGGTCTGATAGATGAGGAATTAGTGAACGCCTTGCCCAAATCCATGAGATTTCTCGCCCACTGTGGTATGTGATAATTGATATTTCCCTCTGAGATTTTTCTTTTCCCTCCTCCAAAGTGATATCTTTCTCTCTCGACTATCTTTGGCCCCGAGTCACTTGGCTCCCTTCATTTATCGTACTTTACCATCATATCTGTTCACGTTATTCAGTGAATTCATACAGGTGCCGGATATGATCAGATCGATGTGCATGCATGCAGTGCTCGTTCTCCACCACTGCTTGTCTCCAATGTCCCAACAGCCGTGGATGATTCCACGGCCGACGTAAATATGTTTCTGATAATCGGCACTTTACGAAATTTTAACACGGGAATGCAAGCCCTACGAGAGGGTAAATGGAAAGGAAAACCTCTGCCTGCCTTGGGACACGATCCACAAGGGAAGACGCTCGGCATCCTAGGCATGGGAGGCATCGGAAGGAATTTAAAGAAGAAGGCTGAGGCATTTGGGATGAAAATTATCTACCACAATCGTAGAAAATTGAGCGAGGAGCTTTCCGACGGGGCGGAATACGTCTCTTTCGATGAATTGCTGGCACAAAGCGATGTTCTGAGCTTAAACTTACCTTTGAATGTAGGTGTCGGGGCGACCCTGTTTGGAGACACTGCACGGCAATCGTGCAGTCGTGTTGCTCTCTTGTCAACGATTCGTGTTGAGCTCATGGCTAATTTTACGTATATAGAAAAACACCCAGCATATTATCGGTGCTCCCGAGTTCGCCAAAATGAAAGACGGCATCATCGTGGTCAACACTGCTCGCGGCGCCGTCATGGATGAGGAAGCACTTGTCCAAGCGCTAGACTCCGGCAAAGTTCTCTCAGCCGGTCTCGATGTTTTTGAAGATGAGCCTAATGTGCATCCTGGACTGCTACGAAATCCTAACGTCATGTTGGTGCCGCATATGGGTACCTGGTCTGTCGAGGTGAGTCAAATGCCACCCTCTTCCAACTGGCGCTTTCTAAGCACCTGCTCTGACCCTTATCACCCCTCAGACACAAACCGCGATGGAGGAATGGGCAATGGATAACATCCGGCGAGTGCTTGAGACAGGAAAGCTGAAGTCACCTGTTCCAGAACAGGCTGATATGTAGCTCTGGACTTTCATATTAATGGGAAAAATCGCCTTTTTCCTTTCTTTTTTTTTTCCCTTTTTTTTTTTTTAAAGGTTGGGTGGCTCTCACCCCGATATGCATTCGAAGGGTTATAAATCTGAATAGAGGCTGGACTGTAGAGAAAGAACAGATCATAAGGGGGAGTTAAGAGAGCACTTCCATATATTTATGGGCTAATATATTTATCCTTGAATTATTTTTATACATGGAATGATTTGTCTAATAACAGAAAAAGAATTTTTATTGATAGTCTCTAGTATAATTACGCTGTGGCTTTGGTATAGGGTGATTGAGAGAGCCGGTTTTTTGCTCCAAATAAGCGATTATTAGGAGTCAGCTACATCCATAAAGACGCCTAAGACATTTGGGTTGAGCGCACCCAATCTAAGGGAAACTTGAAAGGTATTCAAATTCATATTCTTGGGAGAGAACTGAGGTGTTACTAACCTCAAGCTAACATATGGTATGGTCTAGAAGGGAGTCTTAAAAACGTGGAAGAAGAGCTTTCACGGCATGGAAATCGTAAGGAAGCCAAACCATCCTCGCGCAAAACGCCAATTATCTGCTTTCCCATGTATGTGTACCCTTCCCTACTTTTTTATGGCTGATTTCAAAGCCCGGGAAAGACGCCGAGTCATCCCTAAAAATTAACCAGAACGCCACCTCGTGAAACGAGTCACCGAATGATACATGGTGTTAAGCCCAGATTCCCATCCAACGCCGTATGAATCGCTGGGCTCGGAAATTACATATTTTCGGGCTTCTCCCACCATCTGAGAAGCTGCGCGCAGAGCCGTCTAATTACTTGGTTGGTTGCCTTTCCATCCCTTTCTTCTTCGATAAATTTAGTAGCTACATATAGCTTCGCCGATACGTCCTTCTCATCAGTCGAGGGAGGCAGATTTTTGACCTTTCGTGGCTGAAACCGGGATATATGACGAATAACCGCAATCGAGTAGACAACATCGCGATTCTCTATCATATCCAGATGCGCGCGGGCGTCCATCAGCGCAAGGTCGCGTAGTACATTGCATTCTGGCATATCGTCAGTGATGACGAGATATTGACCGATGGCATCCCAAAATTTCATTTCACTGCGTTTGAGCTGTTGCGCAAGCCCGGTGGGGACCCAAGTCGAATCGTCCCCAGCATATTCCGGTGCAGAGGTGGGGTTGGTCCTTAGCGTGACTCCGGTGACCAACGCTTCTAAGACCTTCAAACGATTAACGGCCAGGGTGAGTTCAGGGTCTTCCGGGACGATTTTGCCATCCGAATTCGTGTTTTGAGCTTGAGCTTCACGGCAAAGAGCCATTGTGTCCCAGATGATTCGAGATTCCCGGCTTTCCATGGCTGGAACACATTCGGGATTTGTAGTCCATTTCTTTTCCATAAAGCTATCCAGGAATGTGGAAACCTGGGCCAGGAGACTTTTATTGGCAAGCAGGAAGTGACGGGCGTTGGCTTCGAACCAGTGCGTTTCTAGAAAGACATCGACACATACTGCGTAGGCCATGAAGAAATTCGCACATTCTTCTATGCGAGTTGGCGGTAGCTCCAGCTTCTCTGGAAGAGGGCCCGGCTGGCCGCTCATCGTCAACAGGTCATCGATCTTTATCTGATGCACTACCAGGGGTATTAGCTAGATCCAAGAGCTGAGAAACGTGGGTTTGACCTACATTCGAGACTGCGGCACTCCGGAATAGCGTTCGCCATGAGTAAGTGTTCGTAGCTTTCTTGGGTGGCCGGGACACTAGGGGATCGTACGGCCGCGGCTGCGGCGGCGGCGGAGTTGACGTTAGAGCTTTGGTTAAACTGCTCTGTCGCTGGAGACGTGACTTGTGGAGATGGGGTAGGGACGGACGGAGAGTGGGACGGAGGCCCGGATACCGGGTGAGAGGCGACAGGAGGTGCTGGTGCGGATTGCGGTACCTGCGGCGGCGCTGAGACTTGGAAGGAAGTCTGGGAGGGCGCTGGTTGGATAGCTGAAGGCCCTGGCTGCGATCTAAAGACGGGATCGTATCCAAGGCATTCGCGTTTGCTTTTCTCGCAGTTCCGGCAGATGGGGTGTCTTTCGTCACACTAGATAGCAGTAGCGACGTAAGCTTCCATCGAGTCAATTGTCGGGAAATTCTACCCGGACAGAAAAGAAAGAATCAAATAGCTTTCTCAGGCAGGACGACAGCCAGGGACAAAGTGTGTAGCTTAGTGAAAGCTTGCGGGAGTTAAGGTCTGGTTGGTGGAGGGGCATCTGGCGCCCCGAGTCACCCGCTTTTTAAGCGAGCTTCATTGCGGGGAGGAAGAACATTATTTTTTTATATATTCTGGCAGAACCCGCGAAACGAACAACGATAACGCCAAATCAATCGTCGCACCATGTGGCTACAAATGCAAAACTGACGGGGATTACTTACCTTAATTCTGCGCTTTCTGCAGGTCAGGCATCCAGTCTTCGTTCGTCGCTTGACGTCCTTTTTCCCCATGCGGTTTCCAGCGGGCATCCCGCCGCCATCGCTGATCATCTCGAATCCTTCGGGACTTTGCGAATTCGCAGGCAGCTCTGAATAGTATCCGGCTATTGGTTGCGACGATATCGCCATGGGGATCGTTCCCATGTGCATCTGCGGGTTCGGCGGCGCCGGCGTAGGTGGAACATGACTGTTGATCGGGTTGGCAGGCAGTAGGCTCGACAGGGTTGATGGAGGCAAGTTATTCGGAGTGGATATTGGCGGAAGCGGTAGTTGTTGCTGTTGATTCGGTGGCTGTGGAGGATTCACCTGTTGCGGAGCGCCCGCCGGAGCTTGAGATGGGATAGGAGGAGGTGGATAAGTATGTGACGGAGGCTGGGACGATGGCGGAGCTGGAGCAGGGATAGAAACTGGAGTTGAGTTCGGCTGGTATGGAGGAATAGGCTGCTGAGTCGGTGTTGATGCGACGGGTGCGTTCGCCATTTCCACATCTCGTGAAGCCTTTGCCGGGTTTGGCGGCGCTGGGACCGCCGGATGGGCCTGCATTGTTTCCGCCATGGCGATATAACGAATTGAATAAACCCAAAATGTTTTCCAAAGCTACCACATTAACCGCCCCGTTGCGGCTCTACCACGGAGATTCAGCCGTTACACCGCAGCATCAGCGGTTGACCTTCGACCAGGATGCGGAACGGGGCAAAACCCCAGTAAGAAATACCGACGCCAGTGATACCGTCGTAGATGAGATATATAACTTCAAAACTACAAGAGTTAGCCAGGATCTCCAACATTAAAGCCCAATGCGCAGAGTAAATCAAGCAGAAGATGGAATGCGACACCGGCACCAATTAGCCAGCGATCCGTAGCTGCTTTCAAAAGACCTGCACAGCTCCGAAACAACCACAATAGTAATCGCACTAGCTAGCACATTTTTAATCTAATGGGATTTTGGGCGTCCTCTTGGGGGTCCCACAGTGTAGACGGAGCTGTTGTCAGAATGTCAAGTTGCAGCAAGGCACCTGAGCTTCCTGCTTTATTCCCAGTATTCCATCACCACGGTGAGGACGCTGCAGCGATCAGAAAACAAACAAAAAGCACTCACAAGATCAGTCCGAAACACCTGTAGTTTAGTATGGTGCTGATAGGATATCGCGTCGATTTCACCCTTCTCCAGCCTTCTAATAAAAGAGTTTGCCTATTCCTGTGTTTTCCCGTACGTGCAACAAAGGCGCTACGATAATGGGACCAAAAGAGATATTGAAATATCAATGTATACTTATATATTTCTTTTTTGAAAAAAAAAAAAAAAAAATTAGAAAAATCTTTACAGCTGCAGAAGTTTTGCAAGGGATTTGGTTGAGCTGTCAGGGAAACGGTGAGTGGCAATTGATGCCAAGCTTAGTGCTTCAAAGTGAAGGACAGTTTTTGGAGTCGTGAATTCCCGAGATACCTTAACAGCAAACAGCTCAGGAGGAGATTGAGGAAAGCCATGGATAACCTCAAGATTTTGATTTATAATAGGATACAGTGAATGCCTATCAAAAGGAATGAGGTACTCCATATTTAGCTAGCAATGACTCGGGTCATGACCTAATCTTGAGCTGTTCGGCCAGCACAACAGTTCGATCTTTTTGAATCCAGGAACATTCGCTGGGCAGTTCTTGGATTACATTGGGGGTTAGACTTTGAGGGTTTTCGGGATTAGGATCCTCCTTCAGTCCCATCGAGGAATATGTGCACAGACTTCCTGTTACTGGTGTCAAACCAGACACATATATATCCTTTCGGGTATTCTGATCAGACGAGAGAGCCGATCGGACCGAAACGACTAAAAGAGGGCACTGTTTGTTGAAATGTTGGGGGATAGGAGCGAAGCTCCGTACATCACCATGGTTTTCAACGCCCAAAAAAGAATAGCCGTCTGTGCTCCGGTCTAGCGACAGCCTTTTAATACCGTCATTGAGCCAATGTTCGGGTTCCGGATACAGAAATCTATCGTCGTAATAAGCTTGTAGGTGTGTTTTGTCAAGAGCGGTATTTATCTCTTGCTCTGCTTGGGCTTTCGCTTCTTGAAAATGACCGGAGATGTGGGGTCTCCCGCGGTGCCAGCTTCGGCTATGGTAGATGCATCTGGGCCATCTTCATTCGGTGCTTCCCGCTTGATATTGTTCTCTTCCTTCTTTTCCACGGCTACGCCACCGTGATGGGGTTCAGTCGCTGGAAAATCTGCGGGTTCCTCCTTTTTCACGCTTTCATCTTCCGACTTAGATCCCAGCTTAGGCTTTTTCCCCTTCAGGTTTGTTGTCTTGCTCAAAAGGGCCTCAAGTTCTTCATCATCTTCTCCTAGACCCGAATGGCTTTTAAAGGTCGAGCCCCAGACCTTCTTTGGGCGTTGTTGATCAGGTACCACACCGCTAGCTTCGTCTTCTTCCCCCTCCTCATATTCCTCCTGGCCATCCAATTTTCTTTTCCTGACGCCTTTAACCATGGCAGCGGTGTCGCGCACGGTAGAATCCGTAATGAGAGTTTCCGAAACAGTCTTCCACTCACCAGCCAACGCCATCTCTGGCCTAAACTCCTCAGGTATTGCAACTCCCATTTCAGCCAGCTGTTCCATCTGCCTCTTCCTTTGTTCTTTGTTAACACTCAGAGATGCGGAAGTCCCACTATCCAAATGCCCCGTGCTGCGCTTCCGCGGCGGCTGTTGGCCGGATGCTTTTGTTGTGGGCGCAACCAACCCCTTCAGTCTCTCGATTTCATTTTTCGCCTTCTGGGATTCTTTCTGGTCCTTATCCTGCGAGCGGTGAACGTCGCGGAGAAACCGTTTTAGACTCCCCTGGTGTTTGCCTGTCGCTTCATGCTGCGTCCGCTCGAAAGGAGTGTCACGGACATAGGTTTTGCAATGTTTGCACCAGTACTTTGGCTAATTTGGACCATGAAACATCAGTGCTGAATCGCGCATCTGGGTAGGTATTGACTTACCGTTGACTTCCAATATTCAGACATTGCGCAAGCGTACTGAGAGTTGCATAAAACTCCTCGTCAGGTTTGTAAGCTTTGGCAGATCGGAGTTTCCTGCCTCAAGAGGGCTTGGCGCTGTCCAAAGTTTAGTTGGCGTTGCGCGGGCGTTTTGCTCTTGGAAAGTATCTTCTACGAGAGTCCTCTAGTTAAGTATATGGAGCAGGCGGTCAAATGGATAGCCCAGACTACAATAACTTGTAGTTGCTACTCCAAAAGCTGGCACTTTGATTTCTGGTAATGGTACTAACGATAATTGGTAAACTAAATGCTATTAATTCCAGGTTGACCATTAACGTAAACCGTGATCTCCATGGCTTTTCAATCCTCGAGATTTTTTTTTTGATTGCAGAATCATGAAGAGAGGACGGACAACAATTTTAGGCTTAAAATGCACACCAAGCCCTGTTTGATGTTTCCTTGGAGCGTTTCTGACCAGAAGCGATAGGGACATGGGAACTTATGGCTGGGCTTTCTGGGGCCTGTGATTAAGCCCGCTCATTACCAAAAATTTCACTCAATACAGAATTGTGTGATGGTTCTAGTAGCAATTGGCTCTAGAAATTTTCAATTCTGTGCTGCTTAAGAAGAGCGTCGTGGTAGGACAGGCGGGATCACGGATTTACATTCCACTTGGCCAATCCGATTTCAGTATTTCTGTCTTTGTTATCAAGAATTGCTAGAGAATCTACATGCGAAGAGAACTACCTACAGACATAGCAGCACTACAGCGAGTAAACCATCCCGATGGCATGAAGTCCCAAATGACTTCCTGTCCAGCCATGTCTACATCCAAAGAGATATAATGCATCCGAAAGTGGTCCCATTCTGACCATAGACTTCGCCATCAAAGATGTATGTACCTTCCGGACTCACATGTATTAGTTGCCCAATACCTTTCTACCCTAACTCTAAGCTCACGGGTATCATGGCTTAGCCAGTGCTCGACGGCCCTTGTGGAATCAACAAACTCTTCTTCGCGTCGAACGAATTTCTTCCTCCATTCTCTTTCGGCTGGCTCTCCATCTATCTCGTCACCGCTATCCCACTCATCTTCTTCTCCCGTCCCTTCTTCAACTGGGTCCCATTCTTCAGTCTCCCAGATCAATTTGAAACTCAGAGGGGGGAGGGAGAAATGACGCGCAACGATAGCTTTGATGCGATATATATCAAAGGTCCTCGGGATCTCCCTTTTAAACTCCGTGGTTGTCTGTGCAGCTACAGGCTTATCGTCAATATAACCTCTTGACGTGACTGTGTTTGGATTTGGAATGTAAAATGTAAAGTTGACGAGTCGTGCTGCCAATGATCGAGGATTTATAGCAGCATCCCCCTCCAATCTTTTGATTTCTGGGGTACCGTATATTAGGCACAACTCGTCATATCGGGGATGTGAGGCAAGAATCCGCTTCTCTGCGCTCTCGGGGAATGCTGACAGTTCCTTCTTAATAAGAGACAAGTAGTAAAGTTCTCCATTGACCCGATCTTGGGCTGATACCTTGCCGTAGTTCAACACCCGTAACTTGGAGAGTCGAGCAAGCGTAAGCATGTAAGCCTCATCAACGGTCATACGTTCCTCAGGCAATCCTGTAATGGCAGTAGAAGCGGGCGGTTTCTCGTAGAGAGGATTATCTGATATGCGGAGGTTCGTAAGACCAGGAAAAACGGTCGGAAGGGCATCAATGAAGGCCCAAGAGTCTATTAGATTTAGCGAGATATCCAAAGTAGTAAGCGTAGGTGAGAAGACTAGAGGAGCATTTTTCTCAGTAGCATCTTGGATTTTGCTTATCTTGTTACGGCGAAGCGAGAGGCGATTTAATTGCGGGAGAGATGCTAGATGCGAAAGACTCCCTAAAGAGCAGAAGATGTTGGATTCTAAGGATAGCTCTCGAATGGTGTCTGTTATCGGCCTTGAAACCAAGGATATTTGATTGGACGATAGGGATAGGGACCGGAGGTCGGGAAATCGGTAAGAAAGGATAGATATCTGCACAATCGATGAGCCAATCCTGACCAATACGCCCTGCTGTATGGTGATCATACCTCTTCCCATGTCATAAGAGTCTCATCAAGGGACAACTCCAAGACTCCTTTCACTAATCTATCTCTAGGGACGGTACCGAGACGATTACCGCTGCAGCGAGTTAGTAACTTAACACCAGCTGCATTAGGCGACAAGGGCGAAATGGAAGCTCTCGCGCATACTTCAATTTCAAACTTCGCAAGTCCATGAACTGTTCACAAATATCCATAATTTCTATCCAGTCTGCCAGAAAATTCCGATTGAGATCAAGTTCCCTAATCATCGGGCAAGTGTCCTTGATCTTTTCCAATTCACGCTTGCGCAGATCATTGTCCGCATCCACTGCAAGAACGCCTCTCAAGCGCATTCCGTCCAAAATAACGATTTTTAGCTCCCGCAGTGCGGCAAGCTGCTTTCGAATCTTCTCAAAGCCAACTTCTTCCACGACCTTCCCGCTAATCTCAATTGGCCTGCTGCCTCTAGAGGGCGAACCAGACATGTCAGAAGTAATCTCAGAGACATACTTCGTGCGAAGAGCTTCAAGGAATCCTCGAGGCCTATCTGCCAATCTAGCTGGGCGCAGAAAAGAGCCAGCAGTAGGAGAATTACTTCTACCTAGGGAATAGATTAGCCTCGTCTTCTGAAGTCTATATGAAAGTCGGGGTGGACATGGAGCATAAATAGTACATTCGAAGTATTTCACTCCCTTATGCTCTCCTGAGTGTTTTCCTCTTGCGGGGTCGTCCCATTCCACTCCCAGCCATTCCCCATCAGTCCCCTGAACTTTGCCTATGTATCTAATAGTGCATAAAGATCCATCATATGAGCGCCTTGTGCCAACCCTTGCTACGGGCTGTCGTTGAATAGTTTCCCAATCCGACATATAAAATGATATAATATGAAAAATTATATGTTTTCAATTCCACTTCACTCCATGAAATCAATACTTCCTATTTTCAAACTTGTACTCCGTAATGTTGTAGCATTCATCGAATATGGGCTGCGAGAGATTTCCACGGTATGGATGTAGATGATGACTAAGCGCGTCCTTAGACCAGCATTGCATCGGAGGTCCTTCCATGAGCTTCAGCATGCAAGGAAAATCACAGTAGCAGACTGCTCACATCACAACAATCAACATGGATTATCAAGTAAGTACCGCTCTCTGCCGCTTTATACTACAGCAGTAACTAAAACCTACCCTTCCCAGAATCGCGTGGGTTCAAAATTCGGCGGAGGTGGTGTAGCCTCCCACTCCGCCACCAACGCTGACCGTCGCGAGCGCCTTCGCAAACTTGCCTTGGAACACATCGATCTCGACAAAGACCCGTACTTCTTCAAAAACCACGTTGGCAGCTTTGAATGCCGTCTTTGTCTAACCGTTCACCAAAATGACGGCTCCTACCTCGCCCACACCCAGGGCCGCAAACATCAGACCAACCTCGCCCGGCGCGCCGCCCGGGAGCAGAAAGAAGGCAAATCTCAAGCCGATGGCTCTTTACTCCCTGCCGGCATGGGTGTACAAGTGAAGCGCAACACAGTCAAGATAGGTCGCCCGGGCTACAAGATCACCAAGATCCGAGACCCGCTCACAAGGCAGCACGGCCTCCTTTTCCAGCTACAGTATCAGGAAATTACGCCTGACGTTGTGCCGCGCGTGAGATTCATGTCTGCTTTTGAGCAGAAGGTGGATGATCCGCCGGACAAAAACTTTCAGTACCTTCTTGTTGCAGCGGAGCCATATCAGACGTGTGGATTTAAGTTGCAGGCGAGAGAAGTGGATCGGAGAGAGGGCAAGTTTTGGACATGGTTTGATGAGGACAGTAAGGAGTTTTGGGTGCAGATACTGTTCAAGACGGAGAGAGAAGAGAGATACTCCGGTGTGCCTGGTCTGGCTCCAAGTCTACCGAGGCGATGAGTTGGGAGATTATCAGTGATGTGCTTAGATTCTGCTTGGGAGTTTGGGGCTGGATGGTCTGGAGTTAGAATGTCAAAATTGGGCTGGTTCTTCGGATTAGGAGTTCTATGAAATCGAATATGTAACACATATGTCTATATAACTTATAGCTGAATTGGCATTTCTCTTAAGCACCGTCTCCATGTTGATGGGGTATAAAAGCATCTATATTTTGAAGGTTTGTAAATGCTTACGAGAGTCAAGGTGTCGATTGCGATGAGTGTAGCGAGCCGGAACTTGATACAAAGCTTTGCAGTCCTGATCTTCTTTTGGACGATTCCGTTTTTTAAAATTTAGCCCTGACATTCAAAGAACACGCGTATAGTCGCATTACGTATTGGACAGGGCTTCTTAGAGAAGAAAAAAGAGGTTGGGGTCATTAAAATATTGTCATATCCGGTAAGAGACTCGATAGTTTGAAGAATTATTTTCCAAAGTGAAGATGTGCCATTCGGGTGTGATGTAGTTCGGACAACACCATCTCTTGGAAGATAACTTAACTAGCTTGGAAGGCATTGAAAGCCTTGTAGGTGTACCCAATGAACGGAAGACTCATCTCAGCTTCCTGTTCTTCCGGCATAGCACGAGCTTGAGCACGTAGCTGAGCACTGTTGTCCTCCTGAGGAATCTCGTCGATGGGGAAGTAAGAAACGTCAATGTTAGAAGTAAGTCTAGGTTCGAACGGAGCGCGAATCTTGCGAAGTTGATCCCAGACGACTCCACGGAAGAATGGATGGTTCTTAATCTGCATAGCGCCGCCATGCTGGCCTCCTTCCTGGCCAATACGGTGTTCGGGGTCACAGAGGAAGCTAGTCAAAAATGTTAACCATGACTTCTGAAATACTGATGCAAACATTAATAAACGTACCTTCGAATGAGGTGTTCAGAGTCGCGGGAAAGAGTTAACTCTTCGGGGAAGTAAAGGTACTCTCTCCAGTTGACGATCTTTCGATAGGTATCTGTCGCCTCTTCGGCACAGAACGGCGGCCATCCAACAAGACACTCAAACATAATAGCGCCAACGGACCACCAGTCACACAGATATGTGTAGCCCTGTCCATTGAAAATCTCAGGGGCAATGTAGTCAGGTGTTCCCACCGTTGAGTAAGCCATGGCACGACGAGACTTTCTCCAGGTATTAATTTGGCCACGATTGGAGACCGTCAGATTTATAGCGTCGTTGAAGAATCCCGAATTGCGATTCTTATCCTTCGACGTAGAAGTGTTTTTCAGAAGTTGTTGATAATATGAGTTATCGTGCTGTTTCTTTCCGCCAGTGGATAAACCAAAATCTGTAAGTTTGATGTGGCCACCGCGGTCAAGGAGGATGTTATCTGGCTTGATATCTCTGAAACCACACTATTAATTCTATTGTGAACCGACCGGGATAAAACAAGAACTCTTACCGGTGAAGGAAGCCAAGTTTATGAACGGCTTCGATAGCCATCACCAACTCTGCCATGTAGAATCGAGTAATATCTTCGGAGAAGATTTCATATTTAATCAACATCGTCATCAAGTCACCACCAGGCAAGAATTCCATGAGTAGGTAAAGATAGGCTTTGTCTTGGAATGATGCATGCAGCTTCACAAGCCAAGGATTGTCCTTGGAGTCAGCAAGGATGTCACGTTCAGCCCGGACGTGTGCAAGTTGGTCTTTCTTAAACATTTCGGATTTGATCAGAGATTTCAAAGCGTAAATCTTCCCATCTGTCTTGCGCTGAACAAGTTTCACCTCGCCGAAAGCACCCTTGCCGATAATTTTGAGGGTCTGGAAGTTAGAAACAGTCTCCCTAGTGCGAATGAATCGCAAAAAGTTGGATTCTTTCTTAGCCACAGTGTCTGCCTCATGTCGTTTTCGGGCATCCGAAAGCGTATTATTCTGCAAGGTCTTGTCGAGGTTGACAGCACTGTTATAAAGCCACAGTGAGCATCTATCATATCTATCACCAAAAAGGATCTTGACTTACCGGAGATTTCGATCACGTGCGCGCTCGATGTTCTCACGGAAGAAGACATTGACCAACTCCTTGGCCGCTTTTCCTCTCTTATGGACGTTCTCAGAGTATTTTTCCGGGCATCTAACCAGCTCTTCTTCCTCACCAGCCGGCTTGGGGCTGCGATTAGACATCGGTGGTGCCAAATGTCCGGCTCCTTGGTTGCCAGCAGGCGAGCCTGCAGTGCGAGGACGCTGGGAGGGCGCGGGGCCACGACCAGCACCCCCTCCACGGGGGGAACCGCCGAGATCTTGGTTCGAAAACTGCTGGATGAGTCCATTTGTTCCATCATTCTGCTGATATCCACCAATGCGGCTCTGATATCCGGGCTGAGGCGAGGCGACATTCGCGTGCATGTACTGCTGCGGATGAGGGGCCTGCTGGGCATACGGGTTGTTCACAAAATATCCTTGATTGTACGCACTCTGCGCATTCTGGCCATCGACATAGTCGTGACCGCCTTGGTTTGGATACATTGGTTGTGGGAAAGTCGATGGGGTGGTTGGGTAGGCCCGAGGGTTGGAGGCGGTGTACGGACGGTCATTGAAGCCGAAGTTGAGATTAAGGCGATTATTGGGATTATTGGGGTCCATGGCCACGGAAGTGATTGTTAGGGGGATTCTGGCTCTGAGGGTTGAATAGTGTGGGCGATTTCGTTTCAAGGGGAGACTGGACCGAGACGCGAGGGGGTGAAGATGGGGGCTCAGGAGGGGACTGGATTGTCCTGACAACACACAAATGCCGGGGAACAAAGCCTAGTCCATGTGCTGAGAAGGAGGGCAGGGTCCCCCAGAGGCAGTCTGAAGCGAGTGAGAGATCAGATCAAAGCGATAGAAGAGGACATAAAGCAACCACAGGGAGTGAATAAGATCAGCAGGGGACAGGTGAGGGTTAGGAGGGAGCTTGATGCAACAAGCACAACTCCTGCTAGATTGCCCCGAATCGCCACGCCCAGGCTGCTTCAGGCTAGCGGATTTCCCATGTTTTTCGCGGATAAAAGTTTGGCGGCAGCAGCCGTAACCTTGTTCAGCACCACGTGAAGCCCAGCTGCCAAGAGCTGCTAGCGACATGCTTTCTTCTGCTCTGTCATGGCATCTCTGGCCTGGGAGGCTGTTTGGGGGAGTGCTCTGGAACGGGCTGATGCAAAGTTTCAATGAGATCCAAAAACAAGGGGGGAAGACAACATGATTGTTTCAACACTGGTTTGGTCAATTTCGTTACTCTTTCCGGACCAAAGTGAGAGTCCAAAAGAGATTTTCTCAAATGCGTAGCTCAATAAGCTATTCATACCCTATCTTGGTATGTTCATCGCTGGAGAAGAGAACGGCATATTCTGTACTCTGTAGTACTCCATACACATGCAGCTACCAAGGGGGTTTGTTACAAATGGTATTAACACCATGCCCTTGTAAGAGAGCTGGCTCCGGGCTGCTGAACCTATCGAACAGGCTAGATCTAGAGATTTGTTCAATGTCCTCCCACATAGCCAAGAACCTATGCTAGTAGACAAGCATAGATTGGCCGGGTTTCTTGGAATTACTCGTGCCGTACCGGGTTGGCACAGGATTGACTGGCGCGTAAGTTGTTGCATCAAGCTCTACGCTCCAGACACACCAAAGAGCACCTTGACCCAGAACTGGTCAACCCAGAACTCATATAGCACAACAGTTATGGGTCATGAGGCCTATCTACAAAGTGGTCCTCAACAATCCGCTTGAGGTTCCATTACTCTCGTGTTCACACTCACTGGTACGACAATTCAGCGTCGGTTGTCGGATGGACCAGAGGCAGGGAGACTTCATTGGTATGAAAGAGAAATGTGATTCCGCATTGTACCAAACAACAGCTAATTCAATGTGCATATTCTCTTGCTTGGTTGTTCTATAGATTCAGAACATGATTTAGATGCGCTCAATTGATTCACCTCGGGCCGATGGCTTTGGAACGAGCGCCAGCAACTTGCCGCCCGCTACGTGAAATTCAACATAACCAAGCTATTGAAACTTGCCGCTGCTTCCATTGGATCAGAATCATGTGCTGAAGTTGTCAAACTTCCTAAAGGCCAGTATAACAAGGTGTTTCAGTTAACGATGCATGACGGCCGCGAGGTAATCGCGAAGCTGCCGAACCCTAATGCAGGGCGGTTGCACTTCACCACCGCAAGCGAAGTTGCGACTATGGATTTTGTACTGTTCCCTCTTTCTCTTTCCCTCCACTCGCCATATGGACTGACTCTTTAGCTGCGGAATACTCTTCATCTACCGGTTCCCAAGTTCCACGCGTGGAGCTCGCGGGCGTCTGACAATGCAGTTGGGGCAGAGTACATTATCATGGAAAAGCAGGCTGGCACGATGCTAAGTGATATGTGGGAAACCATGAGAGGAAAACAGAAAGCCCAGATTGTCAAACAAATTGTGGATATTGAAAAGACCATTGCATCGACGAAGTTCACAAAACTCGGGGCACTATATTACAAGCGTGATCTACCTTCATCGGATCATGATACGGTGTTGTATGTCGACAGGGCCGGAAATAAGGTACACACTGAAGAGTTTGGAATCGGTCCTACTAACCACCGTTCTTTTTTTGATTTTGGGAGGGGAGAACTAGATATCGATCGTGGGCCATGTAAGTAAGATCTGCGTCTTAGCATCTTTCTTTTTGTCCTAATTTAAATACTAAATACTGGGGCTTAGGGTCCACAACTACGGCGTACCTAGAGGCAGTTGCCCATAGAGAGATATCCTGCGTGGATATGGGCTTGAGATATCCGCTAATGCCAGAAGGGCCTTTTTATGGGCCCGGACAATACCAACCAAGCGCATCGAAAAAATTGTCGGCATTACGCAACTACTTAAAAGTGGCTCCCTATGTCCTACCTGATAATAGAGCAATCCATGTCCCCGTTCTTTGGCACGGTGATTTGCACTTACAGAATATTTTCGTTGATCCAGCAGAGCCAACCCGAATTGTGGGTATAATTGACTGGCAATCCGTCAGCATCTGCCCTCTATTCACGCAGGTCACAATGCCGGGGTTTTTAGATTACAATGGTCCGATTCCTAAGGAACTTGGGCGAGTTAGCTTGCCTCCCAACTTTGGCTCCACGACTCCTGACGAACAGCGGGAGGCAAAGGAGTTGCATCAAGCCCAGACATTGCACAATCTCTATTTGGCTCTGTCTCGCCAGATTAATCCGACAGCGTTCCAGGCCATAAAGGGTCAGGACAGTCTCCGTCACCAAGTTAGTGTTGTGCCAGGTTTGACAATAACAGACCCCGAGTCATGCCTCACTGGCTTATTAAGGGAGGTCGAGAAAGGGTGGTCAACGATGGAAGGGTAAGCAACGAGGATTACGAAGTTTCGAAGAGACAACTGGCTGAGGGGATCGAGAGCTTCCTGAGCCGCGAGGCTAGGAGCCGGGAGGAGCGGAAGGCATGGCTCCAGGCCTTGCCGTTTGTGGATTGAGAACACGCTGATATGATGAAGTATAAGTTCTTGGAAGCAACATGACAAGTTAACGTTGTACAATTGAAATTATCCAAGGACAAGGATAGTGCCATGTATGTTATGTTTAAACTTCACTTCATTCTCGTGTTGCAGCTCATTTTGCACATTCAAACACACAAACATGAAGATAATTCTGTGCCAGAAGAAGTCCAGAGAAGAGCCTGTTGCGTGAAAATCAAAAAAAAGGATGCCACAATAATCAGTTGCTTGTTGCAGAGGCTGATTTCTTTATGGTGTATCCATCCATGACCAAAATTGAACCTGTGACGAACTAGATTATTGGTGTTCATTCGGCCGTCTTCCATCCGCAAGACAGCATCTTCCGACATCTGGCGGATAGGAGTGTGTATGTTGGTTGTGAGTGAGAATAGATGCTACCCTCAACGTCCTTCTGGGTCATGTGCTAAAGCGGCATTTCGGGAAAATCCAGATTTCTTTGCCTATTTACAGAGGACTCTGTGTACTGTGGGTAAGGTACAAGGTTGGATGGACTGGAGGTCAGGAGTTTCCAGGAGGCTACGGAATAACTTTATCCCGATAACAAACCTTCGGAGCTCCTAAAACTATATTTTTTTCGAGGGCGAACTGACAGCAGCTCGGGGTCAGCGAATTCCGCGCAAAAATCAATATACCTTCTGTCCTACTTGATAATCTGAGTCTGCTCAATTGCTATCATGGCCGACTCGAGCACTCCTTCAACCCCGCCTCCGCAAAATGGTGCCCCGAAGGCGGCCCCGAAGCCGCAGAATCCCGCTCTTAGGATGCTTGGTAGGTAGAGCTCGGGCCTGTTGATGTTTGGGTTCTAATCCGCTTTAAAAGGTCTCCCGAATTTACGACTAAAACTTCCGTCGCGGAATTGGATGATATTTCTCACAGTCACCGGGTCTTTTTTTGGGGCTTTGATATACGACCGCCGGGAGAAGAAACGAGTCCAAGAGAAATGGTCCAACTTGGTCGCCCATATAGCCAAAGAGCCTATCCCCACGAATGAGACACGGCGGAAACTTACGATATTTCTCGCAGCACCTCCTGGTGACGGCTTAATGAGCGCCAGGGATCATTTTAGGGAATACGTTAAGCCAATTTTAGTCTCCGGAGCGATGGACTACGAAGTGATAGAAGGTAGAAGGGAAGGTGATATCAGAGCGGCTCTCGCTAAAAAGATTCGAAAGTTTCGACAGACGGCTGGTGAAGGCCCCCCTTTGGAAGAAGATGACCATGAAACCTCAATGAGACGGGTACGGGAGCTGTTCGGAACACATGATGAACCTGGTGTCAAGGGCGACGTTGTTATCGGTCGGCATACGTGGAAAGAATACGTTCGTGGACTCCATGAAGGGTGGCTCGGACCTGTTAATCCTATTGTCGCGGAGCCCGAATTCGTCCCACCAACGACCGAGAAAGTGGCCGAAACTGAACCTAACTCTCAAACCACCGATGATGGCTCGAATACGGCTGAAGTGGACAAGAAGGACGAAAAGGAAAAAGAGGAAAAGAAGCCCGAGGCCAAGAAACCAAAGGGCCCGACGCTTACATACCTCCTACCATCGCTCTACTCTTCGCAAGAACTTCCGCCTTCCCTGCCCGACGAATTCCAACCTTCATCGCCACTTGCCTTCCCGCATATCCTAGGATTCCTCAATACCCCTATTCGAATTAAACGATTCCTCACCCGTCGCTACCTGGCAGACAGTGTTGGCAGAGACGTTGCTGCAATTGTCCTCGCATCTTCATACAGGCCATACTCAGACAACTATCAATCCACAAGCTTAGAATCTACTGACTCCGACTCACCGACATCATCGTCATCACTCAGCTACGAACAACAACATGTACTCGAGCAAGAAGAGAAAGAGTGGCACAAATCAGTGCATAAGACCCCCGAGAACCCAGATCTTAAAGAGCGAGAATGGCTTGATGATGTAGTAATAGATCCGCGGATTGGCGCACGAATGAGGCGTTTTACTCTTTCACCGGAGGAGGAGGAGAGAGCACAGCGCATAGCAGAGGGTAAAGAGTGGGTTCTCGGGGAGGAGAAACCTGTTCCGATACCGACATGGACAAAACTATGGAATAAATACGGATGGGGCGAGGATGATACTCGAGGAAAGCCATACTGAAATTGGCGGGGTTCTTGAGACAACAGTGAATCCATGGTTGAGCCACGGTTCTAATCAGAGAAAATGTTTTCCTGATAGAACCATATTTCTACTATTGCCATATGGTTCTGGTATCTGACAAGCCATTGTATAGTTTCAAATCCACATAGAAAATTGGGAAACGTATGTAAATTCAGAAAACATCTGTAAAAGAGTGTGTTTGAAGCTCAATAGTTCCAGTTATATATTCAATTTAGTGGAACTATACTGGCATCTGTTAATTATACGAAATATATATGCGGATCAATCAACTATATAGAAATATACCCCATACATATTTTGATGACATTGTATCTCATCGTACAACCTGGCCAGACTATGTTGCCAATAGTAGCATTTAATCATCCTCCTCATGATCCTGAAACGGCCAACCATGTTCCACATAAGCGAGGTCCTCTTCATCCTCAGCCTCATCAATCCATTTTTTCTTCAGCTACCTATTAGTTTCCACAACCTTCTCAAACAATTCATTTCTAACCCATCCATCCTGCCCCATATCATCCCGCAGCGACCGCCAGTGTTCCACAAGCATATTGATCTTAAACCATTTTTCTTCAAGTTCATAGAATTCCTCTTCATCTTTTGTGTCAAACTGAATGGGGCAGGGATGTTTCTGATGTTGAGTGGACATCAACACAGCCCAGTGATTGATCACTCTGATAAGAGCACCCTTGGGTGTGATGATGTTTCTGGTCCAAGGATGCCCTGCCCTATCAACAAGATGTTGAATGAGCATCATTCCTGGATATCACATGGTGTTAAGGTGGGGTTTGTTGTCCTTTCCATTGAAGATCATGTACAGATAGAAGAGCATTTGTGTTCAATAAAGTTCATCAGCTTGGGATTTTGCTTCAGGGTCAAGGGACTCATAGTCTTCTGGAAGCAAGGGCTTGGAGTAATCCTTCGGCAGCTCTGGGTCCAGGTTTTCGAATGTTGGTGGATTTCCAGCTGCCATCAGCAGAGGAAGGTAGTCGCGATGATCCTCCCTGTACGGTATGCCTAGTTAGCCAACAATACGTAAAAGAACAAGGGCCCCAATTTATCTCGAGCTGTCCATGTTTTCCGCGCCAAAACATGTAATCTGCTGTAGGACCAATGCACAATTGGCTAGTATCACTGTCACTGTCCTCAACACCTGGGGAATAGAGATCCGCCTGCTGTTCCCAAGGCAAAGCTGTCTTGTAGTAGATGCTGCCATAACAGCTGAAAGAAATCAAAAATATTTTCTGTTCAATATCCACATAGCTTGTTACCAGGCAGGTTTGTTCCTTTGTTGTAAGGCTGGACCAGCATGCTTCCAAAGGCTGACCAACAGCCTTCTCCATAATAATATATTCAGTTCTGACATTGTTATTTTTTTCAGAGAACCAGGTGTAAACTTTGGGCATGGGTATCCCTTTCAAGCACAGATAGTCTAGCATTGCAACTTCACTCTCTGTTGCAAGTTTTCTGGGCTCTGTAATAGAGTACAGAATCTTGATGATAATCTCAAGCCCATCATTCATGGTCAACAGTAAGACTCTGTTGAAGCTGCCTTCTGCAAGTTTCTGCATATGTGCAATGCTTTTCTGATTAATACTCTGAGCCACAACTTTCTGAAGTGCTTCAACATTAAACTCAATATATTGCTCAGCCATTCAACATTTCTCATTGTAAAGATAGCAACTTGAGGTATAGGCAAATATGTCTTGAGCCAGGAAAGGGGACTCCAACTCTTCTCACTCATCATGGATTGCTGTTTCACAAAGGGCTAAGCGAGGCCATTGGTTCAGGAAACTGTGTTATGCAGCACAAAGCTGGATTTGTTCTTGTGAGCTGAGTGAGGGAAAAGAGTGGTAGGTGACATCGGGGGCGAAGAGAATGAAGCATTGCTGGTCTAATTCTCACCAGCATTTTGAGCCCTGGTTGTAAATCAGGGGCATCATAAAATATCAGACTCCCAAACGCCAAAACCAACAACGCAGAAAGTTGATGTCTTCATTGCTGCATACCAGAAAAAGTACTATAATCAGAAGTACACCACAAAGATCTTCCAGGTGGAAGAGAAGGTGTGACTTGATCTTCACAATATCAAGACCATCCAGCCTAACAAGAAATTGGATTTGTTGAGGCATGCATCTTGTCGAATTGTGGAGAGAGTAGGCTTATAAGTTTATAGACTGAAGCTGTCTCCAGGTCTGCAAACTCATATCTTTTATGTATTCCTGCTCTGCAAGCATAAGATCCACAAAGAAATAGATAACTTATCTATTGTGAAGCCTGTAAGATAAATAAGAAGGAAAAGAAGTATCAGATTCACAAGATAATAAACTTAAGAAAGTAGAATCACAAATATTAGAAGAGTTATAATAATAAGAAGAATAAGATATAGATTTCCACAGGCAATATTCATTTATTAAGAAAGCTACTTCAAGAATTCTATACTCCATATAACGATGTGACGGTTAGCCAGCGGCCGAAAATGGCCAGTTTTGGTGCTGTTTTTGGCCTCCTGCTAACCGCTGTCCCTAGATAATCACGTGAAACAATCCACATGGCCATGGCCCTTCCCTCCACGCACGGCCACAACTTTTTGGGCCCCACCACCTCCTTTCATGGCTCACCTTCCCCCTCACTCAACCGCTCACTCACCTTTGCTTGGGGGGAGAGCCAGAATTGACTGAGTGAAGCGTCAAAAACGGCTCTCCCCCTTGAGCACCATGTTCTCTCCAGTTCCAGGTCCCATCATGCTGACTGTCTCCTTTCCTGCTCCCATCCTTCCTCCTGCCAGTGTCTGGCAGCACTGCACGTCCCGTCCTCATCCATGAAAGCACTCACCCTCTCAGTTCCTCAGTCCAGGTTTTCTCTTTGCTGCTCCCTGGGCTGTCTTGACCATGGTGCCTTGCTCCCAATCTGTTGAATCTGATGATAAAGAGAGTCACAGCAAGAGCAATGTCAGCCCTGTGCTGGATGTCATCTTTTAGGACAGTGGATACAAAAGTGGCTCCAATAGCAACTCCAGTGAGGATGAGAATGACAGTAATGATTCCAACAACAATGTCTTTAATAAGGGCCAGCTCCCTCCAGAACACTATCTCACTCAAGTAAAGAGTCTAGATGTCTCTCAGCTTCAACAGAAACAGTACAGTGAACACACTGAGAAAAAACTTGAGAAGATCTGCATGTACTGGAAGAAATAGATAATTCTCTTAATCTCTTATTCAAGCTGGAAGCTTACAGATGGCTCTCTGACAGATATTGTTGGTATATTGATGTTGATCTGATGACTCGGTCTACAGTGTCTGCAGTGAGCCCACTAACAGAGAGCCACCAACAAGATGCTGCCGAACATGTGCAAGGCAGGTCAAACTCCATTGCCCCCAGAGGAGGTGATGACACTGGCTTCTGCTGTTGTGCTTGAGCTCTATTCGCTCCTCATACACCCTTCTACAATGGGAATGCCCATTGCCGGCCTTGCTGGCCCTGGAGGGTCTGGAGGAGTATCTGGACCACCACACCTTGGCGCGGGCTATGAGGAGAGGATCAGCAACCAAACCAGGCCCAATGGTCTGATGCAGACAACAAGCTTCTTCTGCTGATGAGACACCAGAACAATCCCTGGGAGGCAATCCAGCAGAGGTTTCCAAACAGGACACTGGCATTATTGTGGCAAAGGTACTTGATTCTCAACAACCAATCAACACCAGGTAACCCAGGGTGGACAAGGGGTAGGCAATCAAAGTAGAAATAGATCTATGTGATTTTCTGCTAAGCCTTTATGTATTTACGCAATTTAACTTACACAGGAATATTCAGTTGCAGGGAAATGAAACTGGTGAATAAACAAGATTCTGCATCTCAACCCTTCCATCTGTGGTTCTCACTCCCAACTGCGTGGATATTTGCGACCTAGTGGATAAAGATGTTCCATGCCGTGGGGAGAGTTGGTGCAGGAGTTGTGGTAAGATATTCCAGAAGACTTCTCTGTCTAGTAGCTAGTACGATGGATCTGTTCAATGGTAATAATGTCTATCCATCATTGCAACACAGAGGTTATGTGAAAATGCAGGTATAGTTTCCAGGAGCTTCTTGACAGCTTGCTTCTGCTCCTTCCTGAAAATCCACAATTTAGCCATCATCAACTCTATGACCAAATTCTTGAGCCCTCAATTATGCTTGGCTGTCTTGTCTCTCGGCCGTCATCAGCAGCCAACCTGGACATCTCATCGACCTCGCACATCAACAAAACAATGAGCGTTGGCTGGAGATTTGCTCCTTTTAGCAGAGTTGGACCTTTGTTTCCTCGGTTCGCCGTCTTTCAACAACATCACCACAGGCTTCCTCATAAATCTCCACTGACGCAACATCAACTTGCCTCCCAGCCAGGACATCCATTTCTGTTTTACCATTCCATGGCTGAGTCACTGCCTTCAGAAGCCGAAAGGCTTTACTACCCCGAGTCAGATGTGGAGGATTTGGAAGGATACAGGCCCGGCGGGTACCATCCAACTCTCATTGGAGATACCTTTTGCGGGGGTCGCTACAAGATAGTTCACAAGCTTGGATTTGGTGGTTATTCAACAATCTGGCTCGCCCATGACCAGCAGCTCCAGTGCTATGTATCACTGAAGATACTTGTTGCAGGAGCTTCACAGGGCAGTAATGAGGGTGAAATTCTCTGTCTATTGGCAAAAGGTACACTGAATTGTTTTGGAAGGCGGTTTATCCCAACCTTGCTTGACCAGTTCTCTTTTGATGGTCCCAATGGGCATCATCTGTGCTTGGTAGGAGAGCCTGCCGGCTGCAGCATAGCCAATTCGAAGGAGAACAGTACAAACTTTATGTTTCCACGAGATGCTGCCAGATCCATTGCTGCCCAGCTCATCATGGGCTTGAACTATCTGCATGCGAACGATGTATGCCATGGAGGTATGTCAAATACAGCCTTGTCCCCTGGTTGCTCATCCAGATTACTGAATCAGACAGATCTCCATCTGGACAACTTTCTTCTTCATGTCCCAGGCTTTGACAATTTAAGTACAGCTGAACTGTACAAGCGCCATGGCAAACCATATGAGGTTCCTACCCGGCGCCTTGATGGAAAGTCTAGTACACCCCATGCGCCACCGCATGTCATTTATCCCATGATTTGGAACATGCCTGCGAATGAGGTGATGGATCCTGAGATTATTATCTCAGACTATGGGACGTCTTTTATTGCTTCAAAAACGCCGTCTCCAACGCTTCACACGCCTGCCCTATATTCCCCGCCAGAAGAATTCTTCAACGAACACATCACCACTGCAGCTGATGTATGGACGCTGGGTGTTGTTCTATATGATGCCATGGGCGAACGGCCTCTCTTTGAAACCTTTTCATGGGATCCAGACGACATCATTGCTGAGATGGTCAACACCTTGGGACAACTGCCCGCACGATGGTGGGGCTCCTGGACTAACCGCTCTGAGTTCTTCAACCTAGATGGTTCATGGATCACCAACTTCCAGCGCATCGGCACACCTGTATTCCGTCGTCTTCATCAACGGATGTGGGATATGGGCCGGGGTGAGACGCCGGAGACCTGTGAATGGGATGTTGCTGGTGGCGAGCTTAAAGCTCTAGAGGATATGCTGAGGGCTATGATGGCATTTGAACCAGTGGAAAGACCGACGGCGAAGCAGCTCATGATGTCTGAGTACATGGTGAAGTGGGCCATGCCAGCGTGGCAGAGGCAGATGAAGCGAAAATTACCATCCTGACCAAGTCTAGAAAGAATGGCTTGCGGCGAGATTATACCACTCACGAACACCTGCGACTTTCGCACCGGATACCGAACCGACGGAACACCTTACAGGTACAAGCTCGGACTGCGGCGACACAACCTGCAAGTACTCAGCAGCTATGTGCCGCCGCAGCGGTGAAGGCACAAGGATCTAGCGGGCTAAATCTTGACGGGTACAACTTACGAACAAAGTTTGACGACGCATTTTGGGAGATAATGATATTGCAGACAGACAGTACTGTTAATATTATCTTCTTAATTCAACATTCATGGCTGTGCTACTTCTCCCCTTCCCCTCCCATCAGGAGTCTTCGAATCTTTGAGAGGCCAAAGAAGTCATTTTGCTGGGTTGCATAGATGGGACCTTCCATTGCCTAACTGACTGTTCCCACGAGTCCTAGTTTAGTTTCTTCCCTCTGACATGAATCAAAGTCTATAATTGCAGGATTGTCTGTCTTATCCATCATGATGTTTGATGTATTAAGATCATTGTGTATGAGCCCCAAAGTATGCATATGTCTGATGCCAATCTCAATTACTTGTAGGCAAAGGACTCTGTCAAAAGGACTTTCCTCCTTTAGCCTCTGAAACAGGTTCATTGGGTATTTGACAAAACAGAGTCCTGTTATCCTGCCATCCTTGGTAACACAACCAAGGTACCGAGCAATGTTGGGGTGTGGGCGGCTTCGAAGCACTTCGCATGCTTCCACCTCGGCCAGTATCTGACGGCCCGGCTCCAGGGAAGCGGGAGTGTCGCCATAATATAGAAGGCTTGGCTGCTAGACGTAGGAGTTTGGAGGTAAAGGGTCAGGAGCCAGGAGTCGCAAGATCAGCTTTGTATGGTCGAAGACAAGGTCGCGGTCCTGTTCCACGAACGCTTCGCTCTGCTCGCATAGCTCCATAATCCAGACAAGCCCGATTTGTGAAAGAAATGAATGAAGTAGTAAAGCAAGAATATATGAAATAAAGAAAGAAAAAGATATAGTCAAATTAATTTAAAAAAAAAAACTAAACTAAAGATTATACAAAAGAGTCTCTGACTTCTTCTGTAAAGATCTTGTAACAATCACATATAATCTTACTGCTGGAGAGAGCAAATAAGATGCCTACGGCATAGATAGTTACTAAGAGTATTGATTGTAGTTAAGCTTAAATAATTTATTAAGCTGTAAATCAATCTTAGTTATAAACTTGCTCTTCAGCACAAAAGAGCTATAATCTGATAGAGGACTTGTATGCTCGTCATTTGCTAAGATACCCAAAAGGGGGAATTTCGTCTGATCTGTGTGGATCACGTGAGCGAGGTACTGGTTTGATTACCTAATAACTCTCGCTTAGTCATCAAATCTTGTTAGTCAGCATCACAGGCGTGACGGGCAGCCAGAATGTCTCGAGCTTGCTTGAAGCTGATTGAAATCTCTTCCTGAATGGCAGCTCTTCTTGCTGCAGAGCACATAAGGGAGGGCCAATCGAAAGCTGGGGCGATCTCGCCCGTTTCCGATCACACTGCCAATTCCTGGGTTCTCATCCGCCTTGCATCTTCGCATAACTCTCTGTTGAAATCTCCAGATGGGTACATGTCGCATGCAGACGGTCTTCCCGCAAGGCAGTGCGAGCTGTCAGGTTCTCTAGTTTTAGTCGAAAAAGGAAGATGGCGCCTGCTCCGGCTAGTGCGGAAGTATCATATAAAAAGAAAGATGGAATCTTGTCCCTGTCTCGTGACGGACAGTCCGTCTCGTGGACACCAAAGGCAAGCGGCGGTCCAGTGGCCGGGTTTACGCTTCAGGTTGCGAATCTCAGCCGTACGTCTGCTCTTTGCCAATTTGACAATCTCTCTTCCGATCCTTCGTGGGAGTTCTCTCGGCTTTGAGCTTTTCCAGGTGAGAAAGTCGTGTAGCTTAGGATGTGATTGCTAACTCGTGTCCTTCGTCTGGCTCTATTTAGATCTCCAGCAAACCCCGGTCACTAGCGCGAAAGTAATGCTTAAGATTTTTGTAAAGCAACCAGGAACGCCCGGCGCTGGAAACGCTGCCCCCGGGGCGCCAGAACAATATGTTTTTACCTTCACGTCTGCAACGAATGCCCGTGGCGAGGCGGATACAATTAAAAATGTTCTCAATACGGGCATTCAAGCGGCGAAAAGTTCACACGCCCCTGTACCGGCGGGACAGTCGGCGGCTATGGCGATAGCCAAGGCGGTAATTTCTACTACGAGCGAGAAGCCGATTTGGTACGATGACAATAAACTGAAGACGGATGACCAGTTGCAGCTGTCTCTGTTGAGTTCAGACCCGAATCTAAGACGGGTCTTCGCAGAATCTCTACGCACAAAGCCAGAATCTGTCACGAGTGGACAGCTCAGGGAACAGTTCTGGTCTTCTCGGATACATCTACTTCGTGCCCATGCCATTGAAAAGGCCCAGGCTCGCGGCTCATATAATGTACTTGCTTCACTCAAGCCACGGGTGGAGAATAGTGTGACCAAGTTAAACATTAGTAAAGAACAAATACAACTGATGTTCAACCAACACCCGTTGGTTAAGCGGGCCTATGATGAGAATGTTCCTAGGTTGACAGAGGAAGAGTTCTGGTCTCGATTCTTTCAAAGCAGACTCTTTAAAAAGTTGAGAGGCGAGCGAATCACGGAATCAGATGCTACAGACTCGTTACTAGATAAATACCTTAGGGTCGACGAGCATGGGGAGCGACATCCGGTGGCAAACGTACCGCATATTATCGATCTCGGAGCGAATGAAGACAACGCTAAGCGCTATGGTAATCGCCCGAATTTCGACATGAGACCATCGCCCCTGGAAAAGGTTCCTATCATCCGAACACTGAATGCTCTGAGTGAGAAGATCATGGCCAACGTCGCGCCAATTGACCGTGATCCATCAGCGCCTATTGGAATGGATGAAGAGACTTTTAATCAACTGCAACTGCGGGATCTTCGCGGAGACGAAGAGCAGAATTGGACCATTTTGAATATCAAGGATCAGAGTAGATTCTTTGCGGCAACGAAGGACGCGGAAAGCGAGGAGGCCCGCATCTTTGCCAACCAAGATCCAGCCGCGATTTTAAAGTCTCTGCAAGTTGACGTAACCAAAACATACCCTGATAGAGGAACTGGCGTACCACTGGGTCAACTTGTTGAGCCCGAAGAAGACGATAGTGACGAGGACGAATCACACCCTAAAAAGGAGCCTGTCGGCTCGAAAGCTAGTCTAGCCAGAGCATCAGCCCAGATCTTCGAGGCCATTCGAGAGAGGAGAACACAAGCTGATTCCGCATCAGATTCCAGGACCTGTGGCTTATCGCAAACAGTTTTTGACAGCCTCACGCTAACCCATGCCACGACTACAGAGTTTCTGCATCAATTCTGGCAAGCCTTTCTCTCTGGAAATCCAGATCGCGTTTCCGAGATCACCTCCTTGGTTGAATCTCTTAATCGGGCGATGGATCGGATCAAAGCTGTGGCTAACGAGGCTGAGGTTGAGAGGCAGGCCGAGGTTGAGAAACTCAAGCAGCACGCCAGAGAAGTGATGGCTGCGACTGGCAGAAATATTCGACCGAACCTGAAAGGGGTGGAAGGAGGTCGGAAGGTGGTAAATCAATTGATGGCGCCCACCATGAATGCATTGGGAAAGGCTATTGCAGAGTATAAATACGCTCTTGCACAGCAGACCAAGGATGCAGCTCTTGTATAACGTTTGATACCATGCCATCTCACTTTGCGCATTTACAGGACAGGTGGGATAGTGAAAACCACGGTGTACATGTGATTGGGGGCTTACGGCGCGGGGATATATTTCCAAATTCATGGATATACCTATGCATTGATAGAGTTGCAAATCAACAACTAGTCAGAGATGACACAATTTCGTCGGTTTGTTCTCCGTAGCATTAGGATAATTATGTAGTGACAAAGTTGAGTTGGATTTGGTTGGCGTCACTGTTGACATGTGGTTTCTTGAGCTTCGCACGCCACACAAACGAGTCAACGACGACACCATTTCCACGGCATCTTTGAAGACAGCTTCACTCGAGGACGGGCGTGTTGGAATAATGCCGAATTTACGGCACAATCTTTGCTAATCGCAGAATATTGCTCATCATATTTAACACATCAACCTAACCATCTCGATCGTTGTCCTCTACGCTGCTACAACATCTCTGACTGGGATCGCAAACCAGGAGAAACAGGTGGAAACGCAGGCAGATCGCCGACTAACAATGTTAGCATCCGGCTTTAGCAATGCGACTCTCACTAAATATACTCTCGTCTTCATTGTCTCGTCCTCCATTGCGGTGAGCATCGCAGACACGAAGTATCTCTTCTACATCCAAGTCGTGCCGCATCTATGGAGCTACTGGCAGTGGTGGAGGGTTTTAATTTGGCAGGTTAGTGTTACGAGAGGCCAGGAACTGATTGGAAATACCCACTAACATGCTTATGTTCGACTAGATGTGCTACACCAATTCTACAGAAGTTCTGCAGGCATGTATGGTTCTCTACAATCTGCGCGTGGTGGAACGATTATGGGGAACAAGGAAGCTTGCTGTATGCGTATCCCGATTATTATAGCTCCGCTTTACAGTCTCCATTGCAAGCTAAATCACCTCTAACCCTGCGACAGAGCTTCATCGTCTCGACACTTCCCTATACTACCCTCCTCCCGCCTCTACTGCTATCCCTCCTCCTCCTCCCCCTCACCCTAAACACCCTCAACTACCTCCCTGCCGGCCCAACCGCAATCCTCTTCGCCCTTTTGGCCCAATATCACGCCGCCATTCCAACAACCTACAAATATCACATATCTACCTCCACCGGCGCTTCCAATTCCCAGGCCCTAACCCTCCGCTTCAGCGACAAATCCACAGTCTACTTCCTCGCCTTCCAGCTCTCCCTCTCCCAGTTCCCACACTCCCTCCTCCCTGCAGCCGTAGGCTGGATAATTGGCTGCGCCTGGCGTGCAGAGCTTCTCCCGGGCCGGTTCTCCTCTCCATCCTGGCGGATTCCACCCTGGGTCTACGGCGGTCAGGAAAGTGCGTTTGATCGACGTCAGCGGAGTGACATTACAGGACAAACCCAAACATCACACGGATCAGAGGCAGAACGCTACGAAGGGCTGCGGCGACGATTAGAGGGCGAGAGTCGTGCTGCTGCAGCGGCGACGGGGGAAAGAGTCTACGGAAGTGGAAGTGGAGTTGACGGTGGGGATACGCAGCGACGGGGCCCGTTGGCCGGACAGATATTAGATCGATTTCGAGGGGCGTTTTAGATAAAATCGACTTTTAAGTCGTACGGCTATTGCACTTATTATAGATGGCCTTTTCATTTTCTACGGCGCCTTAGATCAGTGGTGTACTTTTATCCCATTTGCATGCCTAAAGCCATAACTACCGCTAAAGTTCTAGTACCGGACCTTTGCATGTATGTACATGTATACAAATATGTTGATTTTTCTAGGAGAATGCAGGACGCTACAAATGTTGGGAGTAGAAAGTGGTGAAAGTAGGAAATGTGGGAGGAAAAAATGGTGACTCGGACTGAGCACGAGAGTTTAGAACAATCTGTGCCATATGGCACTGTGTTCTATCAAAAGAAGACATCACCCAAATCCAGGTTCGCTAGAGGGTCCGGAAAGAAAAAGGAAACACCGCCATATTAATAAGTAATTAGCCATCCATTCTTGGGCGCGTAGAACCCGTAAGACCCCTCTAAAATGAAGCGCCAAAAAAAATGAAGCGCCAAAGCAAATTTCGTATAAGTATGGAGGTAGACTAGCTGTCCCTTCGCAGAACCAAAAAATGCATTGCCCAAAGAAAAGAAAGGATACCTCAGACACCCTGGAAGCAAAAAATGAATGCAGATATAGTCATTTCTGGCTCGAGGCAACCAACGCAGGAATATCCGGGAACACTGCGGGGGTAATATACAGAATGCTGTGGGGAAAAAGGGAATGTGTTGACTGAATTCGGAGTGGAGATGGATGTATCCCTGCTTATCTGCCATTTGACTTGCCCTTCTTCATGGTCTCCTTGCATTCGTTGCAATACCACTTGACTAAAGACAACAATCAGTTAAGAATCTTTCAGGGGGTTCGAGGGAAAAAAAAAAAAAAAAAAAGCCAAAACTCACCACTCTTTGACGGCGGCCTTGTCAGCCCCACACACGACAAATGGAACCACTCCCTGGGACAATTCTCCATATCGCACGCAATCATGTCTCCAAAGCTGATTTGGTTACAGTAACAATACCTCAGCTCCCCTTCATCATCCTCGTCATCTCCATGTCTAGAAGAGTCCTCGTCCTCAGCGGCATTGGCAGCCGCCAGCGCCAATTGTCTGGCAGTAGCAGCTGCAGTACCAGTATTACCCGCTCCTTTCTTGTGGGAGCGTTTAGTGGTAGGAGCAGGGTTGGATCCTTCAGCAGCAGCCGCTGCAGCCGCGGTGGCTCGAGATGGCCTGGAGGATCGTTGCGACTCCGCAAACGTAGATACAACGGGGGTAGAAGTCTTTGAAGAGCGGCCCTTAGAAGTGACACTAGGTGGGATGGGAGAGTGGGTATTGACAGCATCCTGGGGTTCCATTTTGGCTGTGGTAGCTGTGGCGATAGTAAGGGAAACTTCGCGCTGTGTGTCTCGTTCGCCTGGTTTGGTAATGACCATGGAATCAGCTTTCGGCTCGACACTATTAACACCGGTTTTGGAGGAAACAGCAGCACCGGGGGAACTAGGCTCGACTCTAGGGCCAGATGATGAATCCTTGGGCGCGGGAGCTTTTATGTCCAAAATACCTTTATCTGCAATGGAGGCCGGGTTAGAAGAACGGTCCAGATGGGCGGGTCCAAGTCCAAGAGACGTACTAGAATTGAGGTTCCGGTTGGAAGTAGCAGATGAAGGTCGCTGGCGGCCATTGCTCGCGGCAGCAGCAGTTTGTTGCAAACGAGCGGATTGAGGCCGGTTGGAGGCGCTTGGGGGAGGAGTACTAGTTTTGCCAACAGGGTTAACACTAGGAACAACAGGAGATGGAGCAAGCGAAGAGTCGACGGTCGAGCTGATCGTATTTGTTCTGCTTGATAACACAAAAACACGCGAAACGTTAGAACCAAAATTGAAATCCTCCTTGATCCTAGGGTGATATTTGGAGGATTTCAAAGGCAAAACATCTTGAACATACCTTTTCCGCGACGAAGCGGTAACGTTTTGAGCCCGAGATCTCTTTTTGCCGAATTCAGGGACAGGCGATTCTTTGACACCCGATCTACCCGCGTTTGTCGCAGCACTTGCCGAGCGTTCCATTGCTGCAGATGTTGGTGTGGGCACTGCTTTTTCAATACGCCTCCTCTTCGACGGTCCTGCGGACGCAGCAACGTTCTGATTGACCTGTGAAGCCTCTCCAGCTCCAGCACGACTCTTCGCGGGAATGTTACCTTTGCGAACACGCGACTCATCTACCTCCGGTTCAACCTGATTGCGACGTTGCTTTCTGCCACCTGCTTCTCTTCTGGATTCGCGATGTGTTTCGTCTGCATCACGATCTCTTGTCGCAGCCTCTCGCCTTGGACGTTCCGATCCAGCTGTTCCACTAGCTTTAGTAGGTTTATTGAGGTATGCCCAGTGCGTGCGGCTTCCAATCCGAGCTTCCTCGGAGATTTCGTTTTCAACATAAGGATAAATCATCTCCAACCGGTTGACATCTTTCTTAAGAGAGAGGAATGCGTTTCGAGCGACGTGATTTTTCTCGTCCATGGTAGGTAATAGGTCAGTGAGGGTGTTCCGAATATTCTGAAAAGCCTGCCTCCTCGCAGCCGATCTCTCCGGTGATTCTGTCTGTAGACCATCCTATTCACAAGCCACGCACACATGTTAGCAAAAGAGAAGAAAGGAAAAAAGGAAAGAAAAAGACATCGCCAAGTCAAAAGGGTACAGTTCCCAAAGGCTATAAGAAAAAGGGAGAAGAAAAGTCCCAAAAGAAACATCCACTTACAGTCTGGAACCCCTGCGCACTCTTCGCATCAACCGACCCATGAATCGGAAACGGCTCCGAAATTAACTCTGCCGCAACCTGCAACAACTTCGGCAGCTGTGCTTCCAACGCAAACGCCTTCCCATCCACTTCATTCAGCAACGACGTATGCCTCCGGAACTCTCTGGGCAATGCATCGATCGCATCAGTGAAGTGGTGGATTCCGGGATATAGCCCGGCCGGGTGCTGGCTCGCAGCGCGGTACTGGCCACCGCCCCCGGCGTAAGATCCAGCTCCGCCGTTGCCAGGTCCGCCTGCTAGGCTGGGGTTGTGGGCGTGATTGTTGAATGGGTTGACGACGTGGTTCAGGATGGATGTTCGGCCGGCGGTTTTAGATTGACGGCTGGGGTTGGTGCGGGTTTGGCGGAGGGTGGAGGAACGGACGTTGGATGTGCCCATGGGGCCGTTCGAGGTGGCCATGGCAGCTCTGGGAGGGTTACCGTTCGGGGACGGGGTAAGAATGGAGATTTTAGATATGGTGAGCAATATTCTTTCGCTTGCACAACCTGTAGGTCAGGGACAAAATGTGTTGGACTTGATTGAGCAAGGCCGGAATGCGGCGATGTGACCGATCAGACAAACTTGGTGGATCGCAAGAAGGGCAAAGAGTAATATTTAGAGCGTGGCAAGCATACTGAGCGACTGTGAATGCCCGTGAGACCGATAAACAGTGAGATCAAGCAGTAGCAGATGCACAGCGGATCAGGTCAGGGTGAGATCGAGAGCGAGCAGCGAAGACTCTCTTTCGGTTCTTCCCCGGCGCGACCAAATGGACTTGCTTATGTAATTACTGCTTAGTTCTGGCGACATGAATGGCTTGAGAATATCCCTCCATACGAAATACAGGGATTGGATCTTCGCTGCCGAATTCTTCATAGTTGACAGTTTTCAAGTGAGAATCCACTGTTTCCATGTGAATAGCCATTTTCCAGATCCTTACGGAGTACAGCCGTTGAAATCGCGTCTTTCCCGCCCCTTTAGACGCTCAGCAAAATCGCCAGACGCTGGGCGGGCAGAATATACGTCATTCTTATATAATCAAATAAAGTTCTTGGATCATCAATGTCCATTAGCTAATCACGCTCAACCGGCTTCACATTTCCCCGAAAAAGGTAAAACGCAAACACAAAAGTCTATATCAAGACTCGATTCTTTTTTTTTTTCCCACCAGAGAAGAAGAATATTCTTCTTTTCTGGTGATGAAAGGTGACAGAAAAAAGATGCCATCAATGCTGATTCTGATGCTACAAGGAAACTCGTCACTGAGTAACAAGCATGAAGGAAAACAAAACGAGAGGCAAGCCAGGTCAGGGTCATGATTAATATAGACATGGTTTAAGGCGATGAACCAAGGGAACCAAGGGATGAGGGCAGCAGGGGGAAAAAAAGGAAGAGCAAAGCAAACACCACCCTAAGTTTCACAACTTGAATTTATTCTGCAGTCAAAAAGGGCACAGGAAGAATATGTATGCATGTTGTACAGCTGCACGGGAAACAGCCAAAGGGGAGGGGAAAAAGGAAGAAACACAAAAAAAAAAAAAAAAAAAAAATCTGAGTTTAAGGATAAGAAGACATCAGGAATAGAAAAGAAAAAATATGCTTCATCACCCATTCAGACATCCATTTCTAATCAGCTACTCCCCCTTCAATTTATCCTGATGCACAGTAAATGCATCCTGCAACAATTCCTGCTCTTCTTTGATGTGGCTAGCCTTCAATCCGGTAGCGACACTGGCACTTGGGTTACGACCGGCGTAGAGGACGTGGCGGCGGTTGTGATGCTCGGTGTTGTTCAGCAGAGTCTCAATGCGAGGCTGGACGAAACTCCAAGCACCTGCGTTGAGTGGTTCCTCCTGACACCAGACGATATCCTTGGCATTGGGGTAGCTGTCAAGGTTTTCCTTGAGTTGCTGCCATGGGAAAGGATTGAGTTGTTCAATGCGAGTAATAGCGGTGTTCTTGATTCCATTGGCATCACGGTGTTTGACAAGAGCGGCCCAGACTTGACCTGAACAGAGGATGACACGCTCGATCTTCTCGGGCTCTGCGATAGACTTGCCGTGTTCGGTCTCAGGGATGATCCAGCGGAAGTGCGAGTCTCCAGTGAATTCTTCGATCGAAGATCGGCAGAGTGGGTGACGCAGGAGGGATTTTGAGAAGAAAATCACGAGTGCTAAAAAGAGGAATTAGCCAACCAGGCTCTACATAGGAGAGAATAGAAACAACGGGTGCTCACGTTTTCTGAATTGACGGTTGATCTGTCTGCGGAGGATGTGGAACAAGTTGGAAGGAGTAGTCATGTAGGCAATCTGCATGTTGCAGTCCTGGTGCTGGCGATCAATCTTATCCGGTGATGGGAAGACACGAGGATCCTCGTTGGAAAGCTGGAGATAACGCTCCAGTCTGCCAGACGAGTGCTCAGGGCCTTGACCATCGTAACCGTGGGGCAAAGACATGACCAAGCCCGATCGCTGGAGCCATTTCACTTCACCGGAGGCGATAAACTGATCGATGATACACTGAGCATTGTTGGCAAAGTCACCGAACTGAGCCTCCCACATGACGAGAGCGTTGGGCGAGGTCAAGGAGTAACCGTATTCGAATCCGAGCCTGCAAAACCCCCGTTAGATACATCTTCCATCCCACGGAGTGGAAAACTATATACTTACACGCCAAACTCACTCAGGGAGGAGTTAGAGATAACAAATGTTCCCTGATTCTCAGAGATGTGCTGCAGAGGCGTGTACGTGGCCTCGTTCTGCTGATCGTGCAAAACCGCATGACGCTGGGAGAAAGTACCACGCTCAACATCTTGACCGGAGACACGGACATGATGGCCCTCGTTGCAAAGGGTACCAAAGGCAAGAGCCTCAGCAGTGGCCCAGTCGATGTTGTTTCCTTCGTCCACGGTCTTCTTTCTGTTCGCCAAGATACGCTTGAGATTACGGTGAACACTGAATCCCTGAGGAGTTTCGCCGATCTTGTCGCCAATCATGCGTAGAGTATCACGAGAGACGCCAGTAGGGAGGTGAGGAAGGACTTCGGTGGCAAGTTCCTTGGGAGACTTGAATCCGTTCCAGGCAGATGTCAGCCATTCTCTGCTGGTAGGCTGGTACTCCTTGCTGCGGTCAAAGCTATCGTTGAGCATTCCCCAGACCCACTTCTTGTGCTCCTCGATGTCCTCCTTGGTGAAAGTATTCTCCTGGAGGAGCTTGTTGACGTATTTGTCCAATTGAGTAGTCTGGTCTGCAATACGCTTATACATCAACGGCTGCGTGAAAGCGGGCTGGTCAGTTTCGTTGTGACCCTGTTTACGATAGCAAACAATATCAATGACTACATCGCTCTTGAACTGAGCACGCCAGTCGGCGGCCAACTGACAAACGAAGTTGACAGCTTCGACGTCGTCTGCGTTAACGTGGAAGACGGGCGCTTCAATGGCCTTGGCGATATCGGAACAATACGGGGTGGAGCGAGCGAAACGGGGATCAGTAGTGAAACCAATTTGGTTGTTCACAATGATATGGATCGTGCCACCAGTCGAGTAGGCAGGTAGTGAGTGGAAGCCCATGGTCTCGTACACAATACCCTGAGCGGCAAACGCAGCATCACCATGAAGCAGCACACCCATTGCGCTGTTGAAATTCTTCTCATCATTGTTGTAATGCTGAATTGCGCGGGTTTTTCCGAGCACAACAGGGTCTTCGGCTTCAAGATGGGAAGGGTTCGCAACCAGGGAGAGCTGCACACGTTTGCCGGAGGGTGTTGGACGTTCAAAGTTCATGCCAAGATGGTATTTCACGTCTCCAGAGCCTTCATCGGACGGTTCCGCCGTACCGGTGAATTCGCTGAAGATCGACTCGTTGGGTTTCCGAACAACGTTACTTAAAACGTTCAAACGGCCACGATGAGGCATACCGATTACAATATCCTTGATGCCATAATCGACGCTTCGGTCAATCAAGGCCTTCATTCCGGGAACCAAAGTTTCACAACCCTCCAAACCGAATCGCTTGTCGTTGGGGAATTTCGTCGCGAGGAAAGCTTCGAAAGAGGTACTCCAGATGAGGCGGTCCAAAATGCGTCGCTTCTCATCGACGGAGTACTTGTAGGGCTGGGGTATCTCAACACGGTCACGGATCCAGTCACAGGGCCCACGATCTGGAATGTGGATATACTCGATGCCAAAGGAACCGCAGTAAATCCGCTCGCAAGCCCCAATGATCTCGCGAAGGGTCATCTTTTTTCTCGTCTCTGTCTCAAAACGAGGAAGAATGCCGGGACCAAGCGCAAACTCTTGATCCAGATCAGCTTCCGTAAATCCATAGTGCTCCAGTTCCAATTCCTTGGGTTTGGAATATCCGAACGATTCAGCCTCTCCGCGGATGCCCAACGGATCGATCTTCGCCTTGTGGTGGCCACGCGCCTGGTATGCACGAACGAGGAGCTGGACTTTTAGGTGGTTCGACACTTCGGCTCCGGCAGCGGTGCGGGAGGTGGGCATGTGCTGGGGAACTCCGCCGGTAGGGGTTGGGACGAGAGTCGGGGGAGGCTGGAAGGCCTGGGAGATGGGCATATTTCCCTCTTCGATGTTGTGGAAGTACGTCTGCCACGAGATGTGGACGCTGGACGGGTCTTTTCTCCACGCGAGATACATCTCGTCGATATAGTCCGCAGTGTTGCCTTGAAGGAACGAGTCATTGGGATCCTATAATCACAGAAAGCGGAAGCAATAAAGCGCGCGCCATTCAAGTTAGTTTCTTCTTCTACACCTAAATATGTGTTTTCCGTCTCAACTAGTCTTGATTTCTGCAGTGCCATCTACTCTTCTCCCGTCCCATTTCAACATTATTGTTTTATTGGTTGAAGACGAAACGATCCAGCAGAAATCACACACTTCCATGGGCAATTGGAAGGAGGGGAGAGGATTTATAGGTCAAAGCACTCACCACCCCTTTATTCGTTTCTTCAGCGGCGATCGCATATTGCCTCCGCTGCTTCCAGGCTTCCTGGGCAGCAACCAGCGCCAGCGGTCTTCGTGTCGCAAGGCCAAAGTTCGCACGAGCGGAAAGCGACGTGGGTTTCGAAGAGGAGGCGATGCATCGCGCATTGCGCACGTACGGTGTTTTTCTCAAGAGGCCAGCGACCTCTGAGACTTTAGAAGACGACGATCTAGTAGCTCGCAACATTTTGACTTTTTGGGGGACGGAAGGAAATAGGAGGGCAAAGGTTCAAAGGAGTAGGTGAACAAGTAAAGAGAACAGTGGAAGTCCAAGAAAGGATGGATGGTTAGGATGTGTTGAAAAACCGACAGGGAATAATTTTTTTTTTGTTTTTTTTTTTTTTTTCCCTCTTTTCTGCTGGTGATAATAATAACCAAGAGGCAGGAATTATCGACTATGTCGTTCCGCCTCACACGATCTCGTAGTCATGAGAGAGTCCCTCTGGTGAACTCGCAGGGGACCAACTCAGTTTGCAAGTAATTTTAGTTTTAATTCTTTTTTTGGGCTGAAGTAATGGGATGGGGGAGGGAGAAAAGAGAAAAAGGAAGAGAGAGGCGGTGATGGGATGACAGGTGTTCTGGACGGTTAAGTTTTGATAGGGGGAAACGAAGGAACCAGAAAAATTTCAGGGCGGATGTTTCTCGGCACTGCGCAAAACCAGGCTAGAGGGACCCTTCCCGGGAACACCGTGCAGCTTATTA